GATACACGCATTCGACAAAGTCCGTCAAATAACCGTTACAAAATTTTTCAATCCATTTACTCATTTTTTTTGTATTGGTGTAATAAAGACTAATTCCGCGTCAAAGTCTCAATGGCGATATTATGTAGGTCGACGCGTTGGCGACGACGACGACGCTGTGTCTACAAGACACGCGCAAGAGAGCAAAAGAGAGAGAGAGAGAGAGAGAGAGAGAGATAGAGACGAACACAAGGGGAATGTTTAAATTTGTATTGGGGTTCAGTGACCATGATCGGTCGACGTCCGATAAAGGAACGCCTTGCAACACGCCTTGTTGACGTACGTATGCGTCTTCTTCTACGGGAGCAAAGAATTACTCTTTTACCTATACTAATCTTTCTTTATTGCTCTTTTCCAAGGTACCATACGATCTTTCGTCTCTGCTATCGCTAGCATCCTTTCGATTAATTTAAGATAATATTATGAGAATCACGGGCTTTTTTTAGCTCGCTGAGTGAATCGCTTCACGGGCGATTCAATAATTGCCTCAGGATTTTGCCTAGTGAATCATAGGCTTCGTTTAGCAAGACCTATTATAATGATGAGCCATCGAAGGATACCTATAACATGTCGAAGAATATATTTTACTGCTAATCAACATTGAGATAGGGGGAAAACTCAGCATTCCGTCGAGAAAAATATCGTAGCTTTACAAAAAGGCTTGGAAATTTTTCTTGAATTAACATCAACTATAGTTTGCATGGAGCAGAATAAAACGTTCAAAAAAAGTAAAATTACAATTGGAAATGAAGATTGTTCTTTCGTTTTAGAAATTTAAAGATACCTTCACATCGTTTCCAAGTTTGCTGGGTACAGTTCAACAATTGAATCAATAATTTTCCCCTTTCGAGGGTGTCCTAAGAGAGGAATTTAACTTGATGAAGAGAAATTATTAAGTCAATTGGATCTGTCTTATGTAGAATCACCGACGAACTTTACGCTATGTACTCGATCAAAAATCGATTTTGAACGACGCCGAGCAAACCGAAGCTTCGGTCCTTTGCCTTTCAATTATTTGCCATTGCATCGCCAGATAGGAAGAATAAAAGAAGGTTGCGTTTCGTTTCTTGGCTGTTCTAGATCAATTTCGATTTCAACCGTGCATGCAATGTGCAATATGAAATTGAGTTAGAGTCACGTGCGCGAAAAAATTTTGTCGATCGAAACGGATGAAAAAATTTATTGGAAAAAAATAACATTGAATTCTTTAGAATTTCGAATTGAAAAAATTGTTGAAACAGTGTAAAATTTTCTGCAAGTTTACATGGCTGTAAGTGTTGTAATGTGCGCCGATAAAGTTAGCAAGGTAATTTAGATGTACATTAACATTAAAGCCAACGAACATGGCAAAACAAACATGAAAAGTAGAAAATTGAAAAATGAGAGAAAATGTAGTACTGCTGTTGGAACAACATATTATTATAAATGTATGTGATACACATAGGCGATTAGATGTTTACTCGTTCGTAGCCGTTTAAAATGCAAAATGCGATTGAGATTAATTTGAATTTTCTTGCTCATTACAAGCTCTTTTTTACGCTTTCCCTTAATTATCTCGCGCAAAGATTTTTTGATGCCTACGCAGGCAATGATCTATTCATCTGTCTCTCTCTCTCTTTCTCTCTCGAATTATTATTGACGCGCGCGCGTGTATAGAAGTGAACCGAGCGGTGCACACGCGTGACTCTTAAAGCCCATCCACGTGCTGTGTAGCGCGTCGTCGTTTTGCTTGTTGCTTCCATTTAATGTATATATCTAGCTGTGTGTGTATGTGGGTATGCACATTTATACGATGGCACACGCATAGACGCCGATCGGTGGGTGAATTTTGCAGCGTAACTCGACGCAACGTGACACACATCTTCTTGTCGCAGCGTATACTTGTGTAAACGTACACCTTTTATATTTATACATTCAACGAGCAGAAGGAAGCAGGCAGTTGCTCTTTTCGTTCGAGGGAAATAATTTCTCTTCTTAGCAAATTTCGATGCTTTTATCGTCGTCGTCGTAACAAACTGATTAATTCAAAGCGTTCGAGTGCAAATAATTCACAAGAGCAGCCGCAGGGTAAATAATTGCGAATTATAAGCTGCCGAAGTAGTAAGTGGCTAGGGTCACGCGACATACGGCATGCAAACGCATATAAACACGGCGGACAATCGTTAGAGAAAACCCGAGCTACGAAGCGCTCGCGGATGCGTGAAAAAGAAAAGAAGCAAATTCATTTATCAATTTATTAGCTTGCAGACGCACTGTAAAAAACTCTGTTGCTACTCGCAGTCTTATCTGGCGTCTCGATCGGCGTTATTTTCCTCGCTGTGGATGCGGTGACGGCGGCGGCAAAGTCGATCGAAACTCTAGAACTGTCATTGCTCGTCTGCAGGCCAGTCGCGTCCGAGTCTCTTGTATTTTTGTTGTCGTATAAAATTACCCTTAGCGGCGCTGCGTATGTTTGTCAACTTGTTATATTCGAAGCTCACACATGGAAAAGCACAGAGAACAACACTCGCGAGTCTCGGACGGTAAAAGAGGAAAAATTCGTCGCTCGTCGAGAGCTTGGCACGGGAGTTGCGTTGGTTTTTTCGTCGATATTTTTATCGACTAACTAATAGGTCGCTGGTGGGCGCAACGAGCAAGCATCGACTAAGCAGCAGCGAACGAGGGAAGTCACGAGCGAGCGGGAATAAAGCACACGACACGATGCGTTCGCGGCTTCGCTGGAGCGATCGAGCTTTTAACACACATACGTCCGAGCGACGACTGACCGAATGTGCCTCTATATAATACGTCGACGGCAAAGCGTCGCGCGCGCGCTAACTCTACTATGTGTGTATATAGTATGCTTTAGCTCGCGTGTGTTGTACTCCGCGGCGATACTGTGCAATGTGGAGCAATATACAATACACACATGTATGTAGAGTCGCGCACCGCACCGAGTACAATATACATGCTATACGATCGGTGCCTACTATTACTCAAAGCCATTGAGTTTCGCTGCTGTATACTACCGGCACCGGCATTATACATTATATGCCTGCTGCGTTGCTGCTCACACTCACACACAGGCCTGTGCATATCGTACGCCTTTTTTTTCGCTCTCGCTCGTTCCAGCTATAACAAATAATTGTTGCGCGCGCATTACACGCGAGCACGCGTATCGTTTCGCAACGACAATATTTGCAGCTCGTATATTCGCACGCACACCCTTAGCGAGGCTAATGCCTGTGAGCTGGTCTATGTGTGCACATCTCGCTTTCCTTCCATCTTTTTTCATTTGCACTATACGCACGCTTGAAAATCCGAATAATATGTAATAGACTACAGTAGTATTTGTTCTTCGAAAGCGCAGGAAAGCGTTGAATTGAAAATCTCGCTCGCGTTATCTAATCGCGATTCCAGTTCCATCGAGTGGACTAGTATACCAGTCATACTTATACGTACACACAATATACAATGTAAGAAAGAGTAAAACGATAATTTAGCTAAGATACTACTAGTTTTACGATTACAAGTTTTTACAGAGACACTGCGACACTCGAAATGGTGAATCCCTCACGAATCGACCGGCGACTGCAACCTCGCACCTGTTGATGTTCTTTCTATTCACATTTGGAATATCCATAGCGCAACGATTAGGCGATATCCTTTTGAGCCTCTCGATTATATCGACGTTTACATTGGCTGCATTCGCGAAGCCAATCGTAAATACGAGTAAAAACGATTATTTATTCGAATTTGAACGAGCATACATTGCAACCCGTGCCAGTGAAAATGAATCGGACGATGCAGATCTGAGCCGTCGCGAGTATTCCCACGCACGGATCTCACGCGCGATACCGAGAGGTGTGGTCATTCTGCACCGATGCGACCTTTACTTTTTTCGAAATTTGCATCGACAACACTGCCAGTCTATGCATAAAAAAAAACCGGAGCTGCATCGATGTGCCCGCGTGAAAAACAGAATTACTCGAGCTACGTCGAATAACAGAAGCTTTCGATCGAACCACTCGTGCATTTGTAAACATTTTCACGGGCTCGCAGGACAAGGAGAGGGAAACGGAGCATGCGAACGCATAATGATTAAGCAAATGCGCACAGCGAGTGCACGAGCACTCCACGCACATTATATCATCAAAACATTATACGATAACGCGACTTACGCACTTTTTGCATCTACGGCTATTTGACAACTATGTAACTACCAACTTGTGCAGGTGATTTACATCTGACTGCGAGCCGTCACTTTTTGGACTAATATTTGCTATTATTATTCGTATTGACGGTTGACTGCAAGCCAGATTTTGGCCAAGGCAAAGTCCTCGCCCGTGCTTGTGTTTGTGGCCATTACGATTAAAAAAGTGTACCCTGGTGCTGTAACTCAAACGATTCGCTCTGAAAGTTACGACAAGTGAGACGCATATTTGAAAAAAGTAAAAAGCCTGAAAACGCAAAAGAAGAAAAGATCGAACACGCAAAGTACACAAAAAAATCTCATGAAAATGACTGCATCTAAGTAAAAAACAAACATTCTCTGGGTAAAAATTTTCCACAAATTGAATCAAATTATGTTCAATTTAAAGGTACTTACGAGCCTATCTTCGTTCTAAAATTTTAATTAACACATTCATACAAAACATTATTGAGGATTATATTCGACTTGAGTAATAAAACACTTTTAATTTTTATCTGAAAGTATAATATTTACAGAAGGGAAAACAAACCGTATTACGCTAAAATTTTATACCAATTACTATATATTTGAATAGTAACGATGGTCGAAAACTTTTTTTAAAGCTATAACGTATTTCTCCAAAAATTAAAAACAAAAAACTTTCATTTTCGGAATGTAAGTAATCGACGATTCCTCATCTTTCATTTGTTAGAAAAATTTGAGTAATACAATTGCCCATCACCTTAACGCCTAGCAGGCAAAATTTTTTTCAGGTATAATAAAATGAAGATTATGCTGAAATCGATACAGTACAGGCCTGAACTGATAAACGACAGCGAAAAATTGGCCTGGTGCTTTCATTTTTTCTGAGCTGCAATGCAAAAATTACAATTACACTCGATCCTGCACTGCAGCTCCATGTCTTACATCAGAGGAAATTGAAAAATCAAGCGTAGTGCACTCGTGTCGTGGCGAGTCGCATGCTACACGTACTTGACATAATAAACACATCATCGTGCATGCACAACACTGCGTTGTCTCATACGTTATAATGGCAAAGGAAACAACAACGGCGGCGACAAAGATGACGAGGACGACACACGCAATGACAAATTTGCCCCCTTCGTTCGATACGTATATACATTTCGTACGTACTTATAATGCTCATAAACAAACAGACTCGCGAGTCTAATCAAAGAGAAACAAAGTCATGAGGCAACGCTGTCACGAATAATATACAGAGTAAAAAGTGAAAAAATATTTTCATTCGTTGGTGATTGATAGAATGGCCCAAGCAGCTAGATGATATTGTTGCACGATTTATTGTATGCACTGTATTCTTGACTAATGAACAACGACCTGCATGCAAACGAAAATCATTGTGCTTGGGGGCGTTTCAATCATTAAATTGTCTTACGGGCACGTCATTTACTATACGCGTTCCAACGAAAAATTTTTGAAATTGATTGACTTTGTAAATGATCAAAGTAATTGATTTTCGTCTGCAACCAAAGGTTGCTAATTTAAAAATATAAATATCGTATAAAAATGGTTTGTAACATACTCGTTTGCATACAAACACGCGCCTATAGCTCGATTGAAACTTATGCAAAATGAGTCGAAAGAGGGATACAGAAAGAAAGACAGACGATGCTAAAATTAGATCAATCGAATAGTCTCAGCAATTTTAAGCTACCAAGAGATTCGCTCGAGCCTATGTACAAGCATTTTCTTGAGGAAAAGATGAATTTCCCAATACCCCCATCTTCGTCAAAAGTCATATACCTATTTTTAATTGTTATTGTAGCGATCTCGGCAGATTTAATTTCTCCACAATTAAGCTTTTTAACTCTGATTTTAGCACTCGAATGGCCTACTAAACATTTTTTGATAAGAAGTTTATTTCATTTCATTTAAATTAATGAATTCGTGAGAAGTGTTTTCATTTTATCCATGCATATATATAAAAAACAAGTGGAGATCAAAAGAGAGTTTGAACCGGAATTAAAATTCAATGCCAAATAATAAATGACTTTACGACAAATTTTCATGGTCAAATTTTGATATACTGAGCATTCCTTATTCGAGTAAAACTGTAAACGTTGAAAATGAACTCGATCTCAATCTCGGAGCTTATCGGCATATTTTACGATTCTAGGAATTGCAGGCTGATTAAAAAAATATTTTTCAGAACACAGTTTAGATGTAAGACGTGATAGAACAATGAGGATCATTGAAGCTCGAGTAAAAAAGCAAACGATTGTATCAGGCTCGTAAATATAACGGCCGGTTACATGTTAGTTTGATTTGCACTTGGCTGTTGTTCCGTGCACGTGAACTTAAACTTGAATTGGCAGCGATTGGAAGAACAATGATATGATGAATCTGGCAAATTTTTGTCGTTCCTAAGCGGCGCTGAACGCGTGAAAGAGAGAAAATGTCGAAATAGCTCAGTGGGTCAATGTCGATTAGCTAAACGAACGAGGAAAGCTTTGGTAAATAAGACAAATTAAATGAAAAGCAGCAATAGTGGCATCGAGTCGACGCATAGCCGCACAATGGCGAAATGCGCGCGGATATCCCGCGGGGGACGGCGGCGCATTATTACGATTATGGGCGAGGCCCCGCGCCGCTAGGCGCGGTTCAACTATTATCCTAAAGTGAAAACAATGATTGAACGAGGAAAAACGTAATTACGAACTTTGGCGGAATTCGGATTAACGAAAATGAGAGAAAAATAATATTTTTCTCGCAGCGCTTCGTAACGTGTGCGCGAGCGAACGACCTTGTCGGCACCATTCGCTGTAACAAAAATGTAATTATAGCGTAATAATCTCAGGCGGGACAAAAGATACGAAATGTTTAGCATACTGCGAGGTAAACGACAGCGATATTCGAAGGACACGTCGCAATCGCACCGAGTGCGACTTGGATTCACAAAATCATTGTTTTCCTCGTCTTTACACTTGTAGCCGTTGTCCGACCAACTTTTGTACGCCAACTTATTTACTGTGCGCACGCGTTGAAAGAAAAAATAAATAAATAAAACGAGAAAGTGGTTAGAAAATAAATAGTTCTGTTCGAGCGAGATTACTTTGTCGCTGTAAAGGAGAACCAATGCCCTTAAAAGCTTTCAACTCTTTCTACTTTCAGCTTCCTAATACGTGCATTCGGCCCGAACTTACGTGATTGATGCACGTTAAATTTTTATTCCGTCAAGTTTGTCAGACCAGTTTCGTGGATAATTGGCATTGGTAAACAAACGGCCGAGATCGAAAATGGCATAGAAAATCGGCGGTGCAGAAATAACTCAACGCTGCGGAAGAGCATTACGTAAGAGGCGTATACACGGCACGGCAGCGCGCATAATTGTCAGTTTTAATTAATTACATGTTTTGTGTCCAGTACGAGCAGCAGCACCGGTGGTAGATGGTTCGATGTCTTTTACGAGTAGACAAGGCAAGCAAGCGACGATGATCGTGACGACCCTTGGGCTTGGGCTCTAAGTAATTTTTATATATGCCTCGGATTTGTCCGCGAAGGTTGCCTCGCGCGCGTCTTTTATTATCATTGTTGTTATTATTATTTACATGGCTTGTAGCAAGTGTCTAGCAGACACGTATACAACATGCACGACTTGGATGTGCGAGGAACGATGTGCAGGTAACGATACTTTTTCGACTCGTACTGTACAGCAAAAAGAGTCTTGAGCCGCGAGGACGATTGACGCCGCCGCCGCATACGCGTTTCCGCTTTCGTTTGCTTTTTCCTATAGGCATAGAGCGATGGCCGCGCACGCGTGTATGTATAAAAATGTACAAGTATTTAGTAGGTATTGTATCGCCGAGGTTTTTCGCAAATGGAAAACTACACATTAGCCGTCGAACTTGGCTCATTAGACGTGATATAGACAATAGTCATGGTCAAGGCTTCTTTCGCATAAAACGAGCCGCGATTCGATCGACCACACGTCGTACAGCGTGTGCAGTCTTGGCGCGCGAGCTCTTGAACTTCTACCTCTATATTATGGACTTGTCTACCGCTTAGGATGCTTCGCTGCCTTTTATCTCAATTATTCATTAAAAATACGCGCGAGGTTATTTAGATACATATTTCAAGGAACTTGATCAACAAAAAATTTACACATACAAATTTTTATTATTTTTTACCGAGAACTTTCCATTGCACAGACCATGACAGCTTTTAGATGCAAAGTAAAGTTATAATCTTTTTTTCTTCTTCAAATGCATGTAAAATTGTAATAATTGATTGTCAAAGCTCGTTCTACAATAGCAGTACTTTCATTATTATACCCTTTGGCTCATTGCGCATAAGTGAGATGTCGATTAACTTGAACAAATACAGTGCGAGACGTTATTGCGCGTGTAGCTACGAGTCAAAGTAGTTTTGCGTTGACACAAAGTGAAAAAAATGACGATGTAATCAGCTCTGCGGCTAGGAAGAGCTAGAATATAACAAGAGATAAACGATTCGAAATCACGTGCACACTTACGAGTTGCGACACGAGAAGTCACTTTTTGTGCAATAAAGAAATATAAAAATATAATAAACAGCTGTGCGCGCTTGGAAAAACGATAACGAGGTACACGGCAACGCAAAACAATTAAAGTGGCAAAAAAAGCAATTGAGTTCGCCGTCGTCTTTGCCGCATACACGACCTCGATACGTTCCCAAGAGTTCACGGAAAAAAGACGTATAGGACTCTCGATCGTCGCGTCGCTCCCTTTTGTCAAACATAGGTGGAAATAGGCCGATGTACTTGGCCATCGTTGATATTTCTTCCTTTTTCCTCGCAACGATGATTTTATCGACTTGCAAGGAACATTACTTACTTGGGTTAATATGTAAGCGCGTTCCTAATACATTCTCGTTACATACGCGGCGTCGAATCGTCGATAAAGCTTCGATAACTAGGCTAAAATTACGTAAAATAGCGTTTTAATCTGACTAATGTAATTTTCGCTTGTATACGTTTGTGTATACTATACGGCGCGCGTGCGAAGCGATTCGCAAGAATCGCAACGTATATATAGCCATACGCGTAAAGAAAAAAAACGTACATTTAAATCGTACAAGGCTGAAAAACTCAGTCACATCATTTGCAAGTCTAAAGAGAATGGAGCATTAGTTGATGAACGCGAGTATGAAATAAAATGTTAACGTAAACATAGTAATTATAATTATGCAAAAGCTAGCCCCGATGATGGCCTACTCAGTTGTTGAGATTAAGCGTCAATAAAATATCGGTGAATTGCGAATAGTTCGAATTAAGGCAGAAAACATAACCCTACTCGAGAATCACAGCAGGGGGATTCACAGAGTTTGCCCTTGAGGAGACTCTTGTTCATTATCGCGCACTATTTCTTTGATTTGACACATTCCGAGCAGGGCTTTTATTTGTTTTGAAAGTAAAAGCCAAGAGCGCGTACTAATGCTACTGTGTGCGCGCGCGGCACAGCGGCGCCAAAAAAACCTGTTGCTTCTCTCTGGCGAACACATCTGACTCGATGCATTTGCTGCGGTATAATGCACTGCTCTATCCTACGTAAGTATAATGAGAGAGAGAATAGCGGCTTTGCGTGCACGCGCCTAGCGCACTTTTTTCTTTCTTCACCTCGTCCGCGGAATTAAGAAACTGGCTAGCTTAATCGACGCTTGTGACTTGCAAAAAATGTCAGGCACAATTCTGGCCATTGGCATAACCTCGTTTTGCAAAAAAAAAAAGATGATAAAAGTGTAAAATGGAACGAGTGTCAGTTGGAACGCGCTCGAGTGCAGCAGCACCGACGAGTCAGGGAGAGAGAGAGAGAGAGAGGATCTTTGAGCCGGTGACGGTGAGGCATCGGTACACGCGTACTCACCCGTATATAGACAGACACATTGTCTCTGGTCGCGTACGTGATGTGCAGCGGCGTATGCGACTTGGGACGAAAGATTAAATTTGCCTGGGCTGTATCGTCGATCAACAGCTATTGTATCGCACTGCTTAATTATGAACTAGTTGCAATTGGGAAACGGCACTCACAGTTGCACTGGCACTACGATATTTACCATTAAAACGTATACTACACTAAACTTAACGTTGCATGTGTTAAAGTGTCGATTCGCGCGTGGTTTATCTCTCTGTCCATGCGCGAGCGAGTGGATATGTATCAAGCGTGTGTGAGTGACTGTGGCGTGCTCAGGCAGTGCGCCTCTGATTCGCGAGCAGCTCAGAGAACACACGGCTCCGTAGACACGCACGGCGCGTTACTGAAAGAAAACACATCGAGGCAAGGCACCATACAGCAGGCGCGCGCGGATGACTGCGCCAATATACACACGCACGCTATGTTCGTGTGTGTGTGTGCTACGAGCTGCCGAGAATCGCCGAGCTATAGTACACATAAGCGGGAAAGAGAGAGAGAGAGAGAGTAAAAAGAGACTGTTATATTCGCGCGATACACGTTCCGGACCGAGCATTGCTATTTGTATAATGTGTGCCGCATTTGCTATACACGCGTACCCATACAGGCGTGTAGGATTGGCCAAAAGCCTCGGAATTGGCGATCGATGCACGAGAGCCCGAGCAGTCGACGAGTTTTCGATTGATTTAGAGTATATAAAAAAAAAAAAAAAAAATGCCGAGGCTAAGTCGTCGAGTCGACGTGCCGTAATGTCGCGATCGACGCGTATCGTTACGAAATAGCAGCAGCAGAACTGCTCGAGCGACGCTGGCACGAGGGACGCTCGCCGCGCGATCGTTGCTATCGCTGATTTTCCTTGCACGCACAAAGCATGCCCACTGCTTCGGCTTTTGTTCCACAGTGCCTATAGAGCTATAGAGTCGCGTCGTTACAGTAGACGATTTTCCCGACCAAGTGCGACGCGTGCATGCGTGAATCGCACGACTTGCCCGACGTTTTTCATGGAAGCGCCGATTCGAGGATTTAAGCTCGTTTCCTCGAATCTCCATCTACAGCACGATGCATTTTTTGACTTTGCTGGAAAAATAGGTGTCGCATCGACAGCTTGCGACTTGCTTACGAGGACTGCGTGCGTGTGGCCGACAGGCGCCATACGAAACCGCGACAACGCATAACAACGACGATATCAGTAAGCAGCTGAATCGCAAATTCGCAAGCTGTCGATGAACACGGCGCCAAATTTCCACTAAATCATTGGCTAAGATTCGTGGCGACGGATTTCCAAAGTTCGGAACTGGCTCGAGTAAAAGTGTAACATCAGTATAGGCGCATATAAAGTACTGTACACGAGGCAGCGAGCTGCGAGCAGCGCCGGCAACTTCGTACAACTGTGCGATTGCGAATGGTGAACGGCGAGTCACCTGAGACTGCTGAGCTCCGAGTGCGTATGCACTGCGCGGGTGTCCACCGTAGTCCGTAGTTCGCAGTCCGACGTCGAGTGCACCTGTACCGAGTCAGGCCTACTGTCGGCTCACGGCTGCGGTGAGATGCGCCGATCGACGCGACCTCTCACGCCAATGCACCAAACGGCCCCTACCGACGATAGCCGGGTCAATACATCGTCGCGGTATTACCGATTTCTGGCTTATCGCCCATAGTCTACCTATCTACGACTCCAGGCATCGATTTCAAATACTACCTCGACTTACGAATTAAAGCTTGCTGCTGATTAGTTGCCTTTATTCTTGCATGTGTCGATAAATATACATTTTGCCGAACATTTTCTTTGACAGGGAATTATTAGGAGCTTGATCCAGGATCAAGGCTAAAACTCTTCGGCGTCGAACATAATTCTCAGTATGGAAAAGTAGGAGAAGGAAGCTTTGAGTATGTTTTTGAAGTTCTCGAGATTCATGGCGTAAAAGTGACCGGCCATAAGGTAAATCGGCTTGCTCGATCTCGCCGCCATGAAATTGAGGTTCCTCCTCTGCTCGATCGGCAGCTCGTACCATTTGCTCTGGTAGATGGAGTCGGCGAGGGCCTCGTGCTGCTGGCAGAGCCGCTCGCTCGCGTAGCACAGCAGGAAGAGCTGCAGCATGAGCACCCCGAAGGCCAGGAGGGGCCTCACCGCGGCCAGAGCCACGCCGCTCTTCAGGGCCAGGATTATGCGGATGCACAGCATGAGGTTGAGGCCGGCGTTCAGCAGCAGCTGTATGATCAGCACACCCGACAGGGTCGCGTTCAGACCAGAGGCCAGCTCCAGCAGCTGCGAGTGTCTTTCGACGCGCTCGCGGATTTCCCGGCCGGTTTTCTTCCGCTCCTCCTCCTCCTCCTCTTTGCTCTCGGCGCTTGTTCCGTCGCCGATCGTCGAGAGCCGATTTCTCAGCAGCTCCAACTGGCCGCACAGGTGCATCATGAGGCTGAAAATGAAGCAGTCCGAGCCGATGTTGCCGTGAGCCGTGGTCTGGATGGTCAAAGTCTCCAAGGCGTACAGACTCGCGTAGAGGCCGTTCCTAGTGTTACCGAACATGCAACCGGTTCGGAGGGGTAGTTGCCGAACCATCCCTACCATCGTTTCGTTGCTTGCTCTGTGGATCATTGCGCGATATCGGATAGTATCGGCTCGAGCCGAAGGACTATAACAGAGGACTCACCCGAGAGTAGCGTTGCTCTGGTCCATCGGTGGCATGAGGAAGGGGAGAGATCCGACAAAGATGAGCGTGTTCGACACGTAACAATTGATCATCTGGTATAATATGACTCTGCGGCCGGTCTTACCGTAGGACCACATCAGCGATCGGTCCTGCTCGTTCTTGCTCTCGTCCAAGGCCGTCCAATCGTCGAGCGAGCCGAGCAAGACCTCGCGGATCTTGGCCATGTGGACGCGCAACGCGATCATCTTCGTCAGGGCCATTGCTGCGCACACCGTCATCATGATGTAGTCGACTTTGTCGCTCGAGTCGCCGCAGTTGAGAAATACCGCCGCCAGTTGGACGCACATCATCCACAGCTTTGAATGTGCAACTGTTATTGAACGTGCTTCGCTCGTCTAATAACAACTGCCAAAAGGATCTGAAGCCTTTACCTGATTAATGCCAGCAAAAACCAATCGAAACCAGGAGAAAATCCCGTCGCCGTCGAGTGGCCACAAGCCCAGCGGCCAGCAGATGAATTTGTTCAGTTTGAGCATACGATTCGATCCTTTGTTCCACTTCTGAGCCATTATGCCCGCACTTTTTTCACTTGTATTCTTATAAACGGCCTTGCCTGTGCCGATCAAACGCACACTCGTCTATAATTCCGATCCCCTTTCGACGGGATTCGCATTAATAAAGGCTGTGCCGCAAAAGGGTCAAGCCTGCTATTTTCATTTTTATATGCGTGCGGTCTATAAGTTTAGACGTATTCTGTGTCCAATAGACGCGCACCGCCTGTATTATTAATCAACTACGTCTGTACCCTTTACTTAACTCGATTGCAACTAATAATTGCTAGGCTAACTTTCTGTCAGTTTCTTCAAATAGATGCATCGCATGAATATTGGCCAAAACTTCTTCTCACTACTCAATTATTATATAGAGTACAAACAATTTTTTACCAACTGCTTCGAGACATCTAAATTTGCCTACTATGAGGTAGGTTCATTTTTAATCAAGGATAGTTTCATTTAGTTTATTTAGTAGGGAGGAATTTTTTAAGACCCTAACGAGTTCCGTAGACTTAAGATAGCAAAAATTAAATCTAGCGCAGTGAAAAAAATCTCTGATTTTTAATTGATTATAACTAATTAACGCTATCTCCGCAAGTAAAATTAAGGGCGGAGACATCATCCGAAAGTGAGGAGAAATTTTGTAAGCCCTACTCCCGATCGAAAATTTTAACATTTAGAAAAAATTCCGCTAACTTATGGAGGCTGTTGAGAAAATGAAAAAAACTTTAGATTGAAGTGAAATTTTAACCAATGATAGTTTATGAAATTACAAGATTTTGGGGGGAAAAATTCTGGGGTTTCCATGCAAACTTGAGAAATAATGAGATTCAAATTTTTGGCCATTTAACATTAGATCTTATGGGAAGTGTCAGTTTTTAGTGTACTATGAGCTCAAATCACTCTACAAGTTGATGAAATCAATATATGTTATAGGAAATATTATTTGCTTTCGAATGATAAAATTATAAATGGGTGTTTCCAGACAAATAAAAAAGATATTAAGAGTCCAACACATTTCCCCTATGTTCTGCCATGATGACGCTGTGGGCTGCGTAACGCATATAGCCTTGCGCATATAGCGTTTTACTACAGAACCACCTTGCATCACTGCAGCCTCCTTAACGAGTCTCAGTTCAAAACGCAGTGTAAACAAGTAAAGTTTGTGTGCTTAGGAAAATGGCCAACAACAACCAGTACAATTTGCTAAAATTAATGGAACTGCGAAGAAAGGTCAACTGGGCGCTCGAAAGAGATCGCCAGAAATTTCTTCGACAGCTTTACATTCTAACAAAAACGTGGATGAGCAATCTACCGAAACTTGGTGATTTTTTTAAACCCGAAGAAATCGATTGGCTGCTCACAGAAAATATAAAAAATTTGAAAAAACTCGACGTGAGCGAAGTAGATAGAATCATCAAATTCGTCATCGGTATCGGCTACGAGGACAAACCCAACGTAGGTACTGACGGCAAGCCGCTGTTAAGTCGTACCACTGCGATACACTGGGCGGCCCGAGGCAAGTACAGCTTCTGTATGAAGTACAGAATTCGGGAACTCTTGAAAATATATAAAGTCGACGTGAACTACACCGACGACTTCGGACTCAGTCATTTCCACGTGGCCATCCTGTACGACTGTTACGACGACGTCGTGCAATTTCTCGAGTTCGGACAGGATCCCAATTGCCTCGTTCCACCAACAAGTGTTTCACCGCTGCACTTGGCTCTGAAGCACGAACACAAGAAGATATTCGAGTTGCTACTGAGACGTGGCGTAACCCGAATTTGGCCAACAAAAACGGATCGACGCCTCTGCACACTCTTTGCTCGAGAAAAGACAGCAATTATGAATTGATGCAGTTATTCTTCCAGATCTGCGACGATGTAAAGCAGCCGGTTCAAATCGACACCTGGGATAAGTCGGGCAATACACCGTTACACGTAGCTCTGAAGCTAAAACACTTCGTTTTTCCCATCGAGAATGATTTCGAGGAGATCGCACTCATTCAGCTCAGAACCTTCGATTTAGATCGAGCGTTTCGTGCCTTGGACGTGGTCCAGCGCCTCGAAAAAAGAGACTACGTACTCGACCGAATCGGCGCCCTTACGATCATGAAAGTGTTCGACAAGCTCGAATTGAACCATGAACCAAAAGATCCAGACGAATATTTGGGCCGTCAAAAGGAAGGCTTCGTGGAGTCAGTGAAAACCCTGACTATAAATCCAACCTTGTCGCTTTACGACTTGATTCGGTTGCCTGACGAACAGGCGTCGAAACGATGCACTATCGCGGACTCGTTGTCTCTTCTGAGCTCGAGCAAATTTCAACAATGGCGAAACAAGGAATTTTGCTAGGAGTGTAAAAAGTACCTGTGCGAGATGATTCACGAAAAATTTTGCCGTCGATGGGCGTTGGAATTTTTCTTGTCGCTGACGCGATACCAACTGCCGATTCTCTGTTGCGACATAATCATTCGTCGGCTGACACACGAAGATCTATTGAATATGTGCCTGGCAGCGGAAAATATGTGACACTGCTCGCAAAGGTATTTTCATTTTTCTTTTAACTTTTCTAAACTATCGATTTTTTTCACTATTTCTAACTGTTTGTCGTTATTATTTTCTAGGTCAGGATGTCAAGAATTATTACTTCATCATTGATAACGTTAAAATATTTTTAGTTCGTGCACGGAAGTGTCAATCCGTATTGAATAAAATTTTTCTTCAAAATCGTTTGATAATGATTTACAGATTTCCCATCATAACACTCAGTGATAAGAAATCTATGAATTTGATAGCATGAGATACTTTACACTTTTTTATTCATTTTCATAAATTCTATTACTTTTCAATCAGTTATTTTAAATTATATTAGAACCATCAAACTTTATTGTATGTACTATATTTTTTCCATAATAGTTTTTTACAACAATTTTTTTCAATTACTTATTAGAAGTTCGTGGCAATATCTACTTTCGTTATAAGACAAAATCTATACAAGGGTCATATTTAGCATATCATGTAGTTGGTAGCAAAATAGCATATTGACCATCAAGCCAACTATATTCCTCTGAATTACCTACACCTTAACTCAAATCGTTTTCGAAATCGATCGTGACACGGTGCGAAGTTGGTAGCTACTTTTTCTTTTTCAAATTCCGATACAATTATGGAATATGTTACAAGTTGATTCTGTAGAACGTAAATGTGAAAAAAAGAGATTAATTTTGTATATAATATAAGTACTAAAATTATCTGAAAGTTTATAATTATAAAGAAAAAGAATTACAATTGATTGAAATCGTTGCAGGTGTCAACGGATATGACCGAAGTATTTATTAAACATTTTTCTTTACGACAAAGAGGGCAAGTCATTTCTATGGCGATTTTCCTCGCTCACTTAAAAGTGCGATACTCTTGCCAAAAAAGTGGTTAAACTATTAAGGTGATGTTAAACATAATACAAGTTAGCTTATTATATTTGTTCATCTACGGTGTACGTCCGAGTAGATTTTTTTAGAAATTTTTAAGAGATGTTTTTTAGATGTCATACCCAGTCTATTGCTCAAATCTGAAAAAAACTATCAACTTTCTAATATTTGAGGAGAATTTCAAGAATTTTTGCGTACACCAAAACTCGCCAATTGGTAATTATAAATTATTAATAAAAATAAAGTTCTACATCTAAACATCAAATTATTTCAATTTTTGTACAGTCAAAACAACAATCAAAGCTACATTTTTATACTTATCTCAATGTGAACACTGTTAACGAGCTAAATGAGGTCAATCTGCCATTATTTTCTACACTCTTTCAACATTTATTTATGTTGTTAAAAATTACATATCTGCAGACTTGGTGGGCCAAGAGTTGAATTTTATCGTTCGTTTTATCAAACTTCTCCCTGTAATTGAACGCGCAAGATATATTTTATATTAAAATATTTACTATTATAAGTTTTGGAAAGACTATGAGCTTTTAAAGGATTAAGAAATTTGCCTAGTCTTTTGATCCGCAGTAAAATTGACAGATTAGAATATTCCAAAACGCGTCCTCTGTTATATCGGTAAATATGTGAAATCCGATTAACGTGAGTGTTAAATCCAGTTTCAGGAATAATTGCTGCAAGTTTTATCCGAGCTTTACGGCCTTGAGCAAATATCGTCGACTCACGGGCTCCTGTAAAAGATGGGCAGAAAAATGTCGAGGTGGCAAGATTTTTCCAGATATGCAACTCTAGAGCGAAAGAAAAGATCACGAAAAGTCCAAAAATAGATCTCGTTCGGACAAAATTGAATTTCAATGCAAGGTAGTAGGTATAGTACGCGCACATCGTTAACGTATTGTAAACAACGCCATGAGCGTCTAATAATAGCAGCAGAAAGCTCCGAGCTTGCGGCGAGACTGGCCATCATGAGATTCGAGTAAGTCCAACGAGTTGGGAGAAGAAAAAACACTAAAGGTAGTTGGAATAAAGTCCAACTAAAGCCATTCGTATAGCGGCAATAAAATTGAACGAGCCCTCGCTAGTGCCGATTAACACGCCGATGGAAAAAAATAAAACATCACGAGCTGCGAGAAAGATGCAGACGCGAAGGCGCTTGGTTGTTAATTCAGTAAAGGCGATCCGAATCGATGATAGGGTAATTCATTATTCGTCGCGCCAAGTTACACACGGTCGTAATATTTCATGATAATGAGCAGCTTGGCTCATATTTTTAGTCGCTGAAGACATAGCTAAGGCATCGCTGCACGGGTCGCATAGAATATGCGCATAATCGAGGCTTGGCAAAAGCTCGAGCCCATAATAAGGGCATGAATGATTGAAATTGAATAGGCTTGGCTGGAAAGTCGAGCGATGAATATTTGCCGCGTCGAGAGATAAGGAAAGGCTTGGTCTTGGAGGATGAATCCCGAGGAGGCGTTTTCCGTGTACCGGAGCTTCCTCTGGTTCCTCGGGGTCTGGCCCCTGGAGGAGAAGAGCCGATACCAGCGTCTGCGCTACTACACGGCGGCCTTCTTCCAGGCCAGCTTCCTGCTGCACACGAGCATCGAGATCTGCCTGAACCGCAGCGGCGTCTCGGACATGGTCGACGTCTGCCTGTTCTTCGCCTCGGCCTTTCTGGCCCTCATCAAGCACACCTACCTGCACCTGCACGGCCGCAAGATCGCCTACAACCTGCGCAGCTACATGCGGGACTGGAGGCAGCCGAGCGAATATGGAAGCGCCGTCATGCGATCTCATTTCAAGGTGCCGCGCTTAGCTTTTTGTAACAAAGAAAAAAGAAACAGAGTCGAGCTTTTGTTGCAGATGTACCGCTACCAGTTCATAATCTACAACTCGATCGGCTACATCGGCACGACCCTCTTCCTCATCCGCACGCTGCTGCTCAACTACCTGAAGGATCGGGGCCAAGCTCGGGACGACGGGCCGGAATTCGAGTACGAGTTCATCTGCAAGATCTCCTTCCTGTCCAAGCCGTTCCTGCTGAGGTACCACACTGGCCTCCTGGTGCTCCAGTACCTGCAGTGCATGTACGTGTGCAGCAGCGGCGCCAGCACCGACTGCTTCTTCTTCGGGCTGCTGCTCCACTTGGCGGCCCAGTTCAAGATTCTCAACAGACGATGGCACGACTTTGGCGACGCGAGTCGCGACGATCAGGCGAGCTTCGACGAGCTCGTGGCCAGACACCAGCTGCTCACCAAGCTCGGCCAGCATCTCGAGCAGAGCTTCAGTCGAGTCGTCCTGCTCCAGCTGCTCATCAGCGTCATACTCATTTGCATGAGCGGTAATAGCTGTCTTTGAATTTTTCCAAGCAAATTGTCATCCAATTGCTATGCGTCGAAGGCTGCAGCATCCTCGTGTCGATGATGGAGCGGGACTACGTGACCATGCTGATAAGCACCAACTGCGTGAGCTTCATGATCACCGAGTCCTTCATCTACGGCTACGCGAGCGACTACCTCAAGTCGCAGAGTCTGGCGCTGGTCGACGCCGTCGCCGCCTGCGGCTGGTACGACCTCGAGCGGGCCCGCAGACGCGACCTGGCCTTCGTCCTCATGCGGGCCCTCTTGCCTTGCAGCATCACCGCCGGCAAGTTCTTCTACGTCACGCACAACACCATCGTCCAGCTGGTCAAGACGTCCGTCTCCTACCTGTCCGTCCTCAGGATGACTATCGAGCACTCTAGGAAAGCCGACGCCAACTGATACTTTTCACCTTTTTCATTTTCATGCTTATATTATATCCACTTTAGTTATGATTTATCAACTTGTCGATAATAAAATATATTCTCACACATGACAGCAAACTTGCACTCGTATTTAAAATATTTATATAAGTAGATTAATGAGCAAGTAAAACGTTTGTGTGCAATTAACTCGACGCTATAAGCATTTGTACGTAAGAGCGTGGCGCGAGGGGCCGCCGGCTCGTCGTCGCTCGCGCCTCGCCACTCGCGTGTAATTTCATTTGACGTATCGTCTGCAATATATGCAAACACAGCAGACGATTAACATGGCTGCAAATTTGTTTAAAAAAGTAAGCCCTGCTCCTCGCCACATTATAAAAACCAGTGATTTTTTAATCGCTCACTTTATTAATCGTCTACTTTTTCAGCTGATTGCAGCGAATCATCCAAGGATACTGAGCCAAGCTCTGCCAAAGAACTATGCTATCTATACGCCGGATTATTTAGAGGTTACTTCTTTCACTCGATTGTTTACTTGAATTCTTTTCATTACCCAAGACTTCACTGTCAACTATGATTTATGAGGCTTTTTTTATTTTTAGGCATGCAAACCCAAGTATCCTCTTTATCCACCGTTGACTGTCAAAGTTAAAGGCCACGATTTCAAGGTGCTAGAAACTTTTCAAAGTCAAATACATAGAATTGCCAATTTCATGGACTTTGATGTTGAAGACAGGTATTCATTTTATTCTTGTCATTTATTATTTAATAGTAAAAGTAAATTAATTTATTTCTATTTTAGTTATGCCATGCCAGCAAAAGAAACTAGAATTGTTAGATTTAAGCCTAAAACAACAGCTACGGAAGCTGAGTATGTCTTGAAAACTTATGCTAGACATTTAGTTATATCCAATGTAAATTCAGTAGGATTACCAATATTCATTCAAGTTCTTCAAAAGAAAATACCTGTTGGTGTGACATTTGAAATTGAAGAACACAATAGTGAAAAGGAAGCATACAGGTTTATACCAGATAAACAGTTATTAGATTTGAAACAAGAACTTGGTGACATGCAGGCTGCCAAAGCTAAAAAGTAGCCTAGTGGTTGTTGTTGCTTAATATTAAAGATAAATTTTCTTTTTATGTAACATATAAAACTTTATTAAAAAAAATATAAAAACTATGTACAATATGATTGCTTGTAAAAATAAGTGGATTGCAATGATAATACTTTCATTATTGCTAAGACAAATTCAGTTTAGAATTATTTGATTTGATTTGATCTGCACCTTTGCATTACTACAGAAGACCAAAGTGTACAACTTTGATTTTGGCGGGCTCCTCAGTTTTTATTGAATCTTTAACTTTATCAGAACCATCTTCTGAAAACATGATAATAAGTATTTAAAATGTAGCTTTTAATACATTGATGTTACATTCTCTATTTGATTTTCTTACTAGATAAAGGTTGAAAGTCTTTTAAATAATCTTCATTTCCCAAACACAATGGTAAACTGTCTGCCAATTCTCTTTTGGGATCCATTGGATGTAACTGTGTAACAGATCTAATTGGTCGGTATGTTGGTCCCTAAACATGTTTAAATTATACAACAAAAGTTTGCAATTTTTGTACGATAAAATATGGCTTAAAACTTACGGAAGTAGGTACTAAAATATGTGTAACAGTATCCGAGAATTTGACTTTGGGCTTATCTGTTACAGTTGCCACAGTATCCAAAGGTGTTGTTGAAGGGGAAGAGAGTTTTTCATTAGATGAAGTAGTTATAATAGGTAATGGTGGCACATTGGAAGATGGTCTATAATCTCTAATTGAATTAACGTTCACACTACTTTGTGAAATTCCTAATTTGTACAACTTACTGTCAAAGGGTTTTGGAGAGAAATTGTAATTATTTGATTTAATATGACTTGTATGAGCATTGGATGAACTCAAATTATCACAACTGTTATGGAAGGGTATATAATCAAGATCATAATCTAGTCTATATTTACGAGTCGCTTGAATATTATTTCTATGATGAGACTGTAATATATTGGAAACTGAATTTTGATGAGGTAAAAAACTGGGTGGTGCATGCAGTGGCTGTGCATGCTGAAATTTTGAAAAAGAATTATCCAAATCTAATAAACCTGGTGTACTTCCAGAAAGAGAAAAACTTTTTTTAGGTAAATTTTGCATGTAACTGGATAAGGTATCAGTAATCAAAGGGGGTGGTGGAGGTGGAATGTTTGAAGCTGAATGGTCTTTCGTTGAATTACTGTTACTTGAACTATCACATGAATTGCCATTGGAATCATCATTTGCATCCACTGGATCATTAAAGGAAGTAGACATTAGATTACTAACAGAATTAAATATTGGAGGTGAAGGTGACTCATTAACTTCAGAAGATGTTTTAAGAGTAATTTCAGTCTTATTTATTGGAAGGTTACTTAAGGCACTGGATGTCAGTGGAGAATTTGTTTTAATACCACTTGAAAATGTATTATTGCTATTGAATTCAGTATTTTTTTGAACATTATTTCCATTCTCTGAAAAAGATATTGTGTTTGATGAAAAGTTTGTGAATGATGTTGTCATCAGATTACTAGTGGTATTGGTCACAATGGAAGACATAGTAGAACTTATAATTTCAATTGGTTTTGTATCACAAATACTGGTTGGAATAGCACTTGGCACAATGTTTGCTGATTGATAAGGATTTGCAATATTTTCTAAGGACATGCTATTTAAAGATAATTGTGCAACACTTGGAGTTAATTGATTCATAATGGATAAACTTTCAACTGGAGATACTAAATTATCGTAATTTACTGGCTGAGTGAACGTAGGAGTTGTTATTAAACTAAAAGTTGCTGATGTACTACTATAAGGTCTAGCAGACAAAAGAGTATTTGGAATCAAATCGGAAGCAGAATAGCTTAAAGAAACTGGAGTAATATTACTACTAGGTAAATTAAAGGAAGTAGACATCAAATTATTATGAGTGCTATCTACTGTTTCATTAAAAGATGTCGACATGAAGCCACCGTTATTATATACTGGTGTATAAACAACAGGAAGTGGCGGAACTTGACTATTTAGACTTTTTGGGTAATTAAGTTTGGGCATACGCTTTGAATGAAGTTTTTCTTTTCTAGGTGGTTCTTCACTTTCGGTATCTTCGGAGTAAGATTCATCTTTATCACTTTCGGAATCTGAACATATCGAACATGAAGGCCGTGAGCATGTTGAATCTAAATCAAATGATTAAAAATTGAAACATTGAGAGATAATATCATTTTACTTAAAGTATTTTTTCTTCAACTTACGCGAACTATTACTACTATTGCATCTACTAATAATTTCTTCAGCTTTTTCCTTCGCTGCAGCAGCCATTTCAGTATCTTTCAGAACAACAGCATAAAAGTGTATATCCATGAAAAGGTCGTGATCGCTCAAATCAATAGCCAAACGAAATGCTTTCTCAAAAAGTCGGTATCTAAGGAGATAATGGAAAAATCTTCTTGTCAAATCACGAACTTCATTGCCATATTCGTCAATAACTGCCTGACTCAAGGGTTTAGCTGGGACATGAAAACTACCCAGAGCATTTTGGATAAGATCTGAAAAATTGATATAATATAAATATTTTGAATTGAGTGCAACTTTTGTTAAAAATGATAATTACTTTCTCTATCAGGTGTCAATGGCATCTTGAAAAGAAAATTTACAATTTGATTTAATGAATGCATACAAGCTTGAGGATGTAAATCCCAATTCATAGCTAATAACAGAGAGGTTGCTTGTTGAACAAGTGATAGCCCTAAATACTTTTGCACTAACACATCTCCACCTAAATTATCACTTTCTATACTTCTAAATATTGCAATTGGACCTCTGTAATATTAAAAAATATATTGCTTAAACGAGTTTTTATGAAACATCTTCGAAATATTTACCTTTCAAATAATAAAAAAATTAAAGAATCTCCGTGATTGTAGTAATCTACAAAAGTGTTTGGCTCATTTTTTTTAGCCCATTCGAGTCTAATGAGTGCAGGTTGAGTCCTTTAAAGTACATATCAAATATAGAAACTAATAATCGAGTGCATAATGATTATCGTGTAATCAATGAATTTTAAGCGTTGAAATCAATAATAGTTAAGCGTTATTTTACCGAAAATAGGAAGATAAATCGATCACATTGGCAGGTGCGATATCTTCACCGGTCATTTGACTTTTTAGGCAGTTTAATGCAATATCGAAGTATTGCACTTGACCTCTTTCATTAGCAACGGCAAATAAATGTCCATCACTGTGCCAACAAGCTAGAGTGGGTATCTGCGGAGATATAAGGGTAATTTTTTATTTTTTTATATATATAAATTATTTTTCAATTTACTTACAAAAGCAGTTTTAATGATGTTATTGACGCCTTTTACTTGATTATGTAAAGTAATTGTGCCATCGATGCAGCACAAAAGCAAAATATCTTGATTCGGTGAAAATTTCACGCAGCTTGTGTGGGTGGGTAGAGGTACAGAGACGATTGCTATTTTTTGCAGTTTATCATTTTGAGACACTTCGTAAGTGCGCCACTCGACCGTAACTTCGCCCTGAAAGTAGAAGAATTCCATTTCGATCATGAGAATGAATGGATAAAAAGTAACGACTTTTTCGTCTTAAAACATATTTTTAGATATTTGAAAACAAAAAATGAATTTTGCAATAATGAAACGATCGAATAATGAATGGTTTGACTTGTCATACTCACCTTTCTCGACACCTTTTGTTCTAAAGAGTGGAAGACGTTATTGTAACTAGTATGAAATGTGATACACAAAGGGTCGAACTCGGTTCGAAGGTAACACAATAATTCCAGCTTTGAACTGAAACAGATTGATGATATCCATGGAGATGCATAATCGATTCTTTAACCTAAGTTTGTTAGTTGGGAACCAAATTATTTCGTGAAATCAAAATTCAAGGTAGTGTTTCAAGTGATCAAAATGTCACAATTTTGGCACGCTCATTGGGCTGAAGATGGTTTTAAACCTACTAAATTACGGAACTGGGAAGTACCTAGATGGCATGCACAATGGCCAGATAATCACACTACAAATACTCAATTTCAAGCTCATACAAACGGTCGACTTTTTGCAAATGTAAAGAGAAGTGGTTGTCCATGGGGAGATTACAAGGTAACTATTAGATAATTTGGAAGTACTTGTGTAAAACGCTATTTTAATGATAGGAAAATTAATAGGGAACTTGGGAACTACCATCAAAAATAGATCGTAAAACCGCTGAAGAATTATCTCGATCAACAGAGTATAAAAAAGCTTTTTGGGATATTCATAAAAAGAAACATGACAGATTGAATGAAATGACTCGAAAATGTCGTAGTTGTCAAAAGAAAACAATTTCATGTCCCAAAAATTGTATTACAGATGAAAAGGATACAGAAGAGACAAATGATCATAAATTGAAAGAAAAAAAAATAGAGACCCGAGCAGTAACAAAAGCACCACCTCCAAAGCAATGCTATATTAAAGATTTATGTATTTTATAAATCTTCTTACCCAATAATTCTGTAGAGATGTACATTAGCACGATCGTGTTCTTTTACGGTTGGACTCCATGGAAATACTTCATTCATGGTGGATTTCCACCATATTAATATCTAGTAACAATCACAAGGTTAATAAAGTGATTAATTTTTTATAAAATTCATTTAGATAATAAAATAGAAGTGTGAGCATACTAAATCTTCAGATTTATTGTGTTGGATTTTTTTCTCTAATCTACGCCCTGCTGGACCGCACAAGTCAAAAGTTACAATTTTAGAATCTAACTTATTGATTTTATCAAATATACTTTTCTTGGACTTGGCAAAACTAATTAATGTAACTTGAGTATCATTGTAAGTACAGACCAAGTAATTTTTTGTAATGATCACTGAAAAAATGTTAATCAAGTATATGAATAACTTATAAACTTAATTTTCACTTTAGAAAGATTTTTTGTACCATCAGATAATCGTTCTGATAACTTTCCAATTAAGTACTTGTCAAAAATAATTTTTTGAATATCACCACTACATAGATTGACTTGTACATAAATTAACAATCCAGAACTGAGCATTAATTGGATTGTACAGTAATCAAACCATTGACAATAGACAGTTGAGTAGGTGGCTAATTGTTCCTGAAATGCCAATAGAACATTAAAATCAGCACAGAGCTTCATCATTTGTCAACCATATCCAAAATTACCTCTAAATATTTAATATTATCCTTCAGCTTATTCCCTTTTTTATTCTGCGGTACATATACCATTCCTCGCATTTGAGCGTACGACTTTTTACCCTCTTCGTAAACATTTTCGAATTTTTTGTCATGATAGCTGTAGAAAAAATAAAAGTATCATTATTTAATTTTTCAATATACACAAGACATATGGAGAAAAGTTGCATCGCACGCATAGCAGTACTTTGCCTCGCAGCGGAATTGTAATTACAGTTCCAGTGTTTACAGCGGAATGTTAATGGTACAAACACGGACTGGCATTGGGGGGAGAAATACACACCTGAAGGCACCGAAATCCGTGTCTTTAACGTCAACATCACTATCGAAGGTCCAGAAATTCAATTCGCCCAATAAGACGAACATCCTACAAACTACGCGCTACACCGTGTACTTGTTTAGAAAAAGCGGCTCTCTACTCGCGATTGTGTGTACTTAAAAGGCCTATGTCAACAGAGACACTATATGTATACAAACACTCTATAGACTGTGTAGCGGCTACAGCGTCGAACGGCACAAATGCTCGAACGACGACTGTGAAGTTACGCGCGCAGTTCACGGCGTTCGCAGTCTCGTACTCGCGCCAAGCGGTATCCTGGACATCGATACATATCGAAATTTTTCTCCCATTGCCAAGGAGCGTGCATACGTCTGTATACAGCATGAAATATACGCCAGAGAGAAATCTGTAATGAGAGTCACGTGACCCAGGCCGTTTGTATGTACGGTACCTACTGCACTCATACGTGTAACTTTTTTCTGGTTTTTAACGTTCGCAGCTCAGCTCGTGCTAATGTTTGTTTACCAGAAATAAAACCAGTTTTATTCGTGTTTTTTTCTCTTAACTTTTTAAATGAAATACAGTTGCATTCGTGAAATTGGAATGCATTAGCAGAGTAATGTTTGATTTTTAAGCAGATTGTGCGACAAATGATTAAATAGTGGTTTGCAGAAGCGTCAACAGTAAATCGAATATAACCCGCAGAAGAAAAATTACTACAATTAAAATGATGAAGAATTCAAAAAGAACTGAGTCCAATATTTCGGTGGATCTGGATGAACCTTTGACCGGCGAATCGTGCTCTCAGCTGGTTATGGAGCTCGTAAAGTATGTCATGTACCAGAAGCAACAAATTCCGCTATCGTGTGATTCTTTGATGAAACTTCACAAAACTTCGAAATCGACAGACAGAAATTTTTCGTTGATGCAGAAATTAGTCGATTCACTGGCTAACGTGTCCCATCAACTTAACTCGCAATTTGCTCGAAATGAGTGTGACGTGAAAGAAATTTTGATTATCATTGGTGCAACAACTTTCTCTCCAAAACTGTGCATCAGAATAGAATTACCTTACTCTATTCTCAGCAGTCGAAATCATTCGTCATGCCATCACTCTTCTCGTAAAATATTGTTAAATGTTATGAAGTGAGTTGTTTAACCATATGTTAATTCAGTCAAATTGTTTTTTCTAAAGCTTGATAATAAATTCTTACAGGTCAATGCTGAACTGCGAAGAGTTTCAACAAGAAATGACAGTGCCATTAGGACTAACAAATACATTTGTTCTAGTTCAAAAAAGAGATTCTCGCAAGATCTCTGAGTATTTTGTGCCAAAGCCACAATTCAATTTTTCTTCTCAGAATACAGCTTCATTTCTCATTAAACTGAACTATAATGGTGGTAATGAATTCAATTGCAATTGTGGAAATTTAATAAGAGTTTTCAATGATTTTGATCAAAATTGTTACGACGATGACAGTGAAAATGTAGAAAAATGTGATAATGATGTATCAGAAATCCCTTACCAATGGTATCAGTCAAAAGACATTTTAAAAGGTTTTAAATTTCTTAGATAATATCAACTTGAATTGAATTGTAAAAAATTTGCAATATTAGAAAAATTTTAAAATATAAGTAGGTATTAATTTTAAATTGTTATAATACTTCTGTCAAAAGTATTTAGACAGTAGAAAACATACTAGTTGTTATAAACAAATTGAATTTTTAAACTGTTAGAAATTTATCAACAGTTGAGAAAATTAAATGAAATAGTGAAAACTGATGATTCATGGAACAAACGAAGGCAAGTTTACGAAACAAAAAATCATTTCATTAATCTTATCAGTTCAAATGTTTAAAGACAAGTGATCTATACATAATCATGGCTTTTTAATTTTAAAAACATAAATTTTGACAATACTCATTTATATATACTTGTATATTGCCAAGTAAAAAAATGTAATGTAATTTGATTTATATTAAAATTTTAGTCAATTTTTATCTGAATCTTCGTTATTTAATAAAAGATGAAATTTTTATACTTTAGGAGATATTGTACTTTTTATTCTAACACTGGCGTGATTTAATCATCTTTGAGCGTATCAATACTTTTTTCCCGGGAGAGTAGTATTAATATCTCACGAGAGGCGATACGAGATTTAGTTTCTTCATTTCGGTGCATAAGAGACGTGTAGTAGTACTAAGTGCAACATGAAGAAGTTGAAATTTCTCACGAGCGAGCAGAAAGACTTTTATACGGAGAATGGCTTCGTTAAACTCAGTGGCGTATTTTCGGACAAAGAATTTGATGAGATCCTGAAAGAATACAACGACTTGTTTGCTCGCAAACAGGAAGAGGACGTCACCAGCTTGGAAGCTGCCTGGGTCGGCGATGACATGAAAAAAGCTGCCAACAACATCAATTACACTGTAAGTGATTGTTAAAGTTTGGAAAATGTTCCTGAAGTAATGAAATCGATGCGTTTGTTTTCGTAGGTGAAATCCATTCATAATTTGCAAATGCACAGTGCAGTTTTTACTCGCCTACTGATGAACCCGAAACTCCTGGACGCTATCGAAGACATCCTGGACACTCCCGATATTCTTCTCCACCATACCAAAGCCCACATAAAACCGCCGGAAAAAGGTGCCCCTTACCTCATGCACCAGGACTATCCTTACTTTCCGTTCAAGAAGCACTCGATGCTCGCGGTGTTTGTTCACCTCGACGACACGACTCCGGAAAATGGTGGCTTGTGCGTCTACCCGGGCAGCCACAAGCTCGGGCCGCTTCAAGAGCGCGAGCTCATCGACGAAAAGGGCGAGAAGTATCGTTACGTGGATCCCGACAGATTTCCCATTTCCGGGGCTACACCTGTATCAGCGAAAAAAGGCGAGATCATCGTGTTCTCGTATCTGCTGTTGCACGGCTCTTATCTGAATTTGTCGACGAGGCCACGACGCATGTTTTTGGCGCAATTGAGAGCCGCCGACGACGAGCCGACCAAAGCCGTGCATCACTCGCATTGTCAGGATCTCGTGCTGAGAGGTCGCAATTTGCACATGAAGGCCAGCATGGAGACTAGATTCGTCGATTCGATTAAAAATTCGTAAATTTTTTTCGTCATACATCGATTGACATGTACATGTACAATGACAAAGATAATAAAGTTTATTTATCTTTGATTTATAAATTGAACTTATCGTTGTACCTAGTTTCGTTCCTTACAAAATCCAAAGCATTCACTCATCTGTTCTAACCCTTAATAGTCACTAAGATGTGAAAAATTATCAAGTAAAATTTATTAATTTAGAAAAAAAAAAATATTTCATCAAGATGGATCTATTGTATGACGCAGCCGACGACTACGACGATCCATTCGATTTTCCGTTTAAGAGTAAGAAATGATACATTTATGACTTTGTTACGTAGTTCGTTCATAGCCTCGAATCGATAATTTTACGCAGTCGATGACTTTCAACCGTTGTACGTCACCAGTGCTAAATCGATCTCGGTCGAAGAAGATCAAGGTGATGACCAGTCGTTGTCTAGTGTCTCAGATAGCAAAAAGCTCGAAAAAAGCACAGATGAGACTGGCTTGGAGAGAAAAGCCTCGATCGTGTACGCAGATAGAAAATCATTTATCTATGAATACGAAGAGGAAGAGTACTCGAGCGGAGAGGCCGATAGCGAAGTTCAAGACGAAATCGAAGAAGAAAAGAAAGTCGAGGAAGCAGAAGCAGGAGGAGCCGAAGAAGCCGAAGAGGCCGAGGAGATATTCCTGAAGGGAGACGGAAGGGGTTTCGCGCTCGGTTATGGCTACGACGCATCCACGCTTCGTCTGAGCGAGGAGGAACGCCGAGACATCGTCTCCCAACTGAAGAGCTTGGCCGAAGACGCTCAGGTCGGCCTGGCTCAGAACAAATTTCTGCACAAGCAGTACATCGGCACCATACGCAACGCGCAGGTTCTGGCCGAGGCGCTGGATCGCTTCGACGAGGTCATCGTTTACGAGAGCTCGCGGTACGTCGCGGTACGTCGCGTTCGTGTAAGAAACTCAAAAGCTATAAAAATGTTTTGCTCGACATCCTCGATACAGGTACAACGCCATGCTGGAGAATTACATGAATTATCGGGACGAGAGCGAGGCCCTGAAGGCGTCGCACGCCGACGATCTGCAGAGGCTGAAGGACAAGTGCGCCTCGGAGAACGAGCGTCACGCGCGGATGCTCGACGCCCTGATCGGCCAGCAGCTCGAGGTGGCGCGCAAGATGAAGCCCCAGGGCGCGAGGAACAAGGCCGACTGGCTCGAGATCGTGAGCAAGAGCATCGAGAGCCAGAGGCCGAAGATCGCGCGCGTCGCCCAAATCCGACTGGCCTGCTTCAAGATCCAGACTCTGCTCGAAGGTATGCAGGACCAGCTGAAGGAGCTCGACCGACTGGGCGCCGGATACTCGGTCATCGATTACGAGTACTTGCTCAAACGGAAGGAGGTCTGCGTCGAGAGGAGGAAGGAGCAGGAGGAACAGATTGCCGACTTGTCGCACAATAATTTGCTTTGCGCCTCGGTACGACCTTTTTTTAATCTTCCAAGTAATTTCTTTCTATTCCAAATACTCGAATGGCGACTTTATGTCCAGATCGTGAAAAATCTCGAGGAGGAAGTCGATCTCGATCAAGAGAAGATCGAGAAAATTCGCGAAAATTTGGACTGCTTGCTGGCGAGCAACGTGAGCGAGCACTACGAGGCCGCGAGCTACGGCAAGCAGCGAAGCTTGATCCAAATGAAAACTCTCAAGATGCAGGAGGTGATCGGTTTGTTGGACAAGCCGCATCTGCTGAATAAAATGGCCGCGAGCTTGCGAGAGATCCAATGCCTCAAGGACAAATCCGAAATCATTGAACTTCAAATTTACTCGGACGCAATTAGACACGCTCTTCTCTTGTGATAAATGCTTTATTTTCTATACATCTTAACGATAACTGCTTTGTCTCTTTTTCTTGTATACCTCCTTGACGATTGAATGTCGCTTAGTCTTGGGTACCTCGTAGACTCTGATTTTCATGAGGATAAAGTCGGCCGCGAACAGCATCCTCAAGATCAAGATGAGCGAACTGCTGATCCAGAAGCAGAGCATCAACGACGTGGCAATCTACGCGTAGACAATCGATCAATTGCAAACCCGTAAAAATTCATAGATAATCGCGACGAGTCTTTACTTGAATCATTCGGTACACGATGCAAACGTCGAAGGTGCCTCGATAACTGCCCTCGACGAAGGTCCGCAGCGCCGAGCAGGGTCTGTAAAAATCAATGGATAAGCTTGAAACGAGAAATTGACGCAGCTCCGACGCGACACGAGCATGAAATTATTTTCTACATCATGCATATGACAGTATCGCCACGTAACTGATTGAAAAAATATGGATTCCGCTGGACTTTGGTGATGGAGCGAGCCAAGCGATAAAAGCTATCGGCGAAAAACAAGTAGCCGTAATTGAGATTGCGCAACGCGAACATCGAGACGATCGTCATTACTGCGCTGATTAACAAGCCGGGCAAGATGATTATCCAAGGCGCGAAATATCTGTGCGTGAGTGAGAACGAGAAAATGCATCGCTGCATTCCTTTTTAATTCTGCCAGCAGTGAATTCACGCTCGCGCGCATTTTTTACCTCCGCTTGCCGCAAGTCACTACGAAGTACAGCAGGATTATGGACGTGGCGCAGGACAGCAAGCCGCTGAACAAAAATAGGTCGCAGTATTGATCGAATTGTTGGTGGCCGTAACTACGGCCATAACTATGGGTGACTTTGAAAATCATCGGGTCGGCCGACCACGAGCTCTTCGTGCCCGTCCAATTGCTCGTCTCGTTCGCCGTCCAGTACGCCAGGGCCAATTTCTTGTCCGCGTGTACTCGGGCCCACATGAGGCAGTGATGTTGGCAAAAGTCACGCTGCACCTCCCAAGACGTATAAACATTTTCAATTTTTTTACCCTGACATATATACCCGAGTCATACCCAGAGGATGCGAAATAGTCCAGCGACGGCGTAGCTCGTCACCGTGCAAACGGAATACAGCAGAACCAGCGATCTTTTCCAAAAAATGAATACCTTGCTTGGATCGAGCTCCACCACTTCCTCGAATTCTTCCAGAATCTTGAAATTTTCCATCTCCATAATTACGGACTATTATGTTATGACATAATCTCTAGCGATCGTTTCAAACTAAACAGATGAATGTTTATCAAATTTAGCGCTTCGAGCACACTTGGCGCGCCATCTGTCGGCCGGCTACGATTATTTTTAGCCGTCTGTGTTGTTATAATTCCACAGTCAGCTAATTGCGACTCCTGCAACTGCTGTACGTCGTGTGTCAGCTGCAGCTATTCGGCACGTTTTGTTTTTCAACTAACTGTCAACAGGTGTTGAACTTGTTCAATATTTTAATATGTTGTGAGAGTGCATTTATCAAGTCCAAATAGATGGAAGAGAAACTGCGAGCTTACAGAAGACAGAAGCGACGAGAAGATATGGTTGAAACTGCTAAAAACACCTTCAAAGAAGCTTTATCTTGGCAGAAAAATCTTATACTACCTACTATTCACAATCCTTCTCGTGTAAGTTTATCATAATTCCACTTCATTCGATGATATTTGTAGTCTTAACGAAATAGCTTTTCATATTCAATATAATTTGTTATAGGATGATGACTTGGAAAGTATTATGTCTGAAGAAAGCATAGATTTTAGTCCTCCACCTAGTCCATTTTTTACTAGAACCTTATGCTTTCTTTATTTTCTCTTATGGACAACGATATACGTCATTGCGATTAAACTAGAATTTGGAGCAGTGTACTTTGTGCTATCGTTATTGGTATTTATTTATTACAATACTCGGACAGGTCCTAAAAAGAAAGGTGAATTGAGTGCTTATTCAGTGTTTAATCCAAATTGTGAAACGATCCAAGGCACCCTAGATCCAAAACAATTTGAACAGGAAATCAGATACGGTGGATTGAGTGTACATTGACTGTAAATTGAAAAGACAAGATCATAAGCAAATTATATTTTAATGTGATTTTTTGATGATGTTTATTCAGAAAAAATATATGTGTATTTTTGATAAGTTTAATAAGTCTTAAGCTGAAGTAACTTTGGTGCTGTGAATGGTATACAATCCTGTGTAAACTCGAGGACAAGGCATTGCTGCGCCTTTTTGCTAAGATTGTTGAACTTGAAGTATTTTAAAACTTAATATAGTTGAATAAAAATTATTTATACAGTAGAACTTGAAATTATTTTCTATAATCGCTTCAAGACAATATATTACATAGATCTTTATCGCGAATTATTCTGTTAGCCAGGACAAAGCAATTGCGAATGTCTTTGAGAGTTGATTTCACTTGATCTATAGATTGCGATGAAAAATTTTTAAATTGTGCAATGTCAGTTTGAGATCGTGAAAATTGATCGGAACAAAACATTGCTCTTTCAAAATCGAGCAACTTGTCGTTGTATTGACGAATCTCGAAGTCACTGAAAAACACGAGACGATAAGATGAATATTTTCATGATGTATTTAAATACTTTTATAATTATTCAACTTACTTCAATTTATCGACTTGTTTGTCTAAATGGTAGTTGAAATCAATGACATTATCGGTGAGCCTTGTAATCGTATTTTTGAGAGCATCTAAAAGGATTAGTGAGGATGAAAACTGTTTGCAAGTTAAGTAAGATAGGTAGCGAAAATAATACCTTTCTCTTGTTGAGCTCCTTTGGGAACAATCTCCAAAGCCTGGTGCATAGTATCATTGAAGGTGCGCGGATCCCAACGGAAGAACAAGCTCTCGGACAGCGACCACATGGCGAGGGCGACGATTCGCGTCAATATCTTTTGGTCGCGAAGCATATCGTCGGTCGATTTGGCGCTAGTTCCTCGGCTGTGCTCGAGAAGAACGTGAGGAATGCCGATGTGGAGCCTCGGCAGCGAGTCGGTCAGGATGTCGGCGCGGACCTCGGGCCCGTACGTTCCAACGTAGAAAGCCTCGGTCTCGTTGATGGCGTTGACGACGGTCGACTGCTGCACGCCGGAGCCCAACACGTGGATTTGGTCGCGCAGGACGCCGGCCGGACGCGTGCCGTGCATGTCGCCGTGGATGGCCACGTAGCCGACGATCTTGTGCTTGATGTCCTCGCGGAACGCCTCGGCGCAGCGGTCCTTGGAGCCGTAGAAGAGGCAAAAGACCCAGGTGCGCTTGGGCCTCCAGGAGCCTTTTTTGTGCAACTGATTCATCGCCTTGGCGATGTTGATGGCGATGTCGCGACCGTGGCCACTCGCCGATATCACGACCAATCTGTCTGTTGACGAGGAAACCGGTTAAGCAAAGCCAGATACGATGAAAGATTGAAAAACAAAAAAAAGCCCTACTCGACTACCTTTTTCTGGGTAACCGCAGATACTCGCGGTCATTCTGTCGAAGGTTTCGTTGACTCTGAGCTTGAATACTTCCAAGTCGGAGAAGATGTATCCAGTGCGATCGATGCCCTGCTCCCAACGATCGAACGGGCCCGGAGCGTCCTCATACTCGATATTGCCGCTCATGGCGTCGAGATTATGCACAAAGTCGTTCTGGACGCTCCGATTGGCGTATTTGGCGTTGTGCTGTCGGTCGCGCAGCTCCGCGGCTCGAGCATTATTCGTGTTGAACTTTTGGAGGGCGTGGTTGGTGAGGAAGCCGCCACACGCGGTCATGACGCCCACGGCGAGCATGAAGTAGCAGCAGAGCTTCTTCTTGATGAGCTTGTCGGCCTCGCGGATGTCGTGGCTCGAGGTCGTGGCGACGTGTAGCCGCTCCCAGGCGCTGCCGGTCGCCTGCATCCTCGGCCTCCGTTGTTATCCTGCCTCGAGTTCGGTCGGTGACGGATGAGCGGCGGCCCTACCGCAGCCTCTAGCATACCTGCGATCGGCGCGCTCTTCCGATAATGCCGATCAGATCGCGATTGGCTCGGTCATGGCTGAAAACGAGAGAACGAATGAACCGCCGCCACATGGCTATCGGTTTTATTGGTATTTTCATGCGGTATATAGCGCTCGCCGGCGATACTATATGACGGCCGTTTGATTTTCTCGTGTTGGCCGCGAGACGTCATCCCTTTGTCAGCGGCGCGCGGCTATATTTATAAAGCAGGCAGAAATAAAGCGTCGTTGGCAGTTATGACGCGCGCGGCCCGCGGTATAATGCTCGAGAGGCGCGCACCAGTCCACCGGATAAGTTCGCGCGCGCCCGCGGCCAAACTTTTCTCCATCGACTCGCGCGCTAAGCTCTATTTATAACCCTGGCCGTTTCATCGACGCCTCGTCGTGATTTCTTCCATAAGACAAGTTCTGGAAGTTTTTCCACCGGCTTTCAAGAGACATATTGACCTGAATATTGTGCGGGAGAGACGTGAAGAAATCGCGTCGGAGGGGGGCCCTAATCTTCCCAAAACCCTGGAACATTTCGTGCCAAAAAAGAAGTATCGATTCGATACATGCGATGCTTGCTCAATACGATCCAAGAAAAAAAGCTCTACGTAACTTGAGGAAATGTCCGAGCGAGGAAACGAAGAACGGGCCGAGAAAGCGAGAAAATTTGTGAGAACGATAATTCGACCGTGGCTCGAGTTTGCGCGACGACATAAGCGACGATATTAGAGGCATAAATCACTCAACGTTAAATGAAGGCGCTAAACGCTACGCGACGTCGAGCGACGCCTCGCACGAAAGGCTCACGCGCCGTCTCCCGATATATGTAATACGCCAATTGGAGTGATTTACCTGCAGCAGCTTGAATCGTGAGCCCGTGATGCTCAAGTCGAGCGCTCGTGCACATGTTGCACCGCACTGCACCGCCCGTTTCTTTTTTCTTTTGACTTTTTCGTTACCCATACACCACTGACGCACGCGCCCGCTTTAGGCTATAGTAAATTGTATTTTACCAAAGTTCCAACTCGATCTTCAACGCCTCGTCGTCGTCGTCGTCGTCGTCATCGGCATTGAGGCCGTTCTCTTGTTCGCGGCTTCTCGCCTCAGCCTATACTAATCAGAAATGATGTTTGACTATCGGCACGAGGCGAGCTTCCCGCTTTCCAATCTATATATACGAGTTATATTTCATGAAGCTTACTCGCACTATTTTTATCGGAAGCGCATTACGCTGATCTTGGAAAAAAGGTACTCGAGGGGAAACTTGTGTCGATGTATGGTCGATTTTTTCTCAAATTGAAGAAAGCCAAACATTTTTTTTTGCGAGCTTTCAAAACTTGGTTTATTTCATTTTTTTTTAGTCCATATTAAGTGCATATCTCCAAATTTCATTTAAATTTTCAAATTGTTCGTTACCTTTTTTCTCAGATTAAAAAATTATTTTGCTCAGTCCGAAGTGATTTTATGAAACGTTATGGGCCTTTTTAGCCATTTTTACACATAATTCAATGCTCTTTAATTTTTTGTAGCCTTCAGATTTGAAGGCCAATGAAAAGAATTAAGATGGAATTAGTTTATATTATGAGTAAGCTCTGCGAATTATTTGAAATGACATCCAAAACTTCTCAGAATCTTTTAGTGTATTTTTTTCAAAATTTGGGACAATAGCAAAAAAGCTCTGTAGCTTTTTTATTCTCAAGTCCTTCTTTGTTGAGCTAGGAATTTTTCCTAGCTTGTTTCCCATAAACAAAATTTTCGAAAAAATACCAACTGGAAAAAGGCGATTGAAAATTTCCGAAATTTTAATAAAATTTTAGTACATATATGATATCAAAAATGACAAGATTTTATGCCATTAAAAAAAAATTTATTGGGTAATGTATAATCTTAATGTTGCTTAGAAATTTTCGTCATTCCTCAATTCTCAATTAGAATTTGCAGGTGCATGTATCGGATGGCCCATACCCATATCGTCAATTCTGTTGGCACCTATATAGAACATTCTGAAATGTTTACGGAGCTTTTTCACGATGCAACTTCAATGTTTACCCGACGAAATGGATCGTGATCGATCGAGCGAGACCAGTGAATAGCGTAAAAAGGAGAATCATTTGTTGTTTATCTAAGCCGGGTTACGCTCGAGGGTAAGCACTAAGCATGGTTAAAATTGCGTGCCAACGTCAAAACATTGAACGTGCGCCAATGGAAGCACAAGCAGTGCACTTTTCGAACTCCGCTGACAAGTGCTGCCACCTGAGGACCTGCAACAATTTGTTTTTGCAATTATGATCGATGCGATGCATTCATTATGCAATAAATAAAATTGCAATTTTTATTTCAAGTCGCTGTCAGCAGAATATCTCAACATCCCTTTATGCGCAATTAGCATCGAGCGTGTGAGCACAATTAAAAATGTCACTCGTATTATGTACTCTCGTTTGCAAGACCGCACTGATTCCGTGTACAGTGAAATGTGAATGCGTATGTGCTACTATGTCGGTATGTGTAAACATCGAATCAGCTGCTCGCATAAAAGCGGCTCATTGTCTCACTTTACAGATTGAGCAGTGCAAAACTAATATGTTCGTCTCGCGTCGCTGATTAACCGAGTCAGAAGATAAGCTGTCGCTTACGATCGACGATAGCCAAGCTCCAATTTTAACCAAGTGTTCGTCGTCGCGTGCTTTCGACCGATCGCAACTCTGTAGCTTTTAAAGTGTACCAAACTGCAGAACTTGGAAAAACTCGGGCTGGCCAGGATGGCCAGCTCCGCATCCGGGAGTAGCAGACGAGTGTCCGCCGAGGAGGTGTTGGTCGTTGAGGCTGGCATCGAGCCCGGCGCCTCGTCCGATCCGATCCTCCTCACGACTGACAGTTTCGAGGAGGTCGAACAAGAGCTCAACAGCGTCGGTATCGATGATCCGCAACCAGGTTCTTCCTCCCAACTGCAGCAGACACCCAACAGCCCGGTTAAACGAGTTTCAACTTTCGAAACTCTCGAGCAAGCCTCTTCTGTCAATTCCGATGAAACTGTGAGCATTTTTCTATTTTCTTCGATAGATTTGCCAAAAGTTTGACGTTCCATTATTCTTTTTACTAGGATGAACTGGCTCAACAGTTGGCACAGGAGCACTTGGATTGCGACCCCTTGAAATCCAAGGAGTGGCTGGCCCAAAACAAACACATTTTTGTACTTAGTCAGGCTGGTAAACCCATATACTCTAGGTTCAGTTCGGAAGACAAGCTAGTCACTGTAATGGGTGTAATGCAGGCTCTTGTATCATTCGTTCAAGCTGGCAACGATATGATCAGGTCTATTCATGCTGGTGATACTAATTTTGTATTTATTGTAAAAGGACCTCTTATTTTGGTAGCAGTGTCTAAAACCAAAGAGAGTGTGTCACAACTAGTTCTGCAACTAACGTATGTTTACTCTTCTCACAATTGTCATTGAAGCCCTTTCATTTTCCTTTAACATTTTTTATTTTCCAGGTACGTTTACAATCAAATATTATCTATTTTGACTCAATCCCAGCTGACAAGAGTGTATGAACAAAGAAGAAATTTTGATTTGAGGCGACTATTGACTGGAAGCGAACGACTCATAGATCATTTATTGAACTTTATGGAGCGGGAGCCTGCTTTTTTACTTGGTGCAGTCAAATGTTTACCACTTCAACCAGCAATGCGAGATTCTATAACACAAACTATTGTACAAACTTGTGGGAAAATCAAGGTTTTTAAATTATAAATTTAAATTCATACTTCCAGGAATTCATTTCAACACACATTAAATTTTTTCAGAACTTAGTCTTTGCAATTCTATTAGCTAATAATCAGTTAATAACATTAGTTAGAATGAAAAAATTTTTCATTCATCCAGCAGATCTTCATCTAATCCAAAATTTAGTAGACAGTTCAGAATCCTTCAAGGCTGCAGAAAGCTGGACTCCAATTTGTTTACCCAGATTTGATTCCAATGGTTTCATGCATGCTCATGTCTCCTATCTAGCAGAAGATTGCCAAGCTTGTTTATTATTACTGACCGTTGATAGAGATGTATTTTTTACTTTATCTGAAGCTAAACAGGTACTTATACTTATCATTTTCTAGTTCATTAAATTCTTTTATTTACCTTACATTTTTTACAGAAAATTGTTGAGAAATTAAGACGAACAAATTGTTTAGAAGCAATAAATGAATCTATGAATAAGACTTCCATTACAACTGCTGAAATTGGATTACCAGAAATGAGACATGTTTTATACAAATGTAAGAGCACTGCTCAATTCTGGAGCCCAGGGTTCCAAGCTCCATATAATAATGAAAAAGAAATCCAAAGGTAGGTTTTTATTAACCTGATTTATTCATTAACTTTATTTCGAAACTATATTGTGATTTAAAACATTTACAGACTTATTGGATGTTATCAATGTTTACACCATAGACTACATGTACCTAATAGACCTTTGAAATTACTCTTCCAACAAACAGATAAAGAAACAATGCTAGCTTGGGTAAAAATTTATTATACTTGATAATTCAATCCTACTAACTCTTTATGTAATATAATTTTATTAAATATTTATAGGTAACATCAGGGTTTGAGTTGTACACTACTTTTGAACCATTGGTCACTAAAACTGATGCTATAAATAGTATAGGGAAATTGTTAAAATGGATAAAAAAGGAGGAAGAAAGGCTTTTTATACTAAGTTCGCCGACATTTTAAGCCTGACAAACATGAATTTATATCATAAGAAGGAATATATTTTTTTGAAATACTTGAAATCATCATAAAAAAAGAGATAGTTCTTTAACGACGTGCAATATATGAATCATTTCGTGTTTAAAATAGAGGATTGTTAAATTTTGACAAAGCTTTCACTTTTCATTCCCATTATAAAATACTTTGTTTGACAAGAGAAGAAATGAAATAAATCGTAGGAATGAAGTGGCAAATTAAAATTTTTTAATGCATGTACATAGTTGAGTAATCAACTTGTTATCTATTATGATGCATCATCTTTGTACTCTGTAAATACTCTAAAAAAATTTGCATAAATTATAAACTTTATATATAAATATATTTTTGTCTTATTTTTTGTGTTATCTTTTTTACCAACCCAACTTGAACTCAGTAATAAAAATTCAATGAAAATTATTTAAAAAATTTTTATTGAAAACATCGAGGTATATAATTAATTATTATTTACATTTTTCAATTGTATAGGTATGTACCTAAATGCATATAAAATGGTGAACAATGAAAAGTGTTTGGTTTCAACACACATACTAATTTTTAAAACGCCCTGCGTGTTTAGTAGCATAATAATGCACCACTTGTCACATGGAAACAAAAAAAATACAATGATATAAAAAACATTTCAAGAGCTTAAAAGCGTATCAATTAAGAATAAGTCTATAAATAAGAAGTATAAAAAATAAAGTACAGTCACATTCAATTTTAGAAAACAAAAAAGCAATTATTCATCACTCAAGTTCAATCTTTCAATAATTTTTTTGTAATCCTCTACCAATGCGTTGAAATCTCTTTCAAGAATTTTCATGCGTTCTTCTTCCATTGGGAGAGAAATACCAGGTTTATTTTCATCAGTTTTAAAAACTTCACGAAGTCTTGCCAAATCGTTTTGTTCTCGCTTATAAGGAATATTGAGCCTTTGTTTAACATTCAAACGATAATCCCTGAATTCACTCTCGCTATTAACGTTTGTAGATTTTAATCTTAAAATTTCATAAATTCTGCGAGCTTGTTTCTATAAAAGTAAAATGTTCAAGTTACTTTTGTTCCACATACATATTTTATTTATAAATGAATTCACGTACTTTATTGATTTTAAATTGTTCTTTTGCATCATGGATCATGTCTGTACTAAAGCCCTTGACCAAATTTTCTGGGAAAAAGCTTGGTAATTTCATACATAGTGAACAGTCAACAAAATCTCTAATTCTTTGAAATTCTTCAGACGGATCTTCAACTAAAATTATTCATGTCATTTAAATGTATGGCTATCAAAATTTTGGTGAAAAATGTATTTTTACCTGTAATATCCTTCACATTTGGGTTATTTTTGTATTCAGCATAAATAGATCGCAGCATGTGGCTACCAAGACCTTTCTTTTGGAATGGTGGTAATATTAAAAGTTGAGCTATTCTTGGTCTAATTAGTTCAGGATAAGCCCAATAGTGATAGATTGTTGCAAAACCAACTGTAGCATAACGAATCGTATTGTCTTCAGCTGTATACCTTTCAAACCTAAAAATTGTTTATTTAGTAAGTAAGTAGTTTAGGAAAAGTCAAATGTCGATGTTAAAAAATAAATTTTACATATTCAAATAGTTCCACTGTATATCATTGCTATCAATAAAGTTACCAGCATCAATGTACCACAGAACAAACGTTTGCAGTCTTTGATGGTATTCTTTAAACTTGGTTGAGCTCATGTTAGCTTTGTACACTTCAAAATGTCTTGTTTGTCCGTTATCTATTAAATTGGATTTGTTAGTTGACTTATTAATGGACATTTGATTAATTTACACTAACCATTAACAGAGCATGAATAAACAAGATCTCCAGCAGGTTTGAATGTTTCATCATTAGATAAAGCCTTGACAAACATATCAATGTTTTCATGTACATTTGGTGTAAGTACATCAACTAATTTTGGTAGAAAATTGTCTGGCTTTAGGTCGGCGCAGAGACTTTCATCAAATTTTTTAGAATAAGATGTACCTAGGTAGGTTTCTAAGGATCCAGCAGAGTAATATAACTTTATCTTTAGATCTTTATAACCGAATATAGATTCACTGAAAGACAAGAAATGAATTAAAAAAAAAAAAACAGATACAAACGATTCAACAAAAAGTATAATAGTTGAAGGCTTCTTACGTATCTCCAAAAACTTGATGTGACATTGCAGGCTTAAAAGAAGTTTGATCATCTTCCAACTCTTCTGATCTGCGAACAAGTTTAAATTCCAGTGCTTCATTGCTATTGACGACGTATTGCTTCATAGCAGCCGTTACTTGATCCATGATTCTGCAACAATTTCAATTATAATTCATTATTAGTTATATTATGAAAAAATTTCGATAATACAAAACATGTCGAAAATGTGATTTTTCAAGAATAATAAAGACGAGCTAATCGGAGATGTATAATTTACAGTAGATGAAATTATTTTAGCAATAGTTAAAGAGTATCTATAACCTAGAGTAAATAACGTTCAAAACTTGGAATTTTTGTAATTTGCAAGAAAAATCATCGAGCAAAGAAGGTGAGAAGTAAAAATACATACGTAAGCTTTGAACGTAAAATGTAGAAATGGAAAGAGGTGCTTTAAAACAGTGAGCAACGTGTTGGTCGAGAGATAAGCCGAGCAAAGTCAACGAACAATTATATTTTACGAATTGCCTATATTGTACTACGAGCGCGAGGCATCAGGCAGGGGCAGGGTGCGAGCGAGATGCAGCTTTACTTCGCGCCAAATCGTCGACAGTCCGTTACGGTGAGCGCTGTCTGAAGTTGCCTCGATTAAGAAATTTCGCGCGCAGATGTTGCGGATAGCCAAGTTTAAATGTCTCGCAGACCACAGTAGCTGTCAATAGCGATTAATAGCAAACTTTTCGAGTGTTTTGTGCAGTACAATAGATGCATATTATTTCGGAAATAAAATTGACAAAAAGAAAAGTTCAAAGTCAAAACATCAGGAGGAAAAAAAAGAAAAAGTTGATTTTTTATAACATCAAGTGACATGTATCAAGCGAACATTAAGTAAATCAGGATGGAAAAAAATGTAGCAGCACAAGTAAATAAAATCTGGGCTATTGGTCAATCACAGACCATGCAGATTAGCTTCCATTGCTTCAAGAGAGAAGGAGAACGGATGATACTGTGCATATACTTAACAAGTGGCAGCAGAGCCGACCGCTTCTGTCGACGGCGATCCGTCAGAGAGTCGAGTCGCTCATGTCATATGCTTTCTTCGTGTATTCTCTAAATCTCGTTTCGATAATCCACGTGCGAGTTTATCTGCACTTGGCCTAGTAATTATGTGCGTTTATAGAAATATCAGTTTTGGTGAAGTGCGAATAGTTGAATAATATATCGAGATCAGCATCTGTTTTTGGTTGACACAAGTGCAACAAGTTGGAGAATTCGCATCATGAAGTGCTTCAAAAGTTTCTTCAAACACACCTGGCAGCCGCAACAGGTGACAAGACAGATACATTTATTAGGATGTTTAATTTATTTGGGAGCCATATTGTTGTAGATTCAATTAGCGGGAAAATCATTTAGTTCAATTTGGTTGTTCGCTTCGCGTGTTTTATACGCGACAAGTCTATAAATAAATATATCCCCACGCGCGAGTGTAATTGTGGCCGTTGCGCAACTTGCAGCCCGAGAGAGTGTGTACATGTGTAATAGCAACATGTGACATTTTTCATCGGAAATACGGAAAAATCGTGTAGCTGCACTTTGTCCTCGAGCTTTAAAACAGCAAAGAAAGGCGTGAGATTGCGTGGATTTTTTTAACAACTTTTCCGATAAGTTTACATTCTCGCTCGATCGGCTCGCGATTATGCGCGTGTTGCCTTTACGTACGGAGGCGCGTATATACACACACGTGTATACATAACGAAGCGGTTTGGCGCAATGAAAAAACCAAATATGCGGTTTCAGCGCTCCAAGGTCTACTACTCTATTTTATCGCTGCCAAGCAAAATTTCGCGCAGTACGCGCAGCAATAATAATACCCGACCGGCTCACTCGTGCGGACGTGTCATTGTCGCGCTTTTCGAATCGTCTTGCAGTGCGATTGCGATACAAGAGTGAATCCCTATAGCTGGTGGATGCCGCGAGATAAAACTAGCTGTGTGCTCATCCATCGATCTATCGCTCTCGTGTTTGCTTCGACTCGGGATCGCGTACACACAAAGCGACGATAAAGCTACTGCCCCGACGCGCTTATGTTTTAATTACTTTAATGGTTGCACGTAAGCGATGTACATAAGATAAAAATGAACGCGACTCGTCTACGCTAGCGTCATCGAGATTAACGAAAAAAATGAGTGTTTTACCAGCGAGAGAAAACATTGAATATTATGCTCGCTCGCAGAGATAGGCGCTAGACACAGCCGATCTGTAGCGGGATGCACCTAATTTAGAGGATACACACATACATTACATCACATACGTATCATTTTGAGACCAAGTTCTATGCGGCTTAGTCGTTATCTACGTATCTCCGGATGCGGTTTGTATATATCCCGCTCGTTGGCTCTGCGGTCAATACCAAACGTCGCTTTTCGTCCGACAAACTTTTTACTCGGCATCTCACGTAGTATCGTAGCCCAGTTTCTCCGTTAATTGACTCGTGCAAAGAGTACTAAAAATTTCCTTCGCTGCCGTCAAAATTACAGAGAGAAAAGGTAAACGATCATAATTAATAAGACACAAAACAGTATGGCTAGACTTTTAGCAGCGTACAAGGCAACTTTTTTCCACTAAATTCTATCGTCTTCCGAGCGGTCCTTTCACTCGAAATAACTGCAAGGTCACACTCGAAAAAGAAAAGGTTTTATGCAAGGAATATGTTCATCTATTGACTATCGCTCGGTGTGCACATAGTCGCGTATTCTCCGCGCCTTACTTTCACTTTTCATCTCCTATACCGGTGATCGAGCGTTCGACTTGTTTCCTTCTTTTTGTTCGACGTGTAAATAAGCAGGCGCGAAAATCCAATGCAATCGAGTGTAGCTTATCCTCCCGCTTTGCAACAGCGTTAATTCCTATATTTACTTTTGTTTAACTTGCGCCAAGCCACCGAGTGTCAAAAGTTCATTGTTCTGTCGGTCGATCACATTGAACGAGACTTTGCTTTTAACAAAACACCTCTTGTTGAGCCTTTGTGTAACTACGTAGTCTTTTTATGTAATTTCGCGTCGGTGCACTGCTTTATCAACGAGTTTTTTTTGTTGAGTTTGCTTCCACATTTCCCCAAGCGAAAAATTCCTGACGAAAACAGTAAGCTCATTTCACCCAACGGTCCGTACGATCCCTTGACGTACTGTACTTGCATACAGATCGGTAAAATAAAGTACATCAGACTTCGGGACAGAACTTATTTATCGATATTCAAAACAATGAAGCTTTTCCGTGCTAGAAAAAGTTGCGCTGCTCTCGCTTCCGCTTGCTAGGATCAATGAATTATACAGAGCACGACAATTTATAAGCAAACGACATTAAAAATAATGAAAGAAAAACAGAGCCGAAGCTACTGCAGAAATTCACATTTTTAATGGAGGAAAATTCGATCGGCTAAGTAGAGCGTCGCCTATGGCCAGAGCGGATGAGATGAAATTGCCCATTGTAAAGCCGTCCGAGTGTTTTTATGACCGCGCGGATAGGATCTTGTGTACACGATAAAGAGAGATAGCTTTTTTTATGATCTCGGCCGCACGCACGAGCACGTGCTCAATAGCACGAAAAGGAGGTGGCACGTTTACCCAGTCTGACAATCGGCGCAAATTATTCGAATTTTTCATACGTTTCGCAGATGGAGAATTCGTCGAGACGCGGCCACTGCAGCTACAACGAAACCGAGCTCGGCGAGATCAAGGTGCAGCAGCAAGCGTTCCAAGTGCCCGCCGCGAATCGCAGCCTGGCCTGCCACAACGGGGCATGCAAAGGCTCGTCCGCGGCGGCGATCAAGATTCGGCCCGAGCAGAGCCTCGACAGCCCCTGGCACTATTCCAAGACGCTGTTCCTCCTCGCGACCATCCTCGCATTTGTCCTCTGGATATTCGTCTATGTGCTGTTGAATCGGTACGAGCTGCTGTGATTGTGACGATCGACTGACGTTCTTTCGATTCGCCAACGACGCAATTGACTTCTCCATCTGTAAAATAAGTGAAACTAGCTTGTACATATATAAGAGCATTTAATGCCGAAAGAACAATTTATTCGACGTGCATTTGAGCATTTAATCGTCCTCTATACTAATGTAACATAATTTGAGTGTTTAAATAAATTTATTAAATATATAAGGTCTTGTGAATGAGAATGTGGGAAAATGAATGACTATGCGTATCTGAGATTTGAATTCAAATTCACGCTAAATTCATCCTATAAAAATTGTCAAAAACTACATTTGAAATGAGCGTGTATTGCATTAATGGGAGCCATTCCAATTTATCTTGACGCAAAACAAAAATTACCAGACACCGTGTAGCGTCACAAAAATAATTTCCTTTGAATCTTTGAAGAAAGATTATTAAATGAGGAAAATCAATTTTTCTCACGGTTATAGTTTTCCCAAACACTTTTTATTAATTCATAACTTTTTTTCAATTGCTACAATTTTTTTCAAAATACATATCATTAACACATTTTTAATGTTTGTTAATGTCTTATTAACTGATGACTGTTTGAGTTTATTTTGAGAAAAGATTATTGTAATAAATCAAGTATACTATACTTATATAATATGGTACATCAAAAAATAACTAATAAATAATAAGTTGTACTATTTTTAAAATGTCATTATAAAAACTTAAAAAATTCCGCTAATTTTCCAAAAGACTTAATTCTATTAAAGCTACTGCCAATTTTAACAATACATTTTTCTTTTCTTTTCTTCTTCTTTTTCTTTTCATTATTGTACGGTGAATTAACTGACTTGCCTTCCGTTTTTCGTTATCTTCTACACCTGCATGAAACCATTTTTATTTGATCACAAAGTTTTTTAATTTTCAAAATATAATTCGATCTTAGTCTTAAAAAATTTTTACTCGAACCACGAAAAAATTAAAGTTTGAAATTTGATAGTATTTTCATACCTGTTGCTACAATGTTTAATGATTCAGGAAACGAATTCGATATTTTTGAAGATGTAGAAGCTACTATAACATTATCAGAATCCACGTCCCGTTTTTCTTCTCCCTCTTTTGTTATCAATTTATTTTTTGGCGTCGAAGAATTCGACATAAATGGCAAATTACGGATAAATTGGCAATTTTCGAGTAAGCTGTCTTCCGTGTCGGAAGAACTTTTTTCATTTAATGTATCCAATTTATGAGAGCTATCAATTTCACTATTGGGCGCAAAATCTGTAAACAAATGAATTTATTTCAAAGTATGTTAACATTATCGAGATAACCAAGATTTTACCATTTTTAATTTGATAACTACTTCGACCATCTTTCGAAGTTGAGTGCAATATGGTATTATTTTTATTGAAATCGTTGCTGCTGACTTCTCGAATGCGATCAAAATTCTGCAAAATTGTAATCATGCGTAAAACGTTTAAAAGAAATATTTAAGGTTTAGTATGGATAAAGTTATTTTAATTATTTACTTGGGACAGGTGTGATCTTCTAACTGTTACAAACGAATCATCGAAACCGATATTTTCTGCGCTAGAAACTTTAAAAATCTAATTTAGATAAATTTTTACAAGTAAATAATATTTTTCTAGCTATATTATAATGATAAAAAATATGATTTGGTAAGAACCTGATATTTCATCACTTGTTTCGACTGATGTGCCGTTATTGTTTTGATTTTCTGTTTCCTTAAACCAGTGAATTTCTATTAAAACTTTATTGACAATTATTATTCTAAAATTTAATAAATAAAAAACTCACGGTTGCCGGTAGTACGGTAACGATACTGTTTCCAATATCATTTTTGCTTTTTGCAGTTTGATTTATTTTTAACGTCTCACGACCTTAAAAATATAAAACAACTTAATGTCGTACATGGAAAATTTTTCACAGGATCATTAAATAGAGTAACCGTTAAAGTTTTTCTTTAAAATACTATCCTTACCAGACAAATTTTTCATCAAATGATTTTGACCGAATCTAATGTACATCCCACGTTTCATTTGGACGTATAAGTCTTCTGCTCTATCTGCTATATGTAGGCTTTTATCTTTGGACTTAAAAAATAAATATTTTAATTAATGGTTTGTGATTAGAAGATCCTCTGTACTCACTGTTTTATCCAAATGGAATCTTTCTTGAGCTACGTACGGAGCCATAACGAGAAATTGACTTTCCTTGTTAGATGTAATGAAATCGAAGTCAGCATACGCTTGTTATTATGAAGAGAATGTTTGTATCGTATAATACCGAATCCAATTCCATATTTAAAGCTATCACGTGCTTACACGATATTCATAATATTAGATATTTTGCCTTGGTTGGTAGTTAGAATTTGTAAAATGTTGCCTATTGTATTAGGACAATTTTTGTAAAATTTCATATTTATAAGCACAAAATTATTTGTACTATAATTATAAAAATCTTTTATTCATAATAATACATTTTTATTTCAAATACAGTCATGCCTGAAGTTGTTATCAGTTAAAAAATTAAAAAGGTTATGAAACTGACAACACATTTTATTTTTCAAGTTGACTCGAAATTTAAAAAAGCAGAATTGCACACTTACAGCAGTACGACATAGGTGAATTGGTGTTAAAATTCGCCTGCAAAAGCCATGAAAATTAATTCTCTGATCGTGCATTACAGAAAAAAATTCTGCAAATGACCAAAGAGGCACAGCTTTGGAATTAACCACAATTAGAGGTGACTTTGGCGAGGATGATAAGAGATCTATCCCAACGGCAGGTCCCAGTAGTGCAGCGAGCGATCAGCATCAGGTGACATTGAAAATCAGCATCGATCAGTCGATTCAATCGATCGAGAACAAATCGACCCAGACGGAATTCATAATGCGACCCTACGAGAGCTACGAACAACTCATTTGCTCGGACGGTGGAGGCTGCGATGCTCGAGGGTGCGAGGTTCGTTGACAATTCACGCGTCTCGAAATTCGTCATTAGCGTTGATTATTTTTGCAGGCCACTTGCGCGATGCCTCCGATGAAGGGTTGCAATTTCATGATGGTCGGTTGGGACAGCTTCCGCACAAAGAGCATGATCCTGCTGCTCGTACTCTTCGTCATCTGGGCCGCTATATTTTTTCCTTTCGTTCTATAATGACTACATTTTTTACCATGTTCAAGCGTTTAACGATTCATTAAAAATATGTCCGTTGTGAAAAAATGGCTTTGTCTCTCTGAATACAGGCTATTGAGATAAAAAATATTATTCCCCGCATCTCGCACAGTTTCAAAAGCTCTCGATCATACCTACGGTATCCTGTGCCAGCATCGCGTTTTGCTTAGCGTATTTTTTTTTCGACTTCCAAACCGGCTTTTATAAACACATTGTGTGTTTTTATGAAAAAGATGTATGCGCAGGAAAATAACATTGAAGCATGTAACACCTAGAATGGACGAGACAAGAATGGGAAATTACGCCTCCACGGGAGGGGGGAATACATTACACATGCCTATATACACGAGACGCAGACTTCGTTCCGACAGAGATCTGTCTTGATTTGAGCTGCTGAGGCTCCTTCCTTCAGTTAATTTCTAGACAGCCGATCGTGTGGATCGCGCCAACGAAATATGAAAATTTTCTGGACCTTCTTCGTTGTGCTTTTGGCGCTGTCGCTGGTTGTCGGTAAGATTTTATGATTTGCTCTTTGACGATTTGCTAGCATTAGATTTTCTAAAGCTGTCCTTGCTCACCAGAAAATTTAACATTGTTTTTGTACGAGATGCTAATTTTCAAGTTTAACTGCCAATTGCTCACATTATGTCGATTTTTTCAACGGAACACTTTGGACTTTGCGCGAGTGTATACTCATATCTCCCGGCGATGTTATGAGTGTAGTACCACCTCAAGGTTTCGAACTGTATTGAAAAATTTAAAAATACTGCGGTAGATGCACTTGAAATGCAATATGTTTTCTTACTTGAAGCGAAAAATGATTCACCGCGTCTACAGCCGTAAAATTAAATACTCGCTTGAATCTCGATCGTGTGAAGTAGTATTAATTATACTCATTCAAAAGCACACTTCTGTCAAGTCGATAACCTTTAACACTCGTATGTATAGAAAATAATATGACATTGCCTTATTTTAGCATAACACATGATGTAAGTCAATGTTGACCTAGTTAAAATTTTTCATACGTACACTCTTCCTACTTGAACAAGAAGACTCGAGTTTAACTTGATATTATGCATGAAATTACCAAGGTTGACTGAAATTATTTCCTCATTTATGCAGATGTCGACGCCGGCTGGAAGTTCTGGAAAAAGAAGAAGGACAACGAGTCGTCCTCAGAAGATCCAAATGTCATTTCGTCCACGACTACTACTACTACGTTAAAACCAAGCGCAGCTACCACTACTACATTAAAACCAGCTGCAGCTACCACAAAGCGTCCAAATGTGAAAGCTGGCGTAGCAGGAGCTGCCGATCCAGGCCTGGCCGTCGGCGTCGGAAGTAGCGGTGAGAATATCCGCAATCAGCCGCGTAAACCCAATCCTGGAACAGACGTGGGACTCGACATCGGCTTGCCGAAAGCACAGAAGCCCGGCGTCGGACCAGCCGGTGGTCAAGGCTACAGGGATTGGGCCGCCGATCTGACCGGAGCCGGCAATAACGGACCAGCTCCGAAATTGCCCAGCAAAGGGCCTGCACTGGCTCCCACTGGAACTAGTCAAGGTTTGAACTATTTTTGGAATATTCCCGAATCCCCTTGAACTTTGCTACAGCTGTCGTGGGCCGAACTTTGCATGACAATGCCGATCGCGAAATAGAGAAATGAGCTCGGGGACACAAAGAACGTAGGGGTATTCACGTCGAAAGATCGATCATGTCTTTCTCTACCCATTGTGAGGTCGAACAAAAGCACGCGTATTCTGTTTGGTCACGTAATCGCGATGAACGCGCATAATGTTCAGAATTCATAAAATATTCTCGTTTCTCGGTAGAAAAAGCTCGAAAATTGTCATCGCGATACTTTGTTTAGGAAACAAGCCTGCCTTAGCTTCCGCAACTTCAACCAGCACAGTGAAATCAACCAGCCCAAGCCCGAGTCTAAAAGTAACAACGGCTCTGCCTTCGAGCGTGTCCACGCAAAAGCCACTGCCGGCTACAACAGCAAGCCCGGCCAAGGGCCCGCAACCAACTGCGTCGTGGGCCAACATCGCTGCAGGTGGTATTGGCAAGTCGACGCCTACTCCCTTGACGAAACCAACTGCTCGTCCCGGCACCGGAGCCGCTGTGGTGGCTGGCGGTGCAGCGATCGCAGCTGGTGGAGCCGTTGCTGCTGCCTCCGGGGCTTTCTCCAGCAATCCGACCTTCAGCAAAGGGAAGACCGTCACCGACGAAGATCTCGAGAAACTCTCCGAGGCTCTCTTCATCAAAGACACAAACAATGCCAATAAGTACATCAAGTTGAACCTTCAGAAGAGTACCTCTGGCAGTAATCCAAAGGATGAAGCGCCATTGCCGTAAGTCATTGCAAACAACGCTACACGTTATTGGTAATAAAATACCAATGGTAATTATGAAATGTTGTTTAGATTACTGGAGGTCAAGCCTGAAGCACTTCAAATTCCAACTATCCAAAAAGTTTTGGCCATCTACGACAACTACAAGCTGGACGTGCGCGAACACGAGCACATCAATCCGGCCCAGCGTCAGGAGGAGAGTCTGCTGATCGACACGTTCCTCAGCACGAACGTCATGTCCTACGCTATGCGCTTCTTGGCCGACAAAAACTTCATTCTCAAGGATTATTACGCGTACAAGGACACCCTCAGGACCATGTGGTTCAATTTGTATTCGCGCGGCGAGGGCAAGATCGGCAGCACCGGATTCGAGCACGTCTTCCTCTCGGAGCTGAAATTAGGCAGCGAGGTCTTGGGCCTGCACAACTGGATTTACTTCAATGCCGAGGAGGTGAAAAAGCGCTTGGATTATCTGGGCTACATCAAGAAGGTCGATCTGGGTGACGTAAGTCTGCACGAAATAACTCCAAAAGTATTTTCATCCAAGCTCGCGACGAGTATAACGAGTATACTATGTTTTCTCTTTGCAGAAAGCCGCGATCGCGAAGGTGCACTTGAAATTCAACGGCGTCGACAAGCCCGTGACAAACATCTTCATCGGCACGTCGCCGGAACTCGAGATGGCCCTGTACACGGTGTGCTTCCTCACGAGACCCGACACCAAGTGTCCCGTATCGCTCGGAGGCACCAAGTTCAACATCGTCACCCACAAGTTCAAGTATCGCGGCAGAGACCTCATCGGTTCGGCTTATCCCGAAATTTAAACGAAACAAAATTAATTGACAGCCTATACATACCGTTATAGAGCGTACGCAGATGTTTTTTTGCGCAACTTTTTATTTCTTCGCGTGTGTATGCGTGTGTGTGTACATATATCAATTTTTAAGTACATCGAGCCATATACGGACAAGTTATTATTTATAGCCATGTAATTCTTTGAAATACCCTGTGATCTAATCGAGATTATATTATACGATAATAAAGATGCTCCATTATTCATGACAACAACAATGCAGTTGCGTATTTTTATTCCGTTGAAAGCTATAGCAATATTTAAAAATACTTGAGAATTACAAGCAGAAAGAGGCAGAAAATTTTTATCCAAGACTGTACGAGTTATGCTAATGAGAGGCGCTTAAAGAAGCGTCACGTGACAAAGAGGCAGATTCTCACTGTGCAGCCCAATACATTCATCCAATTATCATTCTACGCGCACAACAGAGTCAATTGCGTTGCTTCGGTAAGAGGCGCAATCGTGTCGTACAAAAAATTCGCGAGAGCACACGGGGGAGTCGTTGACACATTCCACGAAGCAAAAGTCGCCGTAATTATCATTGTTCACGGCAACTCACGATCATTTCTGCCTGCAAGTGAATTCATCGGCCTCTGTCTCTCTCTTTCGCTCTTTTCTCCATCTCTCTTTCTTTCTCGTTCGCGATGCACTCGGGCAGGCGGCGAGCGGTAAACAGAGATAAGGCCTCGCGCGAGAAGATATCGAGTTTTTTTCGGCCTCGCCGACTCAGTGCAGTCGAGAGTCGCAGTGCAAGCTGGGCGAAATGTATCGAAACTTGAAAGTCGCGACGAGCAGTTGCTCCGATGGTCTGATCCTGTGGACGAGGGAGCTGCGGAGGCTCTATCGCAGTGCCGCTGCGGGAGTTTACGGCCACAGGGAGCGACAGCCACGTGATTATCAAGGCAGGTACTCGAATCGAAGATGCGTTACCGAGCTCGGGGCGAATAAACGATGCGGCGATTTGTTTTCAGTCGACAAAGCCGATCTGGAGCTGCGTGCGAAGAACAGCAACTTTTACCGACTCGTCAGCGCTTATCGAGAATTCGGCCACAAGCAGGCCGATATAGATCCGATACGGCCAACCAGACCCGTCCCTCTAGCCGAGCTCAACGCCTCGAGATACGGATTGAAGGAGAGCGACCGCGTCCCGTTGCGAGGTTTACTGGCCGGCGAAAATGACGAGTCGAGCAGCCTCGCCGGAGCCTTGGACGTGTTGGGCCGCCTCTACTGCGGCACCATGTCGGCCGAGTTCAGCCATCTCGAGGTAAGCGTCCACAACTAGATCGACTGCAACTCGCAATATCTAAATTGACGATTACCACCGCAAATCGACGATCGATGCAAGTAGACGGAGGAGGAGCGCGAGTGGTTTGCTCGGAATTACGAAGCCATCCATCGGGAGCCGCTCGACGACGAGACCAAACGCGCCATAGCCCGAGAGATGCTCAAGAGCCAGGCGTTCGATCGCTTCCTCGCCGTGAAATTCGTCAGCGTCAAGCGCTACGGTGGCGAGGGCGCCGAGAGCATGATGGCCTTCTTCCACGAGCTCTTCGAGCTTTCGACCAGGAGCTCGCTCCGAGAGCTGGTCCTCTGCATGGCCCACCGTGGCCGGCTCAACTTCCTCACGGGCATGATGAACTTCCCGCCGGAGAAGCTGTTTCGCAAGCTGCGGGGCTTGGCCGAGTTTCCCGAGGACGCCAAAGCGACCGGCGACGTTATCAGCCACTTTGTCGCCCACACCGAACTCCAGTGCAACGGCGAGGATAAGCTGAGCGTCGGTATGCTCTACAATCCGTCGCACTTGGAGGCCGTCAATCCGGTCGCCATGGGCCGAACTCGCGGACTCCAGCAGGTCCACCGAGACGGCGATTACGCGGACGCCGAAGCCTCCAGGTGGGCCGACAAGGTCCTCAACGTGCAGATTCACGGCGACGCGGCTTACGCGGGTCAAGGAGTCAATCAAGAGTGTCTGGCGCTGTCGGGCGCGCCCCACTACGAGATCGGCGGCTCCATACACATGGTTCTGAACAATCAACTGGGCTTCACCACACCGGCCTCGAGGGGAAGATCGTCGAGGTACTGCACCGATCTAGCAAAGTTTATCGCGGCACCGGTCATACACGTCAACGGAGACGATCCAGAGGTAAAGTATTTTCTGCCTGTACGCGGGCCGCGTTCAATTCCCCGGATTGTAATTTGTGTCGTTCGAGCAGATGGTCGTCAGAGCCACGAGGATCGCCTTCGATTATCAGAGGAAATTCCGAAAAGACGTCTTCGTCGATCTAAATTGCTTCCGACGCTGGGGACACAACGAGCTCGACGATCCAACTTTTACCAATCCGCTCATCTACAATATCATAAATAATAGACCGTGAGATAAGTTCTGATTTTTAGCGAGTTCTATGGAATATAGTCGGTAATATTTTTTTAGATCGATACCGGATCGCTACGTGGAACGACTTATCGAGAACAAAGTTTTGAGCCACGAGGATGCCGCCGAAATAGTGAACAAACACACGTCGAAGCTGAACAAGTGTCTAAAACGCGTCGACGATTATGAGCCAAAAGCCACTTACTTTACGGGACGATGGTCGATGCTGAAACAAGCCGACGCAGCCGTGACTACTTGGGACACGGGCTTCGATCTCGATCTCTTGAGGTACATCGGCAAGAAGAGCGTCGAGTATCCCGCAACATTCAGAGTTCACCCGACGTTGAAAAAGAGCCACGTCGAAGCGAGGCTGAAGAAAGTCGACGAGGGCACGAGGCTGGATTGGTCGACGGCCGAGGCCATGGCCTTCGGCAGTCTGCTGCATCAGGGCTACAACGTGAGGATCAGCGGCCAAGACGTCGGCCGCGGCACCTTCTCGCAGAGACACGCCATGCTGGTCGATCAGTCCTCGGGCGAGATGCACGTGCCTCTCAACGCCATGCACAGCGATCAGATGGGCAAGATCGAGCTGGCCAACAGCATCCTGTCCGAGGAGGCCGTGTTGGCTTACGAGTACGGCATGAGCGTGACCCTGCCCAACGCACTGATCATTTGGGAGGCGCAGTTCGGCGACTTCTTCAACGGGGCTCAGTCGATCATCGACACCTTCGTCAGCAGCGGCGAGACCAAGTGGATGACGAGCACTGGCTTGACCGTTCTCTTGCCTCACGGCTACGACGGAGCTGGTCCGGAGCACAGCTCTTGTAAACTCGAACGATTTTTGCAATTAACCGACAGCCGAGAGGACAAACCCGATGGCGACGACATAAATATGCACATAGTCAATCCTTCCACTCCGGCTCAGTATTTTCATTTGTTGAGGCGACAGGTAAAAGGACACGCAATAAACAATTTCAAACATTTCATTTATCATTTGTTTATTTTATTATTTTCTTCCAACGACGCGTGAAAAGATGGTGAGAAACTTCAGGAAGCCGCTGATAGTAATCGCACCAAAGACACTGCTTCGACATGCATCGGCGACTTCGTCTCTCAGTGACTTAGTTACTGGCACAACATTTAAATCAGTCATCGGTTTGTTTTTATAAATGAGGCTCGAGCAACAAACTTAATCATACACTAATATATAATCAATTAATTAGGTGACGACAAAGTAACCGACAAAAATGTTACGAAAATCATATTTACAAGCGGCAAGCACTATTACGCGCTCGACAAGCACCGGAACGATTGCAACTTGCAAGATGCAGCCATCGTCAGAGTAGAGAGCCTCTGTCCGTTTCCAGTACTTGAGCTAAATGAACAGCTTCAAAAGTACAAAAAAGCTCAAAGTTTGTATCAATTATACATTAAAATAAAATGTCTCAAAGCAGTTCTTAAAAATACATTATTTATAGCCTACGTTTGGAGTCAAGAGGAACCACGAAATATGGGAGCTTGGAGTTTTATAAAGCCACGATTCGAAAATCTATGCGGTCGGAAGGTACGTAAATACGCTAGATTTACAAGTACTTACGATTATCAAATAATAATTCAACGCCTTTTAGTTACGTTATTCTGGTCGAGAGCCTCTAGCAACGTCAGCTGTTGGTATTGGAAAATTGCACCAAAGTCAGAGTGAAGATGTCGTCGTGCGACCATTTGCAATGAAATGAAACCGAAGATTAGAGAAAAAATTGTGATTTGCTCGAATTGAAGAAAATCAATTTTCGTTTTAATCAGTACAAATAAAAGACTTTATGTAATGAAAAATAATTAGTGCGAGGATTACGACAATTTATAAGATTGAAAAGATATTGAACCCAGGATAAAATGAACGTTTTTAAACATTCTTTTGAAGTACTCTAAAAAATATTTTTCTCAAAATTAAAACAAGTTAAAAATAGCTGTTAAGGTAGAAATAAAATAAGTAAAAGTCTTAAAAAATACGCATAATAATTTTCATTTGTAACCGAATTTTAGTAACCCCTCGAAACTATTATGGATCAATCATTAGATAGGATTTTTGCGCTATATACGATTAAAACTTTTTTTTTTCTAAAAAAATATAATTTACAGTTATTCGTCAAAAAATGTTCAAAAATAAAAATTTAATTTATTTCAATAGCTACGACGTTATGAAAAAAGCTTAACTTGTACTTGCTTTTTCATTTTCAACACTTTGATCTTCTTTTTTCGTACTATTGGCTATACTTTCCAATCGTTTATACTCTTTCTCTATAAGTTCGTCTAATTCATCCTGAGAAATCCATTTTTAAATGTATCAGTGAAATTTATTTAGAAACACTTTTTAGAGTTATAAAATAAACGTTTACCTCCCATCCTAATTGTCTTATCAAATAACGACATCCTTCGTCACATTCGCCTATAAATGCAACATCTCTGTTACTTGAATCTTCAAAATCAAATCCGTTATTCGACCCCATTATTTTCGCAATTCTATGTATTTCACCGACTTTTTCTTGATTAATCAGTAATCTTGGGCACGTCGTTGGAACACTGTAAAATCATATTCAATTTTGTAAATGTGTGTTATAAATTAAATAAGCTTTTCAACTTGATTAACTCATACTGATTTATCAATGAAGCAAAAGGTTGAACAACTAAACTAGACCCTAAGACAATCAAAAGATCAGCTTTTTTAAAATCATTTTCAACCATTCGATGAAAACGATCAGGCAAATTCTCTCCAAAGAAAACTATATCTGGTTTTACAACCCCACCAGAACAATTTTCACATTTTGGTACTGTAGTTTTTTTAATTTGCTCTGAAAAAAATTAGAAATCAATATTGTGAATTATTTAATGAATATTAAATAAATCTAGTATTATTTTTTCAATAGCTTTCTTTTTTCTATTTAAAAATGAGAATTACCTTTCAACCAATCGAAATCATAAAATGCATTACATTCTAAACACTTGCTAGAATTAAAAGTTCCATGTGCTTCTACTAATTTTTCATCGGGTATTCCAGCCAATCTTTCAAGATTATCTATATTTTGCGTATAATGTCTCAGTAGTAATCCTTTCTCATGTAAAAAACGGATAAAGAAATGTGAAACTGTTGGCTTATATCCTTCTGGCATTAATTCTTTGGCAAGAGTGTAAAAAGGTTCTGGAGCAATTTTAAAAAAATTGATGTCAAAAATACACTGAGGATTTGGTAATTTAAATTTAGCTAAATTGTGGTAAATCCCAGTTTTAGGTGATCGAAAATCGGGGATCCCGGCGGCTAAAAAAAATAACACAATCACCTTCATGTACTTAGATTCAAAGTTACAAAACACTTACACGTCGATATTCCAGCACCAGACATTGTTATAATATTTTTAACATTATTTTTCAATATATGTTCAACTAAAGCATCGACAGAAGCTTCACGAAGAACTTTTATTTTGTTTTCATTGCTAAGGGTAGTGAGCTTTTCTCGAAAGTATTTAGTCAATTCGTCTAGCCTTGATTCGCCTCTTTTTTCGTCACTACTTGCATCATTTTTGTCAGATTTCGATTTTTCAATAGAACCTACGTATTATATTGTGATTGAAATTAGTTTTGCTTTATTTAAGAACATAAAAGAAATTTAAATGAGAGTACCTGCAGCGGGTTTTAAGTTTTGCTCTTCCTTATCCATTATTGTACAATGAAGAAAGAAATGATGCCTTAGTAAAATTTACAATTAAGACTTAACATTCATCGATTACAACTGCGCACAAGCTAGGAAAACATCAAGTAAATTCTTGTTGATTAAATTACCATAATAATCAACAAACTGAATGTGCTTACACAAATGTAAGTTGTGCGAGCAGAAACGACTATAGTAGCATATTCGTAGTATATATAGAGCTTCTGCATATATCACGCCACATTGCCACATAATCAATAGACTTTTTCTGAGTGAAAGCCATGTTGCCAAATCAATGCTTTCTTGGACCAAGGCGCGCATTTATAAACTAATTGCATTGGATAGCAATAAGAAGCTCGTTCAGTGCGTGCAGGATTTAGCAAGTTTTGAACATTGAATTTGCATCTTACTAATACGAATTTTCTAGCAGTCCATTGCTTTGCTTCGATAAACAACGCTTTGACTCTCCCGGTCGTAGGAAAGTCTGCAAGAAAAAACATGCCAAAATTATGATTTTTTGTGTATATTTGTGAAAGAAAGCTTGAAACCATCAGAAAAATTATGTTTTTTAGTTTCATTCGTGAAATAAATAATTTTCAGTAGAAAATAGTTCAAAGATTGAATAAAGAACTTTATACTTCTCTGTAAATCAAGCCTCATTTTCGAAAGTTGCTTAATTTTTCCAATTAATTGTATCAATTTTTTAATAAAAAATTGCAACTTTTTTATTTGAAATGGAAACATAATTGATTTTGAAATAACATGAACATTGTTCATAAAATATAACTATAATATGCTGGATTTTTTTGTTGTTTTTTTTTTAATATTTGTATATGTGTGATTATAATACAAGAACAAAGCGAAAAATTGAAAACAAGTTAGAAAATTGATTTTATGTACGAGCTATCTGTTAGTAATTTTATGAATTCAAATGTGTTTATTACAATTCTAATGTATATAACTTTTTATAAATATTTTTTTATTTATTTTCAAACCTAAATAAAATTTTTAGTTTTATGAATAAAATACTTTTATATATTTTACCAAAATATTAAAGTTATAGCAAAACTTTTAGTTTATTTCAATAATTTTTCGACCCTCAAACATCAAATATTTAGAATTGTTATGAATTTATATGATACTGTTACGCACAGATAGCTATCCCGCGTGAAAAAAGGAGCAAATTTATGAGAAAAAAGTGTGTCAATAAGTGTGGCTTACTATAAGCCTGAGTCACACTTTTCCCTCATTTTTTTAAATTCTATGTTTTTTTCATTCGAGTATAACAGAAAGTGCGCTAGATCAAAAACTAAAGTGATTCGACTGACTTTTCAAGGTCAAGGAAGTTTTTCGACTTTTCAAAAAAGATGTGGGAAAAGTGTGGCTCAGGCTCATAAGCCACCCTTATGCCACACTTATGCCCTACTTTTTCCATACTTTTGCCCCTTTTTTCTATTCTATCGGGATACTAGCTGCATACGGGACGGACACGTGTTGAATATGGAAGGGGTATTTAAAATCGTTGACTTTTAAATAGAAACGCGTTGTTCAATCTCGAATACCTACGCAGGCAAAGACTCGAGGTTCACAAACTAATCACTGGTTGCAACTCGTCGCGAACTCAGAAAAGAACAAATTAAATAATTAAATTTTTCTCAAAAACGACGAAAACCTTTTAGATAACCCTACGTTTGTCAGAATTTTTTAATATCAGATTACATTCAAATTCAATTTATTTTGGTTATTTTATTATAAATAACTGTTTTTTTTTGCAGAAGAAGTGCAATAGTTTTCTAGTATATGGTACAGTCAATTTTACACCATAAATAGTAATTATATACTTTACTCATACTTTTTTTCAGTTATTTTTTATAAACATAAATGAACAATCATAGAAACTAGCATATAAATGTAAGAATTCGTTTGATCTTTCGAGATTTTTAAAATAAACAAGAAAACAGCTGAAATTAACAGTGAAATTTCACGCTTCTTATTTGGAAATTACCGCGCGAATAACCTCCCGTAATAATTTTATTATCGTTTTGCTGTGTGCATGAAGAACGAATTCAAGAGCCCGCCTAGAAGATTGCGCCGGTGGCGGTTAAAACACGAAGCAACCGGCCTCCAGAGCATTCGAAGTCTTTTTGCGAAACACGTGCTGCGGATACCGCTGTGATACTGTTTTAACTCAACCAATTATTTTATCATCAAGTTGAATTGCTATTGTTTTTTCAACTAATAGACCTTTGTTTTTCATCGATTTATCTGAAAATTTTTGCAAAATGCCACGCGCCGTGCGCGATTCTGATGATGAAACTGAGTTGCGAAGCTGTGAGTATGAAAGTTGTTCTGAATACGTACCATAATTTGATTTTGGCTTCATTTGTAACGGTCATTTCAATAATATCTTTCTTCATTCATCGATATATATTATCTAAAGTTTAATTAAACTTGCAAATTTATGAATCAATGTTTTTCGCTCTCAACCTCGTGAGAGATTAACAAACTATTGATGAAATTTGCAATAATTATCGAATTGCACAATAAACAATATAATGGAATTGAAACAATTGAAACTTGGAATTCATTTGTCTCTGTAACTATCTGAAGTTGTCATTATACATTTTATTATAATTATGGCCAAAAAAAACCTTATGATTTCCAGCTGTTCGAACAAGGGTAAGGGCTGCTAGTACAACTTCAAATACTGATTCTCCAAGAAGAAGTACTAGAAATATGAAAGCATCTACTGTTACTGGGTCATCCCCAGAATCTATTGATGAAGCAATTCAAAATACAACTGGTCGAGCTACTCGCAGTAAAACAGCTAACTTGGACAAAAGTCTTTCTGCAGGTTCAGGCAGGACTTTGAGATCAAGAATGAATTCTGCTTCTTCTGATGTGAGTGAGAATCGGACAGAACCAGATGTAGAAACTTTACCCAAAAGAGTTACAAGAAAAGCAACAACATCAGCTGCAGCTGCCAGTCCAAGGTCTCTGAGAACGTAAGTTTGATGTAATGCATATAATGCTCTGCCAGCTAGGTGCTACAGCACCTCTTGATATGAATAAACATTTTTAATAACATGGTGCTTCTTTGAACTGTGCATTCAAACTGAATAAAAATGGATTGAATATTTTAGTCGTGCTATTCGAGCTGTCTCTGAAGCAAAAGCAACACCACCGGCTGTCAGATCTAGGCGAGTCACTAGAGCAAGTTCCGTTGATCAAGGAGCGAGTGAAACAGAAACTCCAACACCAGTAAAACGTCGAACTCGTGCATCAATGGTTCCATTACAACCAACTGTTTTTGAGGAGCATGAAGCTAAAACTAAAGCTTACAGAAGTTTGGAAAATACTGTAATAGAAATTGATGAAGATGATGGTAATTTGAATAAAATACTTACAATTAAATATTAATAAGTAATTCTAATTAATACATTTTTTTTGCTTTACAGATTTGGTAATTCCTTGCTCTCAAACAAAACGGCGCAGTAAAGTAATACTAAAAAAAGAACAACAAGAGAGTGAAGAATCAAAAAGTGGTAAGTTTATCATTTGCTAGTACTTAGTAATTCTATTTTTTACCTTTTTTATTCAACGTTGACATTTTTCGTAACAGTTAAAGAATTAAATATTGAATATGAAAACTCTACTTCGGACTCATCTAAGATTGATGAAGAAAGCATGAATGATAAATCTATAAAAGTAGCTGAAAATAAATCTACTGAATTAATTGACGCATCTTCTCTAGAATCTTATGCACTTTCCAATAATTCTACTCTTAAAGACAAAGAATCAACTAGTTCACAATCAACAGCACACAAAAATATTTTCCATCGAGATGATCCTCAAATAACTAATAAACAAATTGAGTTAATAAATATTGAAGATGATAAATTAGATAAATATGTAGAAGTTAGTATTGAACAACTGTCAAATCATAGCAATGAATCAGTAATTGAAGTCTATGATCACGTTAAAAAAGAAAATGACCCATTATTAGAAATGAAAAAACTTACGGTTACATTAAATCGCAATGATGTCAATCAGATTTTGGCTGAAAAAGTTAAAAAAGACACTTTGAAGTCGTTGATACCTGATAGTATTAAAGACATTAGTTATGAATCAAATAATGATGAGACTGCTTTTATTCAAAACACTCAGCTTTCAGATGTAATAATTGATGCACCTTGTGCTAAACTTGAGGAAATTATTGCATCTGATAATTCAGACATTGAAATAGTAGAAGCATTAGATTCTGAGAGTGATGAAATTATTTTAAATAGTAATATAAACCATAATTCTGTCACAGACGAATGTAAGGTAGAAACAAATCAATTTGTTGATGTTGAAATGTTAGATAGTTCTGAAATAAAACAACAAAATACTGGTAGCAATGATTTATCAAAAAACTTAGAATTAGTTAACGAAGTAAATGATAAGATTGTGATAGAAACTGAAAATGATGAAAGTTTAAGTAACGATTGTGACAGTAGAGACAATATTCAAGCTAGTCCATCAAAGGATGAGATAACTGAGTTAAAGAATGTAGAATCTATAGTTGATAATACCTCTGATGCAATCGACACAAATACATTATCAGTAGAATTAAATGATGCATCTCATCAGACTAATACTAATACATCCACTCAAACTAACAAAGATGATATCATAGATATTGTCATTGAAAATGTTAGAACAATTCCCAATGATGAGAATTCTATTGACTCTGTTGAAATCCAAGAGTTCAAAATAGAAACATCTTATATCGATAACGATGCCATGGAACTTGTCTTACAAGACGATCCAGACCCAGTAAATTCTACTTCTAACGATGCGGTATCTTGTACTGTTACAGAGGCTGAGGGTGCCGCATTATCATGCTCACCCAACAAGTCTGAAAGGAACACATCAGATTCGCCGCTCAAGTCACAGGTTGGAAAAACGTCGCAAATCCCCGACAGTGATGCTGAAGATGAGGATCATCTGTTTCGAGACATCAATGAAGAAGAGTGGATTGCTCAAAAAGAAAAGTCAAGTCAGAAAAACAATGAGGATCAGTCTTCTTCCAAAGACAGTAGTTATGAGTACAGGGAAGACGAAGAAAATAAATCACCTAACAAACTTTCTAACAGCAGACTTGAGAATTCAACATCTAAAACTGAAAATACTTTTGAAAATATTAATTCTTCAAATCTTAAAGATTCATTGAACAAATCTACTCGAAAGTCAATAAGTAAAAATTCTGTTCAACAAATTTCATTAATGGAAGTAGATGAAGATTCACAAAATGAAGCTGACATCTCCATGGAATCACAAAAGAAAGATTCTACACGCAAATCAATGAATAAATCTAAAAAACTTGAAGATTCAGAGACTGAAATGACATCTACCAACATTTTTGATAAAAGTTCAAAAGATAAAAATGAATCTAATATGGATGAAGATTTAGATATGCAATCGAGCCCAAAGAAATCTTTTAATAAATCGCCCAGCAAGAATCTCAATAATAGAAAAAGTTCTCAAATGAATATATCAGCTGCCCAGGCAAGTCCCGAAAAAAATCTTGAGAAATGTCTCGGTAAGAGTCCTAAAAATAAGAAAGGTATCAGTCTGAATGAATCACTCACTCAAGGTACTCCAACTCATTCTGAATCATCGGGCAGCATGGTTCTCAGTGACATGAACAATGAACACTATTCTGAAGGAGAAATAGTTGCTCAATTTAGTCCATCAAGCTCTCCTGTGAAAAAGATTAAGAAAAATAGAAAAAGTTGTCAATTTGAAGAATCTGTTGTAACAGACAATCCTGAAAGTTCTCCTGACAAGTCTTCAAGGAAAAGTCTAAATAGTAGAAAAACTTCTCCAATGAAGGAACAAGACGTACAAGCTAGTACTGAAAAAACTCCTAATAAATCGCTCAAAAAGAGTCCAAAAAATAGAAAAAGTTGTCAACTTGAAGAATCTGTTGTAACAAACAATCCTGAAAGTTCTCCTGACAAGTCTTCAAGAAAAAGTCTAAATAATGAAAAAACTTCTCCAATGAAGGAACTAGATGTACAAGCTAGTTCTGAAAAAACTCCTAACAAATCGCTCAAAAAGAGTCCAAAAAATAGAAAAAGTTGTCAACTTGAAGGATCAGTTGTACAAGACAGTTCTGAAGGCTCTTCCACCAAGTCTTTTAGTAAAAGTCCAAACAATAGAAAAACTTCTCCAATGAAGGAATTAGATGAACAAGAAGCTAGCCCTGGAAAAACTTCTAACAAATCGCTCATAAAGGGTCAAAAAAGTGATGAAGACTCTGATAATGAAGAAGTATCAGAAAATGAAATGCCATCGAGCAGCCATCATAAAAATGATTCTAAACTGGAGAAAGAATCTAATTCAGATAAAAGCAATCGAAAGTCTATTAGAAAAACTCCTAAAAAGTCAAATGAAGATTGTGCCAATGTTGAATCCTGCTCAAGAAAATCTTTGAACAAGAGTACAAACAAAAGTTTGAATGCATCTGTTATCAGTGTAAAGTCTACTACCAAGTCTATGCTGGAAGAACCACCAGAAAGAGATGACAGTGATCTAACTGATCAAGATAAACGCTTAGCTGAAAATATTGAACAAATGAAAACAGAAAATCCACCAAAACTTGATTTTTCTACCCTTGCTCAATGTGACTCAAGCTCAGATGAAAAAAATGATGCTGAATCACAATATATTTTCAACGCTTCTTCAGTCAGCAGTGATAATGGTAAAAATGAAAGTGAAACAGAAGATGAAAAGAATAGCATTGATTCTGATATTGCTAATGAACTCAACCTAGCGGGTGACGACATTGATCAATATGAAGATGATAATGAACCTGCAGATGACTGTGCACCTTCAAACAATGAGTCATCATCTGATGACGAAGATGATGATGAGGATGATTTGGGAGATTTCATTGTACCTGATGATCAAGTTGAAGAATCTGCTGATTCAGATTCAGAAGAGGATAAATCAGAAGTTGATAGCGAACAGGAAAGTGACGAAGAAGCAGATGATGAACCACAGGACAGAAAAAATGTTTCGATTTCAAAAGTTGATGACAAAAATAAATCCAATAATAAGTCAAGAAATCTACTCAGTGATGAAAGCTCAGGCTCGGAATCGGATGACGAAGGTACTGAAAAAGATGATAAAAAGTCTCCTCATGTATCTATGAAAAATAAGAGTATGAATGATTCTCGAAAATCAATCAAAGACAAGAGTCTTAACCATTCAATCAAAAATAAAAATATTTCTAATATTGAGCAAACAAAAAGCGAAATCAAAAACATGAATAAGTCTGCGCAAAATAAAAGTCTTGATGTATCTAATTTCATCAAAGATAAGATAGCAAACGTTTCTGTGAAAGAAAATCAAAACAAAAGTATATCGAAACCTCAAGATTCTTCAATGGATGTTGATGACAGTGAAAGTGAATCTGAACTGTCTGTAGATACGAAATCTGTTGAAATCATCAAAGACAAAAGTCTTGACAAGTCTAAATTGTCGATTAAAGATAAAAGCTTAAATATATCTAAATGTGGCAAGGATAAAAGTATGAATAATTCATTAGCAACTGAGCCGAAAGATGAAGATATTAAAAAGTCACTAAAAGACAAAAGTTGCAATGATTCCAAATCGGTTTTTGGTAAAAGCTTATTAAATGAATCAAAATCCAGTAAAAACAAAGGTATTGACTCATCCAATTCAAATTCTTCTGGTAGCGCGCTTGAAGAATCTGATCTGGAAAGTAAATTATGCAACCAGAAAGAAAAACCCAATGACAAAAGTGTTAACATGTCTGTAAAAGATAAAAGTTTGAATATTTCAAAATCAGTAAAAGATAAAAGTTTGAATATTTCAAAATCAATCAAAGATAAAAGTTTGAACATTTCAAAATCAGTAAAAGACAAAAGTTTAAATATTTCAAAGAACGAGAAAAAAAATAAGAAAAGTTTGGAAAGCTTATCTGGTTCTGACATCGAATTACAGAATATTGATTCATCACCTGGATCTGAGTCTGAAGAGGGTGAAGATTCGTACCACATTGTCGATGGCGATGACATGAATCCACTCAAAAGTAAAAATAAAAAACTTTTGATCGAATGCAGCACTCCTAAACCTGGAGTCATGAAAAAGACGGAGCGTTTCTCGAACGCATCAGATAGTTTTTATGAAGACAAAAGCTCCATTGCCAAAAGTAAACGAAAATCGGGTAGTCTAAATGATCTCTCAGAAACTAAAGGAGTCACCAAAATTAGCACGGATAATGCTTCGAAATCGATTTTAGATACCAATGAAACGCCAGATGCACTTAAATCTCGTCAAAAGTGGAAGCTAATTCCGCTTAATCAAAGTGCTCTTCCATCTGGGGTAGATACACCAGTAACAAAATTCTTAAAGAAAGCCAAGCTGAATGATTCCTTACCAGCATTGCCTTTACAAGATACAAGAGAAGAAGCTGAAGATAAAAAATCTCAAAAGAAAAAGTCTAAGAACGATAAGAGTGCTCAAGATGAAGTTTTGAATTGCAGTAACGAACATAAGAATTTGAAAAGAAAATCTCTGGTTAATGTTTCTAAAGTTAGCGAAAATAGTATCATTGCAGTTGATGAAAAGAGTAAGCGTGTTGAAGAAAAACAATCAGACTCGGAAATTAATACTGTGGAAGAAAAGAAAAAGAATAAGAAGAAGAAAAATAAAAACAAAAATAAAGAGAGTGACTTAAAAGTTGTTGAAACTATTGAGAAACAATCACAACTCGTAGAGGATGTATCTGAGTCAAAGCAAAAAAAGAAAAAAAAGAACAAAGAAATCAAAAGCGTCGAAAAAGAGGTGGATGATACTATAAAAATCGAAGAAAACCCCAAGAAAAACAAACGAAAACTTACTGATGTTGAAGATTCTTCGAAACAAGTTAAAAAGCAAAAATCAAAACACGAAGCCACAACTAGTGAAAATGACGAGACTTTGAAATTAGCACTAAGAACTCTGGAAAAACTCAATTCAAAGGGTTTAAAGAAACCTAAAAAAGCAAAATCACCAGTAATGTCAGATTCTGACAATGAAGCTCCTGAAAGTCTTGACGTTAAAAAAGCTCGTGAATCCGCTATGGCCGCGATGAAATCAGCCGCTGAAAGCGTGAAAACGATGAAAGAAGCTCGCAGGAAAAAGCACCAGGAAATCATTGAGCGCAAGAGTGTCAAACGGCTTCCTGATGATTTCCTTAACGAGCTCGACGAACAACCTGTACAACATCGCGAAAAGAGACGCAAAATCAATAAGAACGATGAACGTGCCATTATGCCTTCGAAATCCATGTTTAGTCCAGGCAAGATGATTCCGCAAAATCTCAAAGTTGAAGACGCCTATGTGCCTCTTAGCTCAGCTGGTGGGACTACAGAATTCGGTGTTGTTGATTTAGAAAAAGCAAAAAAAGTTACAAAGAAAAGCAGCGCCTTTAGCTTCAGAGATAAAATGTTGTCGAGAAATCAGAGAATGCCCATGAAAAGTTATCTTTCGCAACAGTTGAAATCAAAATCTAAAAGTTCTCTTTGAAGCTCGTTGTTTTTTTTTCAAAGAGATAAATTTTGAAATGTAACTTTTAGTAGATAAAAAAATCACTTCCATACTTTGGTAGGCCAATAGTTTCACATTATGTTACGACTTGTGATATTGCTTGGTGCGTTCTAGATGTACAGAACTTTATGTAGTTCACTTAAGCGAAAACAATACAGATTTTTCATTTTTTTTCATTTTTTTTTATTTTTAATTTCAAAAGCTTGTACTTTTGTTGAATTAAAGGTTCAATTTAATGCTTCAACTATTATTTTGGTGAATATGTAACACTCACCAAGTTCGTTTTTACATTTAAATGAGACAAATTAGATGTATGTTAAGTAGCGTAGCGCAACGCGCGCGTTTTGTGTTTCTATCAATTATTAATTTTGACAGTTTTACTTGATTATAAAAGCCAATTGTTTCAATTGTTGTGAACCACAAAATATGTTTACTTTCAAAAGTTTTACATTTCAAAGGCCCAAGCTTGGCTTGGCAACTTTTATAAAAGATCTCTTATGCTAACTGTAAAGAAAAACCTAAATCCGAAGTGCTTTAATGTAAGTAATTATTTTTGTGGTTATATAAAAATAAGACAATCACGTTGATGATGATCAGTTTAAATTTGTTACTACATATTTTTATATGCATTTTGTTAATATCAATATGAATTCACACGCATGTTTGAATAATAAATTAAAGTGTTAAATTCACAATGACTTTTGATTAATTTTTGGAACCTCCATTATTCGCTATTAATAAGAAAAGAAATAATCATTAATCATATGATTAAAAGACTACACGAAAAATACATAAATCATAAAATTGATGGATATTTCCAACCAAATTACTAAACAAGAGCGATTTTTAATCGATTTCGACATAAATGTTGAGTCAACTTACTGCTAATTTTAGGAATCAAAAAAAAATTGATTCTTTTGTCAATTGAGGTGAGTATATCATTGATCGGTGGCCAACCCAAACAGGTTGAATAATTTCGACGAAAAAAGAAAGCGAGGCGCGTCATATTCCTTTCCTCTCCCATATAGTTTGATTTTCACCATTGCGATTAGAAATTGAACGGGTACATTATATACAGCAAGCGGCGGTCTAAAATTAACTCGAGGATTTCGCTCGAAGGTAATCATAACATAAAATCATTGCTACGATCTTCTCACGAATAGTTGTAGTTGCTGTTTACCAAACAAGTGCGTGTAAAATATAAAATAATACTGCTATAACGTAGCATTTTTCGTTGTCGTTGAAACGTGTTACGTAATATTGCATGACCTAAATAACAATATTTATGAGTTCGTCAATATTTTTGGATTTGTATACGAGTAATTTATTAATCGAAACAAAATGGAATTAAATATCGATTAAATTTAGTGTCAATTAATTGATTTTGCCAATATAACACTGTCAAGCATAGATTGTAGCTTTGCAGTTCCTTGGCGACTCTCGAGTGTATCGGGTTTTCGTGACACGAGAAAAATCATGGGGCTCGTACTCGCGGCAATTCTGGTGCTCTTAGCTTTCGAGGGAATCGACGCTCACGGAAAACTCGTGAATCCCATGAACAGAGGAACCCTCGGCGGCTATCTCTACGACAATCAAAACTTTTGCGGGGGATACTGGGTAAGAACATTTTTTTCATCTGTATAAAGTCGAAAATTCCCCCAAACTCACCAGAAGCACGTTCGAGCTTAGACTCAGCACGTGAACGGAGGAAAATGCGGCGTTTGCGGCGATAATTACAAAGATCAAGTACCCAGAGCTCAGGAGAACGGAGGTCGATACGGCCGAGGAAAAATCGTCCAAACGTAACTATTTGCATTCCATTTAATAATCTTGAATAATAACTATGAACAATAATTCATTGACTATAACGAACAGCTACAAGTCCGGGGAAAACATCAGTGTCACCGTGGATCTGAGCGCAAATCACGATGGTTACTTTCAATTCGCCGTGTGTCCGCTCGACGATCAAGCCGAGACAGAGGAATGTTTCGAGGCTCATCCTCTGCTGCTCGCCGAGGACGGATCGGACAAGTACTACGTCGGCAGGAAGAGCGGCCGACTCGACATCGATCTGACTCTGCCGAAAGATCTCAAGTGCCAACAGTGCAGTCTCAGATGGCATTACCACACGGCCAACATGTGGGGCATGTGTGAAAATGGCCGCGGACAAATGGGTTGCGGCCCCCAGGAGAACTACAGGACCTGCTCCGACGTTGCAATTGTGTAAAAGTTTCGCGCGTACGAATACAAATGTGGGCGTGAACGAACGTACCGATTACTTCTGCAGCTCGGCTGACGTTATTATTTTGTACTCATTATGTAGTGAATGTTTATTAAAAAAATGTTTGTGTACTAGCTACGAATTCATTTGCTAACGAGTCGATTAAATCGATTAATTATATAACTCGCGCCATCAATGTTAAATTGCCGCAGTGCACCTCTTATTGCACATGATCCACTTGATCTAATATTGTCAACAGCCATGTATATAATATGTTACATCAACGTTTCTTCCCACCGTATAGCTCGTAAATAGCCCGAATATTCTAGTTTCGAAAGGCTGAAAAATAAATTCTGTTAAAAAATTTTGTTCTCGAACATTATTTATCCGATGCACGAAAGCGTACCGAAAAATACGTTTTCCTTGTGTCCTCGCTATTTTTACCGAATTTAACAAATTAAAATCAATCATTTGCCTTCAATCAATACTACTAATACACGTACGTTATTATAAATTTATTTGTTATGTCATTATACAGCTGGTTATAATCAGAGTATTTATCACGAGAAATGAGTCAGCTGTTGCAGTAAAAAAATTTATGGAATTTAAACGCATATAAATCAAATTTTACTAACTGATAAGCTGAGACTAGAAAAATTGAATCTGTAAGGTCTAATTCAAGGGTGAAAAGGTACTGATATTGAGCCGTTGCATCGACAAGATAAAATGAATCAGAGATTTGAGTCAGGCGACGTATTGCACGTGCATCCTGAATATTCGGAATATTCAACTGGGATTATTATCAAATCCAAACAATTGTTTCATAAAATAATTACGAGAGTTTACACACCGTATAAATATTCTCCCGAGTTGTTTTCATGCAAGGTTGAAAAACATTCCGATTGGAGTGTCTCGAGCAAACACGAGTAAAATCACACCCCACACAAATGGTGCGCGACACGCGTCCTCTTCGACAATCCAATGTTTATTTCCCCTCGATCGACGTCAGCTCGCGGCGCGATTATCTCGCGAGCGACATTTTGTCGTTACATTTCCTGAATCAAAAAGAAAATATGTTTTTTTTTTTACAAGTGCATTCATATAAAGATAAAAGCTCGAGTAATTTGGCAATCATTCGACGATCACCAATCGTTAATTGTGCATTTTATGCACTTGTCGAGTGAGTTAGTTCCGAGCAAAATGTCGATCGATCGACGATTGCTTTGCGTCGTCGCTCTGTTGAGCGCGACGAGTCTCCTCGAGGTCCGGGGGCACGGCAGGCTCATTGACCCGGTGGCCAGATCCAGCGCCTGGAGGTACGGCTTCAAGGCGCCCCACAACTACAACGACAACGAGCTCTTCTGCGGCGGCGTGGGAATTCAGTACGGAGTGAACAATGGTCTGTGCGGCGTCTGCGGCGACGACTACAGCCTCCCGAGGCCGAGGCCCAACGAGCTCGGCGGATATTACGGGAAAGGATTCATCGTCAAGACGTAGGTGTTGGCTACGATGCCGCTCGATATAGCGCAACGCTAACTGTGATCGTGAATTGGGTTTCAGGTACAGACAAGGTGACATCATCAAGGCCGTCGTCCAGATCACGGCGTCGCACTTGGGCCACTTTGAATTTCACATCTGCCCTCTGGACTACTTCGACGAGGAGAGCGAGGCGTGCTTCAGGCCGCTCCGACTGGCCAACGGCAAGCGAAAGTTCATGGGGCCGATCGAGCAGAAGGGCGATTACGAGCTCGAGCTCGAGCTGCCCTGGTACTTGACCTGCAAGCACTGCGTCCTCAGGTGGACCTACGTGGCCGGCAACAATTGGGAGACCCACGTCCAAGAGACCTACCGGGGTTGCGCCGACGTCGCTATTTTACGCGACGACGAGGATGATATATAATAAAGGAATTTTGTTTTTTTATACAAAAAAAAAAATATTGTTGTTTTTGTTTACTTGAGGCAAAATCGAGAGATCGATATGACGCGCCGATGACGCGCTCCATCGTCGAAAAAGAATCACTGAGAGATTTTCCAAAATGTCGCGATTACGCATACGACCTTTTTTAACAGTTAACCGGCTCTCGTTCTTGGATACACATATTATTGCTGCGATGGGAGATTACAATCGTTTCGGCAAACATTCGCGTGTCTCGTTTCAACATCTGGACTATTGATACCGCGCGGCGTGCGTAAAATATTTTCATCGACGCGAATCGCGATTGTTTGTTTTTGTTCTCTTAATCGATCCGACAACAACATTAAATGCATGGCTTACACGCGCTTCTGTTGGTAAATAATCGGATTGGCGGCTGAAAGCCTGTGCATCTGCAAACTCTTCTGGCTCGAGACGCAGAAAGTGACATTTCTACTGAAAATCCGCATGAAAAGTCTTTCGACGGCACGTGCAATCGTTGCCAGTTGACTAAACAAGCCAAACGCTCGGGATCGGATTTCGTCGATAAAAAACGACGTATATCGATATAAAAAAATTCGGCCGCATTTTCCGTCACGTGCGACCGCGAGAAAAGGTTCCAAAAACACGAGCGAGCGAGCGAGACGACGAGTGGAATGTTCTCGATCGCTGCAATTACCATAATTAATATCGAAATATGTACAACATACGTGCCTATAGCCGCCCTCCTGTGAATCGTTATCTCGACGCAAACGGCCGAGATACAATGGAAACGAGCGATCCGCATGGCAAATTTGGCAATTCGTGTGTACATTCCCAATCGAGTCACTAATGTAATGTACATAGACGCGCGATGATACATACCGATGATAATTTCGCGCACGCGAATCGGCGCGAATCGACGCCCGTTTCACAATCCCTGTAGAAAACAAGCTTTCTCAATTATCGCCCTCCAACGCATTTGTTGATCTAATTCCATCATCGTTGACAAAATCTCCGAGTGGCTCGGATATACGAGCCGATCTATATAAAAGGAGCAGCCGCGAGCGATACGATTAGTAACGATCGTCGTAATCGACCGCACGATTAACATGTCGGGCCTCTGTCGAATCGTCTTGCTGATGTGTGCGCTAGCCGCGAGCCAGCTGCAGCTGGTCCAGGGCCACGGTATGGTCCTCGACCCGGTCAATCGGTCCAGCGCCTGGAGGAAGGGATTCAAAGTGCCGCCCAACTACGAGGACTCGGAAAATTTCTGCGGTGGTCTTCAGGTGCAGCATCACATGAACGGAGGCAAGTGCGGCCTCTGCGGCGACAATTATGCCTTGGCCCAGCCTCGGCCCAACGAGAACGGTGGCAAATACGGACGCGGAGTCATCGTCAGATCGTGAGTATCGACGAGCGCAAACTCGTCGCGCATTCGTTAAATCTCATAATTTAATCTGATAATTTTCGATGATTTTTTTCCGCGCAGTTACAAAGAGGGCCAAGAAATAGATGTAAAGGTGAAAGTTGAAGCCAACCACAAGGGCTACTTCGAATTCTCCCTGTGTCCGCTCTCGGACGGCAAGCAGCTCGAGAGCGAGGAGTGCTTCGACGCGCATCCCCTGAAACTGGCCGACGGCTCGAGTCGTCATCGACTGAGCGGCACACCCTTCCAGTACGAGGTCGACCTGAAGCTCAAGCTGCCCGAGGGCCTCAAGTGCGAGCACTGCGTCCTCAGGTGGTACTGGATCACCGCCAACAACTGGGGCACCTGCGCCGATGGCAGCGAGGCCCTCGGCTGCGGACCTCACGAGCATTACCGAACCTGCTCGGACATCAGGATCGACTGATGGACTTGTCTACCTTCTAGCACTTTAAGCTTCTCCTTGTTGTAATTTATCGCAATTGTACATAAGCATATCGTTATCTAATAAATAGTTGATTTATAAAAGCATGAAAAAAGTCTCGTTTTTTTTTGGTCTTTTATTTTGTATGTCGGACACTGACTAGAATAGCTATATTGGTCAGCTGGAGGCGAGAGATGGGTATATGTGCTTATTACGCAGAGCTACACGAGCTGCGTACACATATATGTAGGAGAGCTGCACGGAGGGCACGATCTCGAGCGATCCGACCACGAACCGGAGCTGCAGTACGGCCCGTACGATGCCGCAGGAAAGAAGCTCAGTGGCCGATGTATTGACATTGGAGGCAGTTATAGATTAGCCGAGCAGAGAGCAGCGCTGGAGCGGCTTAGTACGCGATCAGAGCCATCAATGGTCGGGCCAGCGCAGATCCGCCGCTTGTTTTTGGCGGCCCTCGGCTTGGCCGCGTTGACTGCCTCGAGCACGGGAACGTCGTCGTCGCCGCCGCCGCCGCCGAGCCTCAATGCCACTGCCAAAAGTACGTACTCCTACGTGCAGCATTTATAGCCTGGGTGTGTGTGCGCGCATCGAGACATTATTTATTTAACGAGAGATCGCTGCATAATAATATATATCAATCAATCAGCGAGTCAGTCGTGCGGAAGCGGCTCTAATTTAATTGTCGCTATCGATACTTGTACAGATAATATATACGCACGCCTTACACATGTTGCATCGTGGAATCTACCTGAAATATCCGCTCTCGATCCGTAAACTCACACTCACACATACAGAAAAGCTCGATCATTGCAATTATTTGTTCAATTTCGATCGACGATCCCGCGAGTGCATCCCGCGAGTTGAAAATGTCGCGACATTTTCCAACAACGAGGCAATTTATAATCGGCTCGCAAAGACGATTCGTCGCAAGCACTTGGCCGACCTGCGGCTTTCGCGAGCTCGTGTGCGATGCATTGAGAAAACGTTTATCCACTTACGGCCCCATTCGGCGCGACGCTACATAAGAGTATGTGCGTGTGTGCGTTCGTTGCAGCGACAATTGGCCACACTTGTATCCGTGGGCTTTAATCTGCCGCTTCGGGCCCCCCCGCTACTCCTTTTGTCTTTTGATTTCGCGTCAATATATAGATAAATATCGTCCGCTCTAGTCCAGTGACACATACAGGTCAGCAAAAGCCTTCTATCTAGCGAAAGCATCGTGGGTTTTTCAAAAACCGCATCGAGTAGGCATATTTGCGTGTACGCGTGTACGATGAAAAATGAATGCCGAGCTAGAGGATAGCGACGATTACGATTCGCAGCTCCTTTATGATTCAATTCAGCGCTCGAGCGACCGAAATAGCAGCTTCAATCGCGCTCGTGCACGTAGACGTCGTTCGCGATATGTAGCACACGACAGAGCCATGCCGAGCCTGACTCTTCAACAATGTGTCTCGAGGCTCTTTTTCTATCGCAGATTCGCCGCTATGGAACGAGACGTGGACCGACCGTTTGAAGCAGAACCTCTTGGCGAATTACGACAAGTTCGCGAGGCCGTCGCAGCATTGGGAAACGACGCGGGTCAACGTCAAGCTAAACGTACAGACCGTCGAGGTGGTGAGTCTCTAGTTGATACTTTTTTTGACGAGTATAAAGCTTTTTTGGAGTTTGGCTTATATTATATGATTTCGTGACGATCCAAGGACGATATGCTCAACGTGATGGCAGCCAACGTCTGGGTCGTCATGACTTGGAACGACGACAAGCTCCAGTGGAACTCGAGCGACTACAGCGGCCTCAAGTCCATAAATCTGGGCGCCCACGAGATCTGGCTGCCCGACATCTACCTGCTGAACAGCGCGGCCCACGGCATGGAGTACTACGGCGATCGGCACTGCATCGTCAACGAGATCGGTATCGTCCTCTGGGTCACGCCGACCATCTTCCACGGCTACTGCCATCTGGACTTTACCTTCTGGCCCTTCGAGATGAACACGTGTCGTCTGAGCCTTAGCTCCTGGACCTACGACGGCACTCAGCTCGATCTCAAGTTGCTCGGCTCCGGTGTCGATGTAAGTCTTAATACAAAAACCATAACGTTCTTTTTTTTTTAACTTGTCTCTGTTCGCTCTCGCAAGCTTGACGATTACGTCGCCATTAACGAGTGGATCATCAAGAACGTCACGGGCAGCAGGCGGCAGGAGATCTTCGACTGCTGCCCCGAGCCCTACGTCACGCTCGACTTTGAGTTCGAGCTCTCGAGGTCGTCCGAGCTCTATTACCACGTCATTTTTGTACCAACCATACGTGAGTGTTATTCAACTTCGCTATCATCTCTAACAAATCATAAAACCCGCGTGTGTACATGGTTGCAGCCATAGTTTTCCTGACGCTCGTCACCTTCTGGTTGAGGCCGCAGAGCGAGATGAAGCTGATCGTCAACGCCTCCATAGTCCTCGTAGTCGTGCTCTACCTCATTTACTTTGGCTACAAAGTGCCGGCGCGCTTCGACTCCATGCCGCTCATTGGTAAGTTCTCGCCTCTTTCTTTTAGACTCAAAGTTACATACATGAGCGGCTAAACGAAATGTTACGCGAATGGCTTGGATGTCTTCAGTCAGATTTTACAGTGCCTGCCTGTACCAAGCGAGCATATCGATGATCATATCGGTCATCGTCCTCAACATCAACAAACTCTCGTACTACGCCCATGTGCCCAGGCCGATCAGGCGATTTCTTCAAGGAAAAGCTGCCAAGTACCTGATTCTCGGTCACATCGTTCACGAGGTATGATGGATCTTTATTGGAATTAAAAAACACACACGCGATCATCGTAACGTCTGGTTGGGTCTCGAGTTGCAGATCGAGTCGCAAAAATCGGCAGCGGAGCAAGAGATGTGCGAGAATCATTTGATGGACATATCCATGTCGGCTCCGAGCTTTTCGAGCTTCAGCAACAGCCAACAATGCCTGACTGGAGCGTCCCAAGCATCGGCCGGATCGGGGGCGGCACCCCAGTCGACGACTTCGATCACGAGGAGTCTGGCGAATCTCGAATGGGTCCTGCTTGCCACGGCCATAGATCGCATCGTTTTCTTCCTATTCTGCTTCGTTTTCATCATCCTGGCCATCAGTTGCGTGCGCCTGAAACGCTTCACCTTTTCTAGCGATAATATACCATACTGGCACAGTTGAAGCTTCTTTCGATATAGGCGAGAATGAAAAGAAAAAAACGACAAACGCACGCTTGTACAAATATTGAATGTAAACATTTTTTTATTTTTTCTTCGTTACACGACGTGTTGATTCGTACATAACAGAATACGAAACGGGCGCGTCTCGTATAATTATAACACACGCTTCTTTACATACGTTGTACATAAAGAGATGAGCAAAAAAGAAGAAAAGAGATTAATTAAACAAAATTAAATAAATTCTTATAAAAGAAAAAATAAGTAAATATGTATTGCCGCATCATACGTTTGATTTTTGGCGTCAAACGATTGCATTGGAATGATATGTTAGTCCAATAATTTTCACGAGTAATCTAATAGTATATAAATATTTAGTCGTTACATTACATGTTAGTTTTGGCATCGAATCTCGAGTTATTGAGAGAAAGAGAGATAAATAGAGAGATAGAGAAAGAGAAAGACGGTGCGCCTAAAAATATACAAGCGCAATACCCTGATCTCCATGGTAGATATTTCGCAGACGATTCGTTCGTCGAGAGCATTACAATAAAGAAAAATGGGGAAGATATAAAAGCTTAAAAGGTGAAAAAATATACATAAAAAAGAACTTCGCCCAAAGCGAAGATTGCTAAACTTGATCGCTATCCGATTCTTGACTTGAGTTGAAGGAAAGAAAAGAGAAATAAGCAAATTGTTTCAGTAAAAAAAAAAAAAATAATAAAATAAAAAAAAAAATTAAAAAAGCCGCTCTCTACGAATGGATCGTCGTGAAAATATCGACGCCGTGGCCTTTTTCTGTCGTTCAGTAAGAGACGAGTATTTCGTAAAGTACAAGATCGCCCGTGATCCGTATCGTGTCGACGATCGATGGCTGAAGTCTGTGCCTGAACTCGCCGATCATTTTGTCATTCAGCCATATCACGTAGTTCTCGTGTTCACAGCGGATTCTGAAGCAAGCGAACAAACGAAACATCATTGGCATGCGAGAATCGCACAGCTTCTCCAGGCGTATCGTCAGAACTTACGACAGTAAAAATTCGCGTCCTGGCATCCAGGTCTGACCGTCGTGACGCTCCTCGCGATCCCAACCGCCGTTACTCCAGCAGTTCATTACCATACAGGACGGCTGATTACCGTAGTGGTAGCGAGGATTTAAATGCAGTGCTATCGATGGGTGAGGGTAGATCATTCTCCCTTTCTGAAGATTTATGTAGAATCTGCAGGATAACGAGATCGACAGCGTGTGTTTACTGCCAGCTTCTTAGCGTATGTTGAATTAAGTAAAATCGACTCACGAATGTGGCAGTAATTTCAGTCTTCCTTTCATCATGAGACGCGAGCCGACGTCGAAACCCTTCGGTAGATCGATGACGATCGGCAACTTCTGCAAGACGAGAAAAAAGCGATGAGTTTCGGTGCTGTCATAGCACGAAAGAAGGAAGAAACTCACGAGATCTTTGTCGAGCGGACTGTTGTCTCGGAGCTCGAAGCATCTCATCGGTTGGCAGATCTGGGGATCGGGATACACGTCGATGTTGGTTTGACGGACTTTGGCCTCCTCGATGTCGTCGTTGACCTCCAGCCCGATGACATCCTCGAGCGGCAGTCGATACGCAAACGCGCAGAAATGCTCTCCATCTATGGCGATCTGTGAAGTTGTAATTTTTTTTGTTTAAACTCTACTTTGACCGTATTTCCACGAACTCGACAAAGCACAAAGTAATCACCTGGAATTCGTTGAGGGTGCAGAATATCGTGACGTGAAAGTAAGAATTTCGCCGGAATATGTAACCGCGAGAACTGATTGGCGAGCAGGTCTCCTCATCTTGCCAGTATCCTTTGAGTTTAGTGTTCCTCACGACGTAGCCGCGATCGAGGCGAGGATTGAAGTGCAGCGCTATGTTTCCCGACGTTCGGCATTTCAAATTTATTGAGAATCTGTGGACAGGTGGACAATTTTTTTTTCTTCAGAAATTCAATCGAAATTTTGCGCGGCTCCGATTTTCGACGATGCTGATCGGGCACGAGTCGTGCAACGAGAGCATCGCCGTTCGCCCAAAATCTAGAGCGTCAATTGTGTTAAACAATTTTTTCGTAACCTTGACGACGCATTTCACTTATATAGTTCATATTATACACGTGCAGCAACGTTACGGTGTACATCCACTTAAATTAAAAAAAAATCAATACAGTTTTGGATAATGACTCACCGCGTGGCGTCGATCGGAATGTATCCAATGACGATGATCGCCGATGTCGGTGTCAAATTGTTCAATTTGAAGAGCGTCGATACGTTCTGCAAACGGTAAGCAAACGTTGCGTGTATATTGATATTCAATTACGATAAGTTGTGTCAAGGACAAACAGATAACAGAGGTGTATAAAGCATATTAACTAAAGGCGCTAGAGCCGAGTTCGATTTAAAGCAGTTGTTGCGTTCGGCGAGCGAATTTCTAGAAAACAATTGTTGAACTAGCTTCATTTTCGATAAAGCGACCTGAAAAATAGATTATGTCCTTACAACTGGCTGCAATTAGTGCCACTGAATATGTACTGATAAGCTTGTGCGCTCTTCGTCGTGTTTCAAATTTTTCGCGCCGCGTACGCAATTGACAGCTCGTCGAGGGCCGTGCTGGCCGCAACAACAACAACAACAACAACTTCGCAATACGATCCCGCCGCGATCGACGTAATACCTGTTTGTCTGCAAACGAGGCAAGCCATCGACGTTCGAGGCAATTTTCCACGGCCACGAGGCAAATAATAATGTAACTGGACTGGAGGGCTGGAGACTTACCACCGGCGTGGCATCGTCGTCGTTGAATTGGAAATTTTTCAGAGCTTCGTTGCGCCGAGCGACTACGGCCCGGAGCCACTCGCGGGACATGCTTCAACGCACAAGCCTCGCTATCGGCCCCTCCTCACCTCGGCATTTCCTCAAAGACACTGCCACAAACTTTATTTCTATGCAGCTGACAGCTTCTATATCATACTTACACAGTAGCTATCTGACACAAATATAAACACAGCTCGGCTCGTCATTCTCGAGGCAGTGACTGGAGCGATCGTCGGTAAAACTGTCAAACCTTCATAAAAAAACTACTTTATCATTCATATGCTGATGTAAATTAAAATTTAACTTTTCTTTAAAGAAAAAATTAATGCACACCAAGAGCCTAAATTTCTCATCGACCATTAATGTTTATGAGCGAACGAACGAGTTCAATAATTATTTAATTTACGAGTAAATCGTAAATTTGAATCAGTCCGCGTTTAATTTTTTCCACCAATTATATCACTGGCATTTGCAAGCAGCGCCTCGTGTTCCACGCATGCCGACGAGCAACCTCTTTCTTTCTCTTTCTTACAGTGTAACGCTGTCGAAGAAGATGTGAGTTTTATTTATATGCATTTTTTATTTAAATAAACTGCAATTTTTGGTGATAACTACGCAAACTTGGAACAAATTTAGAAAATGCAATTAATACTTCGTTCGTTACTTTTACAAAAATTGTTCATAATGTGTCACATACGTCCAAAGTAAATACGGCACGTGCGTGGCCGGATTTTTGCCGTATTCTGTACTTTTATACATAATAATCAATTGAGAATAAAGTATTTCCGTCGATTTTTCAATAAACCTCGTTGCATTTAATTTAATCGGCTACTTTGCATTAAAAATAATTACTAAAGAAAAACGTTACACAGTGCATCGGGTTGATTTGTGTCTCTAACCTAACATTTCTGCTATTCAAATCAGGCAGGCAGAGGAAATACATTTCATTTTTATTCATTGGTAATATTTTTCTATTTTTAGATCAACATGACTAACTCTAAAGGTTATCGTCGTGGAACGAGGGATCTCTTCTCCAGGAGATTCCGCAAAAGGGGTACCCTCCACCTCTCCACTTATATGCGAGTCTACAAAGTTGGAGACATTGTTGATATCAAGGGTGATGGTGCCATCCAGAAGGGCATGCCATACAAAGATTATCACGGCAAAACTGGACGCGTCTTCAATGTGACACAACATGCCCTTGGTATCATCGTAAACAAGAGGGTCAGGGGTAAGATCCTACCCAAGAGAATCAATGTTCGCATTGAACACGTTAAGCACAGCAAATGTAGAGACGATTTCTTGAGAAGAGTCAAGGAAAACGAAAAGTTGAGATTGGAAGCTAAGAAGAACAAAACCAAGGTCTGTTTGAAGAGACAACCAGCTCAACCTAGACCAGCGCATATCGTCAAGGGTAAAGGCGAACCACAAATGTTGGCACCAATCCCCTACGAATTCATTGCTTAAGCTTTGAAACAGCGTGTAAATATTTTTTAAATCTATTAAAATTTTGAAAACCTCAAACATTTGCATTTTGTTTACTTTTATTAGCTTGGCTAATAAGTCACCCATGACTCCAAAATTTATAGATGTTTTCTTTTCTGAAAATTGCTTGCGATAGATTATACCTTAATTCACAAACCATTTGAATTGAAAACTATGATGAATTCGCATAAATATCAAAAGATATTAGTTTATGCAAAGGTGCAATCTACAAAATAATCAATTTATATCAAATTCCATTTTATATCAGAAGGTTCTAAAGAAACTTACAAGAATACTTTTTCAATAAAATTCTTTTATTCACTAACATAATTTTTACTTCTTTTGATCAACAACATTTTATTCAAAAATGGATTGATTAATTTTGTTGGTCTTAAATGGTAACAGTAGATCAGCCTTTTTTATTTAAATATTCATTTGACTTTTTATGTTTTTTTATATTTAAAATCTTGAAAAACAATAACATCTCAAGTTCATTGGTTAATTAAAAGTTGTACATAATATTCATATAAAACACAATAGCAACAGGTAATGCTTTGTGTACTGATCTCATAAGATTTTTTCAGCTGACAGGAACGAAAAATATATTAAAATTCTAAACAATGGTTTTCAATGAGTATGTGAAAAAAATCATTGAGTTCAATGTTATCTTATTCATTTCTGTAACTTAAAAGCATCATGAATAATGGCAATGAGTAGTTTGATAAAACAATAATTGATCTATCTATCACAATTTTTGAGAAGATAGAAAAGTTTCAAGAAGAAATCAGATCAAAAAAGTTGAATAATAACTGTAAACATTCTTGTATAAAATTTAAAAATGATAGTATTATCTTCAAACGTTATTATAAGCTATACAAATAAAAACTTGTGATAATAATGATAACAGTAATAATCAAAATTTTAAAATGAAAAGATATTGGTAAATAAAGTGAAATTAAAAAGGGCAATTCAAAAAAAATTAAAATATCGCTATTAAGCTCGAGTATGTGAATAACAAATTGAAAATCGCAAATATTTAATTTCGTTACGGTCTACTTAATCTCAATGTCTAAAACTTGAAATTAGATAAATTATATAATTAGTGCAACGCGATTTAAGGATAAAATTGTATGCCATCTGAGAGAGTCATGTCATTCAAATTGATGAATGATAAGAGATGTCAATTACTATATGATTTTTGTTTTTATTTTTTAAAAAAGTATCACGAATTCATCCAAGGAGATCATCAACTTATATACCTGCTGGATCATGTGGATCGGGTAACTTTTGCCAGTTTGGTTCAACACCCCAGATTTCTCGCGCATATTCGGCGATCGTTCGGTCGGAAGAGAATTTTCCAGACGACGCGATATTGTGAATGGCCATCTCTGCCCACTTGGTTTCATCCTACGGAAAAAATGTCAATAAATCTAGATGAAATGAAAAATTGACAATCGTGACTCACGAGATAAGTCTTGGATACTCGATCTTGGCACTTGATGTAATCCTCGAAATCAGCAAGCAGATAAAATCTATCCCACTTGAGTAACATATCGACTATGTCTTGGAATTCTCCGGGATTGTTGGGGCTGAAGAATCCTCCCTGAATTTGATCGATGCATTGTTTCGCTTCCGGCAGTTTATTGTAATAATCGTAGGCGTTGTATCCTCTCTTCTTGAGAGCTTCGACTTGGTCGACTGTCATACCAAAGATGAAGATGTTATCATTGCCCATTTCTTCGGCCATTTCGACGTTTGCTCCGTCGAGCGTGCCGATCGTCAGGGCTCCATTCAACTAAAAGTAAAATTCGGTGGTCAAGGGTCAAGCTAGTACGTTTGAATGGGAAAAATGATGAGTTAATTAGTGACCATGAACTTCATATTTCCGGTGCCAGATGCCTCGGTACCGGCAGTAGAGATCTGTTCACTAAGATCGGCAGCTGGAATGATCTTCTCGGCCAAAGTGACTCGGTAATTTTCCAAAAAGATGAGCTTCAACTTGTCTCCGACGATAGGATCGTTATTGATGACATTGCCCACGCTACAGATGAGCTTGATGATTTTTTTGGCGAGATGGTAACCGGGCGCGGCCTTGCCGCCGATCATGACGGTGCGCGGGACCACCTGTGCGTTGGGATTCGCCTTGATGCGGTTGAACAGAGTGATGACGTGGAGGCAATTGAGCAGCTGGCGCTTGTACTCGTGAATGCGCTTGACTTGGATGTCGAAAATCGAGTTGGGGTTGATTCTGACACCGTAGTCGCGCTCGAGCATTTGCGCCAGACGCATCTTATTCTCTTGCTTGACTTTGACGACGGCGCGTTGGAAGCCCGGATCCTTGGCCCACTGCTTCAGCTGAGTCAGCTGGTCCAAGTGCACGGCGTACTCGCTGCCGATTTTCTGCCAAACGATCAAGAACGCGATCAGTGTTTGGTCGCGTAGAGACCTGGAATCGGGCAAACACTCACCTGTTCGATGACGTCGGACAAATTGGGGTTGCAGAGTAGCAGCCATCTCCTCGGAGTGATTCCGTTGGTCTTGTTTTGGAATTTTTCAGGGTTGAGTTCGTAAAAGTCGCGGAAACTGAGGACGAACGAGGGAAGAGGATGAACAGATCGAACGTTGAAATTTGCGAGAAAAGAGAGAGAAAGAGATTACTTACACGGAATCTTTCAAGATTTCCGAGTGAATCCGAGCGACTCCGTTGACGGCGTGGCTACCGACGATCGACAGATGGGCCATGTTGACGCGCTTCTCGCCCTCCTCCTCGACGAGGGACATGCGCCTCAAGCGATCGATGTCGCCCGGATACTTGGCCTCGACGAGCTTGAGGTGCAAAAAGTTGATGTGGTAGATGATCTGCAAGTGGCGGGGCAGTATGCTCTCGAGCATGCTGATGGGCCAGCGCTCGAGGGCCTCGGGCAGAACCGTGTGGTTGGTGTAGGCGCAGGTGCGCACGGTGATGTCCCAGGCCTTCTCCCAGCTGAGGCCCTCGATGTCGATGAGGATGCGCATGAGCTCGGGTATGGCCAGCGAGGGATGCGTGTCGTTCAGCTGTATGGCCACCTTGTCGGGGAACGCGTCAAAGTCCGTGCGGTGGTGCTCGCGCGAGCCGAACTTGCTCGACTTGTAGCGGCGAATGATGTCCTGCAGCGTGGCGGCGCACATGAAGTACTCCTGCTTCAGACGCAGCTCTTTGCCCTCGAAGAAGTTGTCGTTGGGGTAGAGCACGCGCGAGATGTTCTCCGCGAGATTTCGGTCGATCACGGCCTGAATGTAGTCGCCGTCGTTGACTGAAGAGAGAGAGAGCCAAGCTCAACGATCGCTCCTGGTCGTTAATTAAAAGTATCGAGTCGATCGTACTCACAGAATTTGAGATTGAAATCGATGGGCGACTTGGCCGACCAGAGTCTCAAGGTGTTGACGACGTTGTTCTTGTATCCGGGAATGGGATTGTCGTAGGGCATGGCGAAGACCACCTGAGTGTTGACCCACTTCTTGCCCTCGGGGGTGTCGATGACGTGGCCGTAAAAGTTGACCGGCAGCATGAATTCCGGCCGAGCCTTCTCCCAGGGGTTGCCGTACCTGAGCCACTCGTCGGGCTCCTCGACCTGCTCGCCGTTCTTGATCTTCTGCGCGAATATGCCGTACTCGTAGCGAATGCCGTAGCCGTAGGCGGCCAGGCCCAGCGTGGCCATCGAGTCGAGGAAGCAGGCGGCCAGTCGACCGAGACCGCCGTTACCGAGGCCGGCGTCCTCCTCCAAATCTTCCAGCTCCTCGATGTCCAGGCCCAACTAGTCAAAAGCTCCGTTACAATCACTCCGATCGATCGACCTTTCTCTGTCGTTTGCTGCAAGCTCACCTGGTACATGGCCTCGTCGCAAGCTCCCTGAATGCCCAAGTTGATCATGGTGTTCTGTAGGGTTCTTCCCATGTAGTACTCCAGCGACAGATAGTAACATCTCTGTGAATAGAAGGAAACGTTTTGAAAAATTCGCTATAGTTATAAGATAAGCGCCAAGGTCGCCAAGATCAACTTACGGACGAAAACAATCCTTCGATTATTAATTATCTTTATCTTATCGTTTCAAAAAAGAATGCATAATTAGATATGCATAGATTGTTAAGGCGCCTGATAAGTCTGCCTTGTTTTATATATCGAACAGCAAAGCTCGGCCGATCCGACTTGGTTACATAACGCGAAATTCGGAAAAGATTGACAATACAAGCAAAAGCGCGTGCCAAAAAGTCGCGCGTCCAACGCTCGTGATGCGCGCCGTTTTATAGCGGAAGGTGGAAAATCTCGCCGAATACGTGTAAACTGGCAAGCATAACTCAAGGAGAAAAACTGCGAGAGCAATGTTAACGGTCCGTCTTTAATGCGCACTTGTTCATTTACCTATAATACACAAACGAACGAGTATAATCAATTCTCTTTCTAACGGTGTAAATTAATTTTGTTTCGAAATTGCAAACAGCGAGCTCGAGCGTGTCGTGAAATATGCGAGTCCAATAATATAAATAAATCGATTAGCAGCTTTATCGGAGTCCGAGAGATGAGGCCGTGAGTGTGTCGAAGAAATAAAAACGCCATAATCACGACTGTCTTATCGGGAAAAATATAATGATCGAGATTTTTGTGCCTACATTTGCATCTTAGCGCCACGTGCAGCGAGATCAGCCAAATGTCCAAAATAGTCGTCCGAGCTTTCAAGCATCGAGTCGTGTGGTTTTCCGCTTCCATGTATAATCATCGTTACGGAAAAAAATCGTTAGTTCATTGGGCGAGTGACATAAAATCGGTTCATTACGAATTATCGGCGTTGATTGGCAGTGCATCTAAACGCAAAGTGATCGATAGGTGTGAGTTAGTTTCGAGATATTGGCAATTTAATTTAGACTGCGTCGTGTTGCAACGCAACATTGTTCGCTGGCAATTCTGCTGCTCATTCTTGGGCGTTCGACTCGATCCGTCTGTCCGTCGGTCACTCTCTCTTTCTCTGTCTCTCTCTCGATAACAGCTCGATCGAGACAAAGTTCACTCACAGAGGCAACCTATCGTTCTCAGACGTGCATAATCAGCCGAACGACGTTATACAAAGCTGCGTGTCGGGTCTCGGCGTCTTGGTCACGTGCCGCTCATGCATATAGAAGTCGCAAAATTTGCCAAGGGAAAATTATGCGAAGGTACAAGCAGCAGCGCAGCCTGCAGCGAGATATATCGAGAGCGAGGCCGGCAGCTTGTTTTTATTTGCACATTCGTTTATTATGTAGCTGCGTGCACTCGCAAAAGCTCTCGCATAGTCGAACACGTTGCTCGAGTGCGCGAATCGAGCGACGACGAAAAAAAAAAGGAGCAAGCTCGTTATGAAACTTGCTCAGTCGCTTTCTTGCGCCCGTACCGAAATAAACTGCTCCGCCTCGTGTACTCGCTGTAATTGTCGCTTGTTTACGCTCGCCACCGACCATCTCTATCTGTCCCTGCTCGAGGCACAGACGATTCGATTGTCTCGCGATAAAAATTACCGAGCGCGTATGTAACATTTTTTTCCGCTAGCCAGTCGCTATAGATCGTATTTATATCGTATATCGCAGCTACATGTATCGGTGCGCAAAAGTGTCAACGTGCCAAGAGAGCCGAGAATGAATGTTAAGGCCGCGTCGACGAGCAATAGTGGTAATAATAATAATTGCGGCGATATGTACCTTGGGATCGGTCTCGTAGTAGTACTGCTGCGTGCGGATCCATCTGGAGACGAGATTGTCCTTGACACTGTGGGCCAGGGCGAAATAATAATCTCTCGAGGTGGCCACATTGCGGTCCTTCACCAGGGTGTAGTGCAAATGTCTGTTGAAGGTATTTTTGAAATTCACCACGTTCTCGACGTCGACGATACCGCGGACCGAGATCTGCTTGCGCTTCTCGTGGTCCTCCTTGCTCAACGACATCTTTTGCCCTGCCGATTTACGCGCGAGCAACGAAAATTCAAAATTCTTACAAAATAGAAAAGAAACAAGTTTGAAAGAACGTAAAAAATTGCAGCAAAGACTGGTTCGGTTCGGCCGACGAGCCGAGCACGAATGACGCGCTGCGGATTGTGGCTTGCGCTGCTGGCTGCTCAGCTTCGCGCGATCCCAAACCGGCTGTATATTGTTACACTGAGGCGACGATACATGCAATACTCTTGCTTTGGGACGGATATACTACACGCGTAACGCACAGACATATACCTACGTCGCATTGTACTTGTGCTTGTATGCACAATTTGCTATACGATCTGCCAAGGGGTTGATGTCACCTTGCCAGAGGTCGCGCCTGCGCTGGTGGACATGCACAGCGCCAACTTCAAACCAAAGCCTCATCGTCGTCACTCGGATCCACGCGTCAATTTTTCCACTCTTTGCTCTCTGTATCGTTGTTCCCAACTAAAAGGCTCTGTGCTGGCTGCATAAATAAACGACCACTACTGCTTTTGTTTTTGGTTATTTTTCAAAAATGAAAAATTCTTTATTCGTAATTTTGATCATATTCAAAGCGATACAAGGCTGCTTATGCTTCTCTGTGGCTTTTTCATTGCATAATATGTTTAGCTCATGATCCGGTTGATTAACAATAAATAATTCAGAAAAAATCAATTGACCCTCAACAGTTGTGTAGTTAATTGAACGGAAAAATTGGGTATTGTTCTCTTTCTTTTTTTTCTTTTCCTTTCAATGCCTTTATGTCTTAACATACCTTTGATTTATCTATAAAAAATGACTACAAAAAATTTTATCCAAAAAAGTTAAAATTACAATTTCTTGCTTTCTTTTTCATTACGAACCAATGAAAATGATGCGTTGGAACTCAATCAATGACCGCTATTAATAATTCCAAGATAAATAGAAAAAATCGATTGAAAAGTTAAAGTTTCTAACTTGGATAAGTATATGGTTCCTAAAAAATCTACCTTTCATTTGATATTTTAATTTTTTTCACCCCAGAGGTAAAATCACATGCGAAAAGCGCTCAATGTAATTGTTTTTACACTCACGATTTAACTACAAATAGAATATTAAAGAATTCTTGTATTATATAATTATTAAACTGTATCTTTCGACGTCTAACTTTCTCTCTTATGCATTGATCACATATTAGGGATAATTTCCTGAATCAATTTTTAACTCGTCAAATACCAAAACACACCATGTGAAAAAAAACTATTTAATGGCTTCAGTAGGAAATTTTTTAAGTTGCTAAATGGTGGTCAGATTTTTAAAAAATTATCGATTTTCGCTGGAAAAATGGCCAGAAAACCTTCAGAACTCTATACCTCCGAAAGCGTAATTTTGGGCGTTTTTTTATCGCTCCAATCGAAATCTGAGGTATTTTTACATCGATTATGGTATTTGTTATACTTTTCATCAGAAGTACATTTTGAAAACTACCACCTTTCGATTGGAACAATAAAAAAAGTTAATATACTCGAATTATTGAACTCTGCATATTTCTAGACATTTTTCTAGTTAAGATAGAAAATTTAGGAAAATTTGGCGCCGCACCATTCAAAAACTGAGAAAATTTTTTATCAAAATTATTTTTTTCCAAGTGGTGTATTGGTACCATTACGGAAAGTTAGAAATAAATTCATTTAGACAAAGAAAGCCAAGCAGACCGCCAGGACAGTTCAGAAAATTTGCCCCAAATATGTTTATGTGTATGAATTTCACCTTCAAATATTTAAACTTTGCGTATGACAAACCGATATCAATAATTTTCCATATATATATTATATATATTTCGTTCTTTTCTTACACTTCTTTTATATTTATATTAGTTATATATAAATACAATAAATATCAATGTAATAGCAATAATATTTAGTAATTCTCAACTTTGTTTCAGAGAGACATTGTGTGATTATCACTTTAATAGTCATTGTTTTTTCATATTTATTTTTTTAATGAATTCATTCATTTTCATTTTCATATTTATTTTTTTTAATGATTTTATTCATTTTATCTTCAATTTTTTATATAACAACTGAATAAGTGATCGCTGATTATTTAGACATTAGATCCTACGGTTTAACCATATAAAAAAAACAATTTAAACAAGCACTTTTCTGCGTTTAGTATCATATGCCAATCTTTATACTATTCTTCCAGAAGATTTACTTACTAATCACTCTTTCCACCCAGTTAGCTTGGCCAAGCAATTTTTTCCTTATAATTTACCATTCGCAATAAAGAACATGCCTTTACATAGACAATTTCACATTGATTACACATCTGGTCATAATTAATGAAATATATTTATAAAGTGCAGCTTGATTTTTTTTTTCTCAAATAATATTTATTAATTATATTAATTTACCTCAACAACATTTTTCTACATTAAAAAAAGGATAGACTCTTCGTTACGATGAGTGATCAAGTAGCAAACGAGATGATGCGAGAGAATGCGGGTGAATGTTATTTTTTGTTTTTTGTAATTTAGTTTAATGCATTTCGTACATAACAGTACTCGTATGAGAAATTACTTCAATGTAATTCTTAAACGTCGTTTATTAGTAAGTTGATGTGATGATCTATATGACCTGTTCTTTGTTTTATAACAGTAATCCCTTAAAAGTTATAGGTAAATTAACCTATATAAGTCGACAAAAATCGTTAATACGATGAATCATTAATACATACGATTGCACAATTTGCGTTCGAAATGTTATCCTTCTTTTTAGCTTCAGAAGAGAAATACATTATACAGCATTATGTAGTAGGAAAAGACACGTATCGTTTTTCTTTCTGTGCTAATCTATACAATATATTAATCCGGGAAAAAATACCCATAAGTGCATGCGAGCACGTGCCGTTTATATATCTTAGTCATGGTCGCGACAGTTACAAATAAATATGAGGGATGATAATTATATTATTATATTATGAAGTCTCAGCTCAATATGAAATTGCGCGACATAAACGTACTTGAAAGAATCGACAGCATTGTTGATCGTTACAGCGTTAAGTTTTTTTTCTTGTTTTATTTCGTTAATCATTTATTACATGTATAAGATCATATAATTATTGTAACGTTTCGTTTTATAAAGAATCATATTATAACCGTTCGCACATTTGTGAATCGCGAGTTGACTCGCGTTGAGCTTTTTTTATTCTACACAATACACACACTCACACATTGTTCCTTCGCACTTTCTCCTGTTGCTCACAAGATTAAATTCGTCATCGTATCGGTAATAACGAACAATTAATAACGCTAAGTATTACTTGCATTTATTGGTTTGTCTTACATTAAAAAAGGATATCTTGATCTTAGAAATTGATTTTTTTGTATATAATTTTATTATGAGAGTTAAGTATATAATATTGATGGGGGATGCGCGTGTTTCCGGTGAACTTTTACAGTAATGATACTGTGCATTTAATTTAATTTTTTAAATTTGAATCACACATCGCGAAGCAACGCGCGACAAATGACCGTGCTATCATCAAATTTATCACTATAATATTTTAGGATCGTTTGTCGAGCGTCGACTTGTTCGTCTTCGATATAAATCCAACACTTGATCTCATGTTTGTTAATTATATTTTTAGTTTATTGAAAACATTGGTCCGTTATTTACAATCTCTTGCCTTAGTCTCTTATTATAATCATGTTTGTCATGATAATCAAACTAGTCCCGATGTTAATTTTTTAATTCGGCATTTCTATCAGTCCAAGCCCTATTTTTATTGTTTTTTCTTAATCTTCACGCGTAGATGTCTACTTAATATTTGTGTGATACAATCTCGGTAAAACACGCGCTTTCTCACTTTATATGCTTTTCCGATATCCTTTTTTATTAATTATATTTATTTCTTCGTCATCACAAAATTATATCTCGTTCTAAATTACATAGCGCGTAACCTCTTCAATCCTCTGACTTCACAGTTTTTATATGTTTCTCCTCTCCTCGTTTACGGTGATGATTGTGGCTTCAGTGGATTGAGTTAATTTAATCTTTCTTTTCTTCTTTCTTGCCAATAGGCAACGCAGCCTTTACTCTGTAAAAACAAAAAGTGACAAATAGGTAAGAATAGGAAATGGATTTTGATTAATTCTCAGATTGATGGTGAAACTTACTTGGCCGTAATTTCATCGACTTTAGCTTTGACAGCACCGAGATGTTGATCGATTTGCGTCTTGTTTGTTTCGTAAACCTTGGGCAATGTGAAGAGAGCGATGACTCCTGTTTTAAAATGAAAATAATGTTATCATGGTTGGCTAGGAAAAAATATTGTTGAAAAAAGGAGAAAGAAAATGAGGTACTGACCGATTATGACAAGGGTCATTCCATTGAACCATGCACCAAGATACGTGAGCGTCCACAGGAGAATACCGAATTTCAGCGAGTCGACAAAGTCCTCGACGAGGAAGAGCCTGCGCAGTTCGGAGACACCAGCATTGACTTGGTTTACGGCAACATCAGCGACAGCGTGCACCTTCTCGCTTGGTACTGTCAGGTCAAGTTCAAGAATTTCCCTGGAGAAAAGAAGGAGAAAACAGTGGGCATTAGAGACGTGTCATCGTTGTCGATTGTAAACGAAAATTTTCTTGGAAAAATGCACTGTTATAGATACTCACTGGAATGGATGTCCATCGGAAGTTTTCTGAATGGCTTGGAGGACAGTTTTGTAGATTCGGAATAAGATGGTGTAGGTGAGGGTGAGCAGCGACGAGTAAGCCAAGACGCTGATCAAGCTAAAGTAGGCCAGCGACAATAGCACAGTGAGCGTTGCACCAAAAACGATTCCTGACTTTTTGACATCGCGCCAGTAGATCAGGGATGCCACTAAAATGAGAAAAAAAACCAAGTGTTAATTCATGATATTAGGATCAATAATTGAAGGCTAATTTGAGTATATAAAACACCGACTGACATTATATGCACAGTAATTAACAAAGCACATTACAACATCGTCAATGCTTAATTAATTTTGAGTCATTGTTCACGATTGATTTTCGGAAACAATCGATGAATAAATTTGAATACTTGGCTTGCGTGAGAAAACGAAAAGCCTCTACAGCTGTTATTGCGTACATCGAGCGCGAAAATGCTCTTTTGACTATTTTAATATTTTTTCAAGTTGTCACCCCAAGTAGAAAGTCCGACAAATTTATCGGCAAATACAAGATCTAAAAATATAACTGGAGAAGAAAAAATATTTTCGCAACAATGAAAACAGCTCTTTGGCGAAGACAGCTACGACGATGGGTAACGTCGTTGAAAATAAAGAGGCATTTTCGATTTGTCGAACAGCGAAAAGAGAAGGGGAAATCGGTATATAATCGGCAATGCCCGAAATGTCTCTCGAGCCGCGGCGGTGGCGAGTCGTCGTGGCACTCGTGGCGCGCGTTGGCGTAACCTTGAAATTGCCATATGCTCGCTGGATTTTGGTCGAACGAATACACAACAATCGCGACGAGGCGCATTCTTATTAACGACGAATCCTAGTTTCGCTTAATCGCGCAAGCTCGGCATTTCGCGCAGCAGCGTCGATCAATGACCTCGTGTGCCTATTTCGAACACGGGCAACGACTCGAGCACTAGTTTTTCATCCATACGAAGGGTGACTGAAAATTTGGAGAGTCAGTGGCCTCGATGACAGCATATGTCGGTGGTCGGATCGATTTCTACGGGGGATCGACGTGTAGCCCTGTGGCCTCAAACTCTATACATATCCAGTGAACAAACATTGCAGTTTGTTTGCGATATAGAAAATAATAATCATAAGTGGAAGGGAATAAAAGACGTAAGCGTGCATCAAGAGAGGCTTGGAAGGCATGTGCGTATGCGTTGCAGGTTGCACATATGCAACAGTCCCGTTCTCCAGGTTGATACTATACATAACGCATACGAACCCACGTAGGCAGTAACAGTATCATAATATATATCCGATGTCAAATGCTGTATACATTTCCATGTATCTGTCTCCCTCGTTCGAACCGGTAAGGCATATCCGCCACGTTGTATTTTTGTATTATTGCCATAGAGTACACCCGCACAGAGGCGCGCACAATACTCGCTGCATTAGCTGCTGGGAGAGAAAAAAATTTTTGCGACACGCATGAGAGAGAATAGAGTCGGCCGCGGCTGCGATGATGTGGATTATTATGGGCATACGCGCGAAGAGTTTTTAATGAGAGCGAGCCTCTGCGGCTCACCAAGATCACCCATCGGGCTTTTTCCAATATGGGTTTGTTAGCCCCCATGGGTCAATCGAAGCACGTTATCGACCGGTTATAAAACGCGTCTGCGTGGCTATTAATACACGTAACGGTCGCGAGCGTGTCCACGCGAAAGAAAAGTCAATCGGAGTCGGATTCTGCGTGCGTCTACAGATGAATGCAAAAAAGATAAGAGAGCCAAAGCAGCTCGATGCTCGGCGCGTTTCTGCGTGCATATGGATGAGACGATTCGTTCCCTTATCATTTCACTCTTGGGCGAAAACAAAGCTCTAGCAACGATACATGCTCGAGCTCGTGTCGAATAATCGATAGAAGCGAGCCCAATCGCGTATAATAGCATAAAGCGAGGAAGGCGCGTGTATGCAATATGCATTGCTGCTACTGCTACTCGCACCGCACATAGCACATATTATACCGTAAGCGAACAACCGGTGAATCTCTCTAATAGGAGCTTCCATTTTAAATGTCCCCAGGACCCATGATCTCACATGTGTCTGCGCTTATATTCGTGCATCGAAAACCATATGTTTCTCACAGTCGCGCGTCTCTCGAATGATTTTTTACCCGATGCTCGATTGATAGAAGAAACAAGTGATATTTCTGCCGCAATATTGTATTGACAAGATAACTCACCAGGTCCGCGTTCGGGTAAAACCTCGACCTCGACGTGTTGCCTCGAATTGTTCCTACGCACCATCTTGTCTTTTTTATGTGAGTGTGCGGGTTAAATGTCTGTAGGACTGACTATCACGTAAACACCACTGAGAATCTCGGAGTGTTTTGTACAGGTAGTTGTTGTCTCGAAACACGACCAACGACGACTACAACTACGACTGCTAACTCGAAAGCCAACCTGCTCTCTCTTGTTCTCTCTCTCTCTCTCTGTCTCTCGCTCGTGTACACGCTACACACTAGTACACGGTTGGGGCACGTATACACGAGCACACCGTGGCTTCGATGCCGTACGTGTGTGCGTGCGAGCGCGCGTCCGTGTACGTCCGTGTATCTATATGTGCTGAAAGCGCCGCTTGCGCGCGGAGCAAGCAAAAGAGCACGACGAAGAACGAGAGAAAGAGCCCAAGAGGAGAAAGAAGTCATATATACTGTATGGAAACAGCAGCGCGAGAGCGAGACGTAGCCAGAGCCGAGAGCGGAGGGGAGAGGTAAGTCGATCGCGTGGAGGGCCTGCCTCGGCTCTCCGCCGTACTAAGCCGTGTGTGCATGTAACGTCACCGAGGGAAACAACGCGCACAAGTTGCTGAAAATAAAATACCTGCGGACTGTCTTGCAGGTCCCTTTCTCTGGCACGTCGACGGCCGAGCCGAGTCGTGCAAAAGCGACCAGAGCTCCGTGTAAGAGAGAAAGTTTTTTATGCTTCCAAAGGGAAAGTGAATCTTTCGCAGGGATATGTGTCTATTCGACAAAGAGCCTGCAGTGCTACTCGTAGGAGCATTGATTATCCGTTGTAAGACCTTAACGGCCTACGGAGTCTCTCTCTTTTCTTATTTCAATTTTCAACTCGGCTCCGTAAGAGAAAAACAATGAAAGAAAGAGCGCGTTTTACAGGTAAGTGTAGGCGCGGGAGCTCGATGCACACGTAGGTGTAAAAGCGAGCGTAAAAAAGGGCGAAGCACGCAACGCGCTTAGTTTGTGCCAACGAGGTGGCAGCACCGAGCGACCACTAATGCCATTCGTTGTTTGAAGCTTTAAAAAAAAAAAAGATGATAATAATAAAGTCGTAAAATAAGACTTTTACGTAACGACCCGGAATTGAAATTTGATGGGCGAAAATATATCTCGTAAACGCGCAATCTCGATGTAATGTTTAGTCAGCTGTGCTTCATGGCGTTGAGCAATTACGATTTATTTCTTACGAGCGTATCTAATTCGAGAACATCATCTAAGCAGAGCCGGCATTGACATTTTCGTCGGCAATTTTAACGCGATTTCTTGCTTTCCTGAGCGCCTCGAGTGTCATTAGGTCCAAGTTTACACGACGCGTCTTACAGGCCACAGATGGTATACAAAGAGAGTCGAAGAGCTTTGAGCCTACATCGTAGACAACATATAGATTATAAAGCGATCGGTAAAGTTGCGTGCCACGAGCTCGTTTTATCCAACTATCGTTACACGCGGTGTAGCGTCATTATATACCACCGATCGGCTTATGTGAGATTATGCGCGTGCAACATACCAGCTCGTTATTTCTCGGTGAAATTACAAAAAAAGAGTAGGCGAGCGATGTCTCGGCTCGATAAGCGGTCCGCGCGGGGAGAAAATAAAAAGTTTGGATGGAGAGAAGTCGCACGTGCTGGATGCGTGTGCTTCGACTCGTCGTCGTCATATATTGATTTATTCGAGCAGCGTCGTTACACGTTTACACTTGGGCTATAGTACAAGCTACTCACGCAGCTTTATTGTTTTGACACCGACGCGTTACTCCCCGAGCACCGAGTACATGTGCAAGAAAGTGAGAGCTTTATCTGTACCGAAGTCTGTGTCAGAGTCTTGGCAGCTTGGATCGGACAAAAATTTCAAACAAAATTCACACTCGACGCTTCGAGTAACAACGGCAATAATTCACCAAAGTTCAGTGCGCTCTTTGATTGTTCTGCTATTGTAATTATGGAGATTAGAAAAGGGTTGCAGCGACGCTTCAGAGGGGGCTAAAATCGATTCCCTTCGCACAAAACGACACGCTGCATAAACAACACCGCTGTAGTCTGTAGAATTTTAGACATATTTCGATCAAGTTTTTTACATTTTACTGTTTTTAACGAAGCTTCATGCGAGATAAGGACGACACTCGTCGCTAGCATCGTTATCGAGTCTAATTAGTGACTTTTTGCGCGCTCAAGTCCGCTGAAAGAAAGATGGACGCGCAACACTTTTCCAAGCTCGCGTTTGTTGCAAAAAGAAAAAGAGAGTTAGGTCGCAAGTTCAATGCTTGATGTATAACTCGCCGCGTTGAGAGTTCTCTAAGCGATGATCTGTGCCAGTGAACTAAATTTTCGCGCAGGAGCTATTCCTAAAATAATAACACAAGTGGCTGATCCGGGCACGCAGAAAAGTTAGGTTTGTCCAAGTGCGCGCGTGCAGAGCGATATATCATTGCCAAATCGAAACTAGCGTCCAGTTTTCTTTCATCTACTTTGTGCTCTCGCGTGTATTTGTCGCGACGACGACGACAGCGAACGAAATTTTACAAACATTCAAGTGCAGCACGATTTGCGCTTTCTCTCTTGCGATCTGGCTCGCGTCCAGCCCGCACGCGCGTCGCCTATTCAATGCGACGACTAATCTTTTATCGTCGTTTTGCTTTTTTTTTTACTTCCTTCGATTTCGGACGTCGCAACAGATACGCTGCGGAAGATTGACGAACAAAAAAGACCGGAGGTTACTCCGTGTCGTCGTCACCCACATGCACAGCAAAGCTAAGCGAGCAAAAAAATTCCGCAGGGGCTGCAAGGATGGGTGAACAGCAGCTACCTGTGCATTTCCGTCACAGGCAGGCGAGTATAGGACTTATGTTTTCTAGATGCATACGTACAACAATAGTTTTTACATTAGAATACAGCGAGGTTAACTTGAATTGGGAGCAGCCAAGGTCGTGAAATCTGAATTCTGCCGATAATTACTGACGATGTTTACGAAAGTGTTAATTAGCCATCTCGGATTACAAACGCTCGACGCTGTATAATTAAAAAAATCGGAACTTGATATTCGAAAATCTCTCGCCCTATCGTGGCCTGGCCAAGGCCGAGCTCGAGCATTCGAATAATCTGTTGATATTAGGTGCAAAATTAAAATTGTCAGAAAACAAAGAAAGATTGCGAACGAGTCCAAAATCTGCATCGGCTGCCACAATGATTTACAAGACTGACTAAGCTCTTCCTTTCTCTTTCTTCCTTCTGCAATGACACGGCGCTACTTTCAGCTCTCCCAACAATCATACCTATATTACGTAATCTCTCTCTACGTTCGACCGAAATGCATTAAAAGCTTGTGTTTTACACGGTATAGATGCTGGAAGACTTTCCTCTTTTTTCGAGCAAACGAGTGATTCAAGAAAATAGACGAGAATAGATTAAAAGGAAAATGTGTGTTAATAATGACGACCTTGAACCCGGTAGCTAAGCGTCCATTTGCTCGAGGATTTGTTCGAGTGGGAATTTGATTAGTGCGTCGCCTTACGTAATGACTCTATTGTGCGCACACTGCGTCGTTTTTCAGCGTACAGCCGCAACAAATTGTCATTATCGTTAGCACGTTCTGGCCAATTCCGTAAAACAGATTGTGAAATAAAAATATTCCAAGAATACGTTTTAGTTGGGCATATTTAGGGTCTTCTTTTGAATGATGGCTTCCTCATAACATCGAATGCTCAAAAACGACAAAGAAAACTAGAAAAGTTGACACAAACACAGAGCAAAGGGCACGCGATCGTGAAATCTTGACTACATGTAATTCTCATGAAAAGCTTTGCGTGTAAATACAATATTTATTTTTATCTCAATAACGCAAACACTGGAAAAAAGAAGAAACTAGAAACGTCGACTTATTGACAAACCAAATAAAGCAGACTCGCCAGTGAAAAATTATCGAGCGGCCCGTAGTAAAATTATCAAGTATTATGATAAAATAAAACTTGCGTAGAAATGCTAGACGAAAAAGCGTGTTGAGGTCGTCGTGCCAAGCTCGAAGGGGAAAGTTGCACGTGAATCAGCAGTACAGAGCGAGAGAGCGAAAGACCCCTCAGGGCGTGAACGCTGCCGGCGGCGGTGGCAGCCACGCAACGAGAGGCAGCAACCCCTCTCATTCGTTCCTTCTCCCGCGCGTGTGGGTGTGCGTCTATAATGTTACGAATGTGCTTGTGTAAACAAAGACGAGCGAAGAACACATTGGACGGAAACAGGCGTAGTACAACGCGCAGAGGCTTTGTTACAATTGCACACGCGCCTGCACGATATAGCATCGACGAGTAAATGGACAAAAATTTAATTTTTTTCCTCATTGTTGGTCGTTGCTGCTATATACGTTTACGTACTTTCGCGTTTTAATTTTCCAAGAATTCACGAAAAAAATCTCCGTTCGTCAATCAAGCGCTGTTCAAGAGATGTCTGGAAGAAAATCTTTTTTCCAAGATTGGCACATACTGTGCGACCACACAGCAATTACACAAAGAAAAAACACCATGAGCTTAACGAATGTTAACAATCGTGAGCTTTTTTTACTTTGATTTTTCAATACGTCTATATGCGCAAAAGATACACAAAAGAAATTTTCCAAATTACTCACAAGTTTGAATAATCAATTAATTTTTGCACGTTCTCTATCGATAGCATGTACAGTGCAAAATTTCTGATCGTTACACATTTCAATTTAAATACGTACACTTAAAAAAAAAAAGTAAAGATACAAAACTAATCTACCGCAACTACAACGTACAATATAATCAGTGCGCAAGGCCGCACGCATATTCAAGGGGAATTCATCTTTCTCATAATTCTGATTTATAGACTAAATGTTGGCTTTTCATGTGATATGCGTCATCACCGCACATATACAAATAGTTGCCTGCGCAGCAAATTAAATTTCAGTCATCGATATATCCGCGATATATAAAATATTATATATGTATGTTATGTATAATGTACTCTTCATAGATGAATCGTGTAGTACTCACGTTCTTGCCTCGTGATGGCCATTTTCAATGTATGTATGTATCGGGACTAGCTTACAGCACAAACGTGTATTCGTGTATATTTAACACAGATGAATTTAAATGCTCACACTTGTATGGAGCTGAGCTATTGCATGCATACACTGTTTACTAATGCACCGGAGCACTAACTCGCGAATACGTTATTATTCCTTTTTTTCGTCTCGACCGTTTCTGTCGGTGATCTATGAAAAAAATTGGATAATTATGCGCACTGCGATGGAGAGGCGACCATTCAATTATTTTTGTATCGAATGCACCAAAAAACAGACTTTTCTTTTTCTTTCTTTGCACACACGCACACACACTTACACTCACACACGATGAGATAAGTGCTTTACACGAGGATCGCTGTGCACGCGTATTTGGACGTTTTTTGAGGTATTAATCGCGATTCGATCCAAGCTCTCGTCGAAGACATGTATGGCCTATAGAAACTAGACACACAGGCAAATGCGCACGAGCCGAGCAGTGCTCCAAGACTAAAAATCCGCGAAGAAGCTTTTGAGATCTCGCTCTAGTAAAATCCGGACACGCTACGCAAGCTTAGCTACGCGCGTGTGTGCGTGTGTGTACTACTGAGTGAGCTAGCCGCCCCTATGCACGCACGAGCACACACATACACACACACGCATAGGCATAATAAGTGCGCGTCTCTGGCAATCGACCAGACGCACCTAACCTGGACGTTTATATTTAGTTTTCTACCGGGCCAATACACTCTCGCTGTCTTCTCTGGCTTTGCTGGTGCACAGGCCGCTAGCGCGCACGCACACCAGCACTTGTGTATGCACCGATTTTCGGCTGCTGCACTTTTTTCTCGCTGCAACTACTCCACCAGACGGGAGACATCTTTTTTCGCCAAGAGTGAACGAACTCGCCGGATAGAAAAATGACCCTAGCTGCGTCGCGATTGAGGTTAAGGTGCTGCGAACTCGAGTCTAGGCCCCTTTTTGCACTTACTTAGACTGCTGGATTTCGAGACAAACTCGCGGACCAACAAACGAACTGGATGATTGGATATCGATTTTCATTACAAAATCAACTAAATCGCGATAATTTTGACTACGTCTTTCCAAGGATTGATTGACCGGAGAGCGAATACTTTTGTTTTTTCTGGCACAGATTTTTTCGCGTCGATACACTTTGTAAAAATCAATGACACATTGACAATTGCATGTATAGTGAGTGTCTGTGTGCGCAAAGAAAGAAACGAGTCACAAAGACTGCAAGCCGATCTAGTTATCAATCGATCATTTCGATTGACACACTTATATTGACGAAAACCGCAGCTATTCAAACAACAAACCCTCGAGAAATTCTGAATACAAATATTGGGAGTTCAGTCTAGTTAAGAGACACGTCGTACACTGATGCTCGGAAGTCGCGTTAAACGCAGGCGCGATGACGACATAGGGAGAAAGACGCGCTCTATTGCTATATTCATAAAAACACAACTAACTCGAAGGCAAAAAGTATATTCTGGATGGTCTTTTTGGGCGTAGGTTGGACACACTGGGGCGCGAATTTTCGTACATATAAGGCATGAATCGAGGCCAACGGTCGTGCGTTGACTCGATGGCGAATTGAAAGAAAAAATTATCTTTTCCATTTTCTCGTAGCCCCGTGTGACTCGCGGAATAAAGTCAAGACCAAAATAGCGGATTCATGCTGTGCGAGCAGGCCAAAGGCAGATTATTTCGGACACGATGTATGTATTCGTTTAAAAGCCCTAATGGGTGCGGCCTATTAACCCGAGTCGATATGCGCCAGTTTGGCTATTTCTTTTTTTTTTTTTTTTTTTGTAATCTCATTTTGATAATGCGAGGTAAAAAATAAGTGATAACGGTCTACTTAAGATACAATAACGCAAATGATACGAAAAAATGAGCATGCAAAATTTATAGCAAATAATAACATTGATTACGATTATTTAAGATAGAGAAATAAGAGAAGAATTAGTTAAGAGATAACTCACCTTTAGGATGTAGTCTTTCTGGGTTAAACCATGCATCTGTAAAAAAGTCAATCAAACAAACCAAGTTAGTGTTAGAAACAATAAAAAGCTTGCTTTTAAGAATTGTGCAATTTTTTCTACGGTTTATATGTAAACAAGATAAGGTCTGAGATATTTTTTTTCCTAATGACCTTGAAAAACAAAAACGTAATGATTGCCGTGAGTAAAAAACTGATTCGATCTTTTATATTCCTGTCGGCGATTAATTAAGTATAGTCGTAAATGCGCACGCTGAAATTCAATTGGAAAGAGGCAAAATCGAAGTACGGTCGGTGAGCGCTCCCAAGTTGCAACGACCTAATGCACGTCGCATAGATAAGTGCTGAATAGAGATATTAAAGTGCTGCCTGCCTCTTTAAAGACCTATATAATACGCATCATCCTAAACGCAAATACAAAAGTCGGATACTTGTTATTTAAAAAAGAGACCACAAGCAGGCCTGCACTTACACACGCAAAAAAGAGAGCTGTCGGCCCGGAGACTGCGAACTAGGCTGCCGTGTTCACCGGAGCAAGAGAGGCAAAGAGGGAAAAAGAGAGAAAGAGAGAAAAGAATCGATATTTTCATCCGCAGGTTGCGCTCGCATTGTTCAGGGACGTAACTCAGTGGTGCATAAGTATCGCATTGTATAAGTCATGTCGCGATTTCGCATGATTTTCAGCATAAATGTTTAACGTAGAAGTGACGAGAAGTTTTTCCGTATAGCCACAGACTTCATGTGGACTTATTCATGAGTCAAGTCGGCAAATTTAGCGATTATCTAGCAGTGCAGCATCCTATTTGCATAATCGAGCATATATAGGTTGCTTTAGACGATATCGCTACTCGCATCGGTGCACGATAAAAATGTCAAAATTATTAGCCAACGCGTGCGATTCCAACGCTTCGAAGAGAAGCATTGCGAACTAACAGACGGATCAAATTTTTTTTCGAGAATTGTAAACACTCGTTTTTACAGTGGAAAGGCTCGATTGGTTGAGATCCGTAAGAGTGCGTTTATTAAAAAAATCCGCCGACTCGAAGATCGACACGGAAGTTGCTGACTCGGGATAAATAAGCAGAGCAGGCGCAGGAAGGCCGCAGAAAAAAGCGTCGTCGTCACCTGCTCTCGACGGCTCGTCGAGCGAATAGCGCGCGGCATCGAATCTCGATCTGCAGATCTCCGCAATGTTTATATAGATGTATACATTTGCGACGCGCGGCACAGAGAAGAAGGCTGCGCGAGTATAGCGGCACGTTTCCGGGTCATGTGCTATAGAGCAGCGCTAGAGGCCGGGCGGGTGGCGCAGAACGAGGTCAACGACCTCACGCGTGTGCGACTTTATGTTGCTCCCTCCCCCTCCCTCTCCCTTGCGCTCGCTACTTCCTCCCTTCCGAGCTTTCCCCTCTTCTCGTAGGCAGGTACGACGCAATTTTTTCCTCTCGATCGGGCAAATTGTATCTATATTTCCGTCGATCGTGCATTAGCTGCTCCGTGGCTCTCTCTCTCTAAGCTGATCGGTGTCTCTCGCTAAGCGAGCGTGTCTTTAAGCTCGTTACAGGTGCAGCGCGCGAGCTTAGAGAGCTCTGCAGTGCTTTACAACAGGTCGCAAGCGCCCGACCTTTAATATTCTTACGTGCGTGGACGATTTCGGTGAGCCGTCGTAATCGCGCGATCGTTGTTAACCCCGAGCGAGCGAGCGAGCGAATGGTTGCATCGCTCCGATAAAAATTTACCTGTTTTTGAGAGTCGACTCCGGCGATAAGATAAGGACTACGAGTACCTGCAGCCAGGCAATCGGATCGATTACGAATGTTAGATTCACGGGGCGAACTTGACTGATTAGATAAGATGGACGCGAGAGGCGAGAGCTCGCCTTATATTCATGTATAAATTTGAATATTTAGTTCTTTCTCTTTCTCTCTCGATGATGCTCGAGAGCTGCGGATAGAGAAAAGTGAAAGCAACGGAAAAGATAGAGAGAGGCTCGAGAAAGCCGTGCACGCGTAGATGCCAATGACCATTTTCTAACGAGCGTCTCGGCGGAAATTTTATCCTGCCTGGCCGGCTCCTGGACGACGTGCCACACCTATAGCGCGAAAATCACGCGGGAAGCTGCAAGTACGCGATAGCCATGGACTGCAGTCTTTAGAGATTCCGCAGGCAGCAAGAGTCTTGCAGGGAGTCGCGGGTAGTACGCATACGTATCGACGGCGCTACGGGACTGCATCGGGGCAGCGGCGGTGGTGGCAGCAGCTTCAAAGGGGGTGCGCAGGTTGTTGTGATGCGTCGGATAGGCTCACCCCTCCCGCTCAGCCCTCTACGCGCTCGCTTCACCATGAGCAACATCTACCTACGCTCTGCCCCATACAACTGCGCGTTCATAAAATTTGCTCGTCGCTCGAGACACGGCAAAAATGCTCTACTCGGAAGAATTCGTATTCGTTACGTCATTGGCATTGGCGTGCAGAAGCCGCAACTGCCTGCTTGCCTGCCTGCCGACGCCTGATGACGGCTCCAACGAGGACGTCGACAACGTGTAAGCTCGCACGTAACTATGTAAACGCGGCTCCAAGGTAATGATCGCGAACCGAAGACGAATCAGTTTCGCAGATAGACGGAAAATTGACTGGACGCGAGCCGAGCTGGGAGAATATGCCACGACGTATTATGCTCGCCACAAGTCCTAATGTATGCACCGATAGAGTAATAAGTTATAGAAAGGGTAAATGCTTACATGGCAAGAGGACCGTCCAGTAGGAGGCCTCGGACTTTTTGATACTGCAAGCCGCTCCGTCCATGTCTGCTGCTGCTGCTACTTGACTCTTGCTTGCGAACGATTCGAGTCGAACTGACGATTATTCACCGATATACACAGGCTTATATGCTCGTGTATATCTCTCACAATATCACAGGTCGAACGACGATCGGGTAAGTGAGCAACAATTGACACTCACTTTTGATACGTATACAAGACACGCACAGAGAGACACAGACACACACACACCAAAGGCAGATGAGCGCGAGCTATGTATCGTATATACGTAATGTAGCACACACCTTGCGCAGGTCTCGCGCTAGCTCGCAGCGATAGGTACGCGTATAGAACAAAAAACAAACAAAGCAGAGAGCTAGTACGAGAGACTCGACGATGAGCGTATCGCACGAGCGACTGACGACAAAGATCTCGCTGCTACTTTATATGTATCAAGTATATGACTCGTTTCACGGAGAAAAGGGCGGGATCTTTGTTTCGGCGTCACAACAATTGCGCCGCGCGAGAGCCGATTAATCGAATAAGCGGAGCTGCTGCTGCTCTAGTATATAGGCAGATATTGAGAGAATGACTCGATGCTCGCTCGCTTCCAACTCCAAGAGGACTAACGCTCGTACCTCGCGCTCGCTTAATATACTGCGTGTATGTCTGCGTGTGTATGGACTACGTGGACGCCCGTGTATGTGTATAGTGCACTTGCCGAGCGTCTGCTGCTGCTGCTGCTGCTGCCGTGCGCGGCTCTATCGACCCGGGGCCGCCGAGCGAGCGACGAGAGCCGAGAAGGTGGCAGTGTTTCGTCCGTCTCGCTCGCACTCGCACTCGCTCGGCCGCGGCCGCCGGTGTGTAGCTAGCTTCTGCGCCGTGTCGATACGCACACAAACACACACGGCTCGCTCTAGCTCCGAGTCTCGCATGCCCGCGATCCACATGCACACCCCCACCCCAACTCGACAACTCGTTCTTCTTCCTACGCTCGTCGCCTATGTGTAATGTACGCGTACATTCGCACATGTACTGTGTCGCTCTGTCTGTGTGCAGTTGTGCACATAGACCGATAGACATTATGCAGTAGTATACACTTGCTCGTCGACTTTGTCCAGCGGACCAGCGATGCTCTTCGCCTATCTGCATCATTCCCGTTTGGGGTACTAACTAGCTCTCGTACGACTCGATTCTAGGCCTCTCGACTCGGCTATACGCTAAATTCGCCAATTATTCGTGTATCGCAGCTTTACAGCCGATGAAACTGCTCAGGAGAGGAGCTCCGAGCCGGGCAAGGCTCAAGAACGTATAGGCTCGTGGAAAAGCGCTCCAAATCAGCGGTGCAGACGATCGCGAGCTCGAGGCGGCAACAGCTGTTCGACGAGCCGAAAATTCCCGCGGAAATTTGGCAAAGCTGCTGCGCGGTGGCTCCGCAGCTTTTTCGGGACAAAAGTCTCGCTTACGCGTTGTGCGGAGCAGGGAGAGCCGCACTAGCTCGGACCTTCGCTATTTTCATTGCAGCTCGAGCCGACGAGACATCGGGTATGCTGCCGAACGGTTTATACGCCGGCCGGCGGTGGCGGCTCATTTGGGTGACTCGGCATGCAACTCGAGCTTTTTATCCCTTGGCTGTATTTTGTTGTTTTCGAGCACTCGCTGCGATACACGCAAAGGTTATCAAGCGCTCGGCTACACGATAGCGTTTCGTGCGCCCGAGTATATCGTCGGTGTCGAGCGAAAAAAGCGAAAAAAGCGCAGTTGCGCGACGATCGCATGGCGCGAAATAAAAAACAAAGTCAAATTGCCTCTCGCGTTTTGTAACGCAGCTCGATATGCTATAGCGACGTTACATATTATATTTTAAACGAAGCGATCGTCGCGCGGCCAAGGAGAATTGCAATGCATGCGATACGAGATTATAATACTGGCAAACGCGTTGCGCAATCACCTGCCACGCAGAGAGAGAGAGATAGACGACTAGCACAGAAGCAGTCGAACCGCAGACGAGTCGCTCTCGGGCGCGCATCACAAGCCGCGTTAATAAACCAAGACGAGTTGCTTTTTCGATCGATCTCCGAGCGATATCATTACGTAGGGGCGCGATCGGCCACAAAAAAGGACTCGACTTTCTCGATTACACGCTCTCAAAGCTCGACAACATTATATGGCTTTTATAATTAAAAATGAAAGACGATCTAACACGGCCTACTCTTGTTCGTCCGATAAACCCATGCACTCGGAAGCTTTGTAATCTACTA